GTGGCAGTCAAGCCAGGGTGGAGGGGGGAAGTACAGTCACTGAGGGAGATGTGTGTGTGGGGGTAGGGGGCAGAGTTCAGAGTTCAGGGGGGGCAGAGTTCAATAGAGTGACAGCCGCAGGGATGAAGCTGTTCCTGAACCTGCTGGTCCGGGAACGGAGCACCCTGTAGCGCCTCCCAGAGGGGAGGAGGGCAAACAGTCTGTGGCTGGGGTGAGAGCTGTCATTTTCGATGCTGCGTGCCCTCCGCAGACATCTCTTGCTCTGGACAGCCTCGATGGTGGGGAGTGAGGAACCGGTGATGCGTTGGGCAGTTTTCACCACCCTCTGCAGTGATTTACGGTCCGCGACAGAGCAGCTGCCATACCATACGGAGATGCAGTTTGTAAGGATGCTCTCTATGGTACAGCGGTAGAAATTCTCTAGAATCTGAGGAGACAGATGGGCCTTCTTCAGTCTCCTCAGGAAGAAGAGATGCTGGTGCGCTTTCTTTACCAGGGATGAGGTGTTGAGGGTCCAAGAGAGGTCCTCAGAGATGTGGACACCCAGGAACTTGAAGCTGGCGACACGCTCAACCTCCGTCCTGTTAATATGGATGGGGATGTGTGTGCCAGTTTTCTTTCGGAAGTCCAAAATTAGCTCTTTGGTCTTCTTGGTGTTGAGGGCCAGGTTGTTGTTGGCGCACCATACCTCTGTAGGCCGACTCATCGTTGTCACTGATGAGGCCAATCACCGTTGTGTCGTCTGCAAACTTGACAATGGTATTAGAACCGTGTACAGGTGTGCAGTCTTAGGTGAAGAGGGAGTAGAGGAGAGGACTTAGCACACAGCCCTGTGGCACGCCGGTGTTCAGGATGAGGGTTGAGGAGGTGTGGTTCTCTACCCTAACAGACTGGGGTCTGTTGGATAGGAAGTCCAGTATCCAGTTACAGAGGGAAGTGTTGATACCCAGGTGACGTCCGGGGACGCCATCAGGGCCAGCAGCCTTACGTGCATTAATCCTGCTCAGTGCAGCACACACATCGGTGGAGGAGAGTGTTAGGGGCTGGTGGTCTGAAGTGAGCACAGCCTTGATGGCGGCCTCCTGGTTGGAAAGAGTGGTGGAAAGAGCTGAAACATGCGGTCCGGAGAAGGCCCCACTCGTACCTAAGACGGCTGAAAGACCCGTCACTTTTCAAATGACGATTGACCTTCTTTTACAACTTCACCTGAATGAATGCTTCTATGTTTATTTACAGTAAATGCTGATTCAGTGGTGTCAACTAAACTGGAAACTTCTTTCAGAAGCATTTTTAGCTTCTTTTAGTTTTTATCATCTCTAACTTCATTAACACCTCTGCTGGGAAACCTACTGTCAGCTCTCCCCAACCAACATTCCATCGAACTGGAAGAACCTTCTTCCCCACCCGTGTTTGAACATGTTGTTATTAATAAAAATGTGTCTATAGCTTTCATATTGCCATACATGGTTATTGCTTCACATCGGCTGAAACACATCTAATCTGTGATGTAGTCAGTTATTGCCCAAATTTAGGGTCAGGACTATCTAGATTAGGGGTCTCAAACTCAAATCAGCTGCGGGCCAGATGCAGCCCAGACTAGCGTCCGAACGGCATGGTCGACAATAACACAACTTAACACTCACTTTCAAAAGCAGTCATTGAACCCCACCCTGGGGGATCGGTCCGAATGAGACTACAACACTAGTCCTCCTTTAACTCAGCGGGGGAGACCTAAGGTCATGTGACCGTGGAATTCCTTTATAGCCAAACGTGAAGCTACATGAATCGAAGCTGCGTAGTAATGGACGGAGACGCTCGTCGGTGACGTCAGATGCTTCATGTGTTGTTAGTGTGAGTCGTAAAGGAAAACTTTATTAAACGAGCGATGCTAACGGTTAGTCACATGATCACCTGCGCGAAAGAGGGCAGGAAACTGAATTTCACCCTCCTGCTCTCTGCACCTCGGCCGACACACACGACCCGCCCCCCATGTCAGTCACATGCATGCCACGTTCACTGGACAAGCACACAGTAGGAAACCAGAACATCATAACATGTCCCACACAGCAGCTGACAGTGGGGTTACAGTATAAAACTTGCGGGCCGCACTAACATTACACTTTCATATTAAGGATGGGGCCACAAAATATCGTCGCGAGGGCCGCAATTGGCCCGCGGGCCGCGAGTTTGAGACCCCTGATCTAGATTGTGTGTAAATGCTCTTAGATTAGTAACGGTTGAAGTGACAGAGGAAATCTGATATATAGGTATAATTTACAACTAATTTTACTGCTTTGGTTCAGTCTCAACATGTATAGCTGAAAAAAACCTGGCTCATGTCTTGTGTTTTGTTTACAATGTTATAGGAGTTGTAACGAGGAGAAAGTTGTTAGAGTGCTGTCACGATGTGGTTCACTTCCTGTCTTATTTTGTAGTTTTCTGCCACTCGTGTCCCCGGGTAACTTCACTTCCTGCCTTGTCTCGTCATCCCCTGTGTTCGTCTAATAGTTTCCACCTGTGTCCAATCACCTGCACCTCCCTTGTGTATTTAAGCAGTGTGTCTCCTGTGTCACTTGTCGCGTCATTGTCTTTCGTCTTGGATCGCCGTAGTCTCTTGCCTGTGTGCGTTTGCCCCCGGTTCCGGTGTTTTTTGACCCTTGTGACTATTAAAGTCTTTTGTTTCCCGCAAGTCTGCGTTTGAGTCCTGCCTTCCACCCCCAACCCTGACAGAGTGCAATAACTTCTTGGGTATACACTCACCTAAAGGATTATTAGGAAGACCATACTAATACTGTGTTTGACCCCCTTTTCTCCTTCAGAACTGCCTGAATTCTACGTGGCATTGATTCAACAAGGTGCTGAAAGCATTCTTTAGAAATGTTGGCCCATATTGATAGGATAGCATCTTGCAGTCTTGATGAAGATTTGTGGGATGCACATCCAGAGCACGAAGCTCCCGTTCCACCACATCCCAAAGATGCTCTACTGGGTTGAGATCTGGTGACTGTGGGGGCCATTTTAGTACAGTGAACTCGTCATGTTCAAGAAACCAATTTGAAATGATTCGAGCTTTGTGAGACAGTGCATTATCCTGCTGGAAGTAGCCATCAGAGGATGGGTACATGGTGCCATAAAGGGATGGACATGGTCAGAAACAATGCTCAGGTAGGCCATGGCATTTAAACGATGCCCAAGGGGCCTAAAGTGTGCCAAGAAAACATCACCCACACCATTACACCACCACCACCACCACCAGACTGCACAGTGGTAACAAGGCATTATGATCCATGTTCTCATTCTGTTCACGCCAAATTCTGACTCAAAAACCATCTGAATGTCTCAACAGAAATCAAGACTCATCAGACCAGGCAACATTTTTCCAGTCTTCAACTGTCCAATTTAGGTGAGCTCTTGCAAATTGTAGCCTCTTTTTCCTATTTGTAGTGGAGATGAGTGGTACCCGGTGGGGTCTTCTGCTGTTGTAGCCCATCCGCCTCAAGGTTGTGCATGTTATGGGTTCACAAATGCTTTGCTGCATACCTCGGTTGTAACGAGTGGTTATTTCAGTCAAAGTTGCTCTTCTATCAGCTTGAATCAGTCGGCCCATTCTCCTCTGACCTCTAGCATCAACAAGGCATTTTCGCCCACAGGACTGCCGCATACTGGATGTTTTTCCCTTTTCACACCATTCTTTGTAAAACCTAGAAATGGTTGTCCGTGAAAATCCCAGTAACTGAGCATATTGTGAAATAATCGAACCGGCCCGTCTGGCACCAACAACCATGCCACGCTCAAAATTGCTTAAATCACCTTTCTTTCCAATTCTGACATTCAATTTGGCAATATTCAGAGAGGCAACGCTAAAAAGCTGGCGCGGTGACGCATGGGTAGAGCTGCGCCGGGAACCGCATGGTTGGTGGTTTGAGCCCTTCCTGCTCCATGTCTAAGTGTCCCTGAGCAAGACACCTAACTCCTAACTGCTCCCCGGGCAGAAATGTAAAAAGCCATGGGTTAAAAATGCAATAAGTCGCTTTGGATAAAAGCATCAGCTCGATGACCTGTAATGTAAAACAATAGAGGTACGGATGTATCAACCCACATGCCATATAACTTAAACAGATAAAACGAGAATCATTTTTCCAGTGATGGCTAAATGACACAAGTCCTTCCCATTGATTAGGTAGACTGCAGTATCTCCCCAGGTTTACTACTTCATGGGAGGGGGGTCGAACTTTTTCCGGGCTGGGGGGCACAGCCCTGTTATAATGATGGGAAACACTGAACTGGCAGCGGTCGGTTATCAAAACATTGGCTAAATAACCCTCTATGAGCAAATACAGAATCTCTTTGTGTTCATTTCTAAACCCTCGCATTAAGACATACATCAATTTATTAACGCTACTTTGTTGTAGCGCAGCGTCTTTGTTGTTGCTCTGTTGTGCCAGATTCTCAATAAAGTTAGAAAAAAACATTTACGGCAAACTCATGGTCACGGACTCGTTACATGGGATTTGCATGTCTCTAAATACCTAACTGAGATCGGCTTGTGCCGTTCTGAAAAAGGATCAAACTAGGTTCATAGGTGCATCTGAATATATATACGTATACATGTTCTAATAGATTTGAGTGAGTGCAGAGTTGAAATCACAGTTTTCAACTGTTATGGAGTCAATTGTACGAAGGAGCTGGATTATTTATCCAGTGTCAAGGACTTGGGTTTTTAACTTTTTTTTGTATTTAACACTGATCAGATTTATTTGTGTTACTTAGCGTCAGTAGAGTTAAATTAACTCTTTGATAGGTTTGAAATGAAACTGTACACCACGGTCAAACTTCTTGGGTGTTTAACTCTACGTACAGTTAAACGTACAGTGTATTTAACACTGATTTATTTGTGACACTTAATCTGAGTCCAAAGCGACAGAGAGAAAAAGGTTTTATTTCTCTGTAGGTTTCCTTCTATGGTTTTGTCAGACACATATAATAACAAACTGCGCCTGTCAGCAGGTAAAACCAGCACTTTTATTAGATGTACATTGACAGCGAGGAGTTGCCCCCAGAAAATACATTATAGTCGTTTAGTGGCCTGATGTCTAATGGGTTCTCACTCAATACCAAACCAATTTCAAAGACCGTTGTCCCCTTTAGATACTTAGACACAAAAATATGTTGGGAATGGAGCATACTCAAGTTGTCCTAAAGGAGTGTTCCTGATTCTTTCTGGAGCCTGGTCCACAACGCTGCCATCATATGCCTGACCTTACCGCATGAAATACTGCTTGAATCCAAAATAATGCAGAATTCATTCTTTTTATTTTACATAAATTACACCACCCCCGGACACCATGCACCCCTTTCATCTAAACGTATAAACATTTATTGCACATGAAACTGTTCAAACTTCAAAGGTAAGTCCCTGTTGAGAGCATCATGCTGGCCTGGAGATAATGACATCAATTAATGAAACACAATACATGTCCAAAAATACTTGTACAATGTATTACCTTACATCGCTATAGTCGTCAACTCTGTAACAAAATTAAATAACTGTAACTTAATGCACTATACACATCACATCCTTTGTTACATGGCTTTCAACTGCAACCAGCTGATGAGAACAATCACACACACATACACACACTCGTACACGCACACACTCACTATCTCAGGTATGAAAATTCTACTATGTAAGTATTCAGTGAAATTCTTCTGCTCATCAACACTGAGTTTCTGTTTCTTGCCTTTCTTTTTTAAATTGAAACAGCGGTGTGCCAGCATGTACAAGTCTGCATAGACAGTGCTGATATGAGGAGCGGCGATATCATATGGCATTTAAAATGAGGCTGTGTCTATGAGGCCAGTCACACTCTTATTTAAATGGGTGATGGGATTTTAGGATCTCTATACGGGGAAAACGACCCATTCTCGCACCCTACTCGTCTAACGTGGATGCTCAGTGCGGTCAGAGCAGCTGATGTACCATAAAGAGCGAAAAAGTGTACATCTGGGAAATAAGAGTGGATTCTTTAAGCATAAGTAAACCTTAAAACAAAGTAAACCATTGGTTTATTTGGAAAACATATTTTGTGACTATAAGGAACAAAACTAGTAAGTAAAAAGAAAGTTATTTTTGATGGACACTATGCATGAAAGATGACAGGTCCCAGAACCACTGACCATGTTGTTGGGCAAGCTGACGCGCCTCGGTATGTTTGCTAGGAATGCTCCAAACTCCCAGGTTAGGTTAAAAGGTTAAACGTTTTTTTTAAAACTTCATACTCTCACCAAAACTGCCTCAAATCCTGAAAAATATATTTGAATTCCACATTCCACGTCCATGCTATTTGTATGTTTTAAAATGTTTCAGTCACAAAACCTATAAGCAATCTAATTGATATCTGATGGTGTCCAAATATTTTAGCGAGTACCCAAATATTAAGACTTAACTTAACACATGTTTACTCAATCAAAGCTACAATTGATTGAAGTGACACACACCGAGTGCATATTTGTACGTCCATGTGTGTCCGTAAGGATGAGCAATGTTCCTGCTGAGTTTTGCTGTGCAGCCTTACGTGGTCCCGTCCTTTGTGCTGCCGTCCACTAAAACTTACTGCAAGCACGCATTAACGTCTGAAGCATCGGTATGCTTGGTGGTTTTACATAATCCTTAAGATTTTAATCATGTAGGCCCTGGTTTTAATAATATTAATGGCATAGGTTGTGTTGAACTTGTCATCATCATTCTGCTGAAAACTCTTAATTAGTGAGATATTTGATATATTATCAATTTAGTTTGTAGTCTGTTGTTATTGCAGTGGATGTTTACTAGTGGTGTCCAGCCCTGGTTCCTGGTGCCCGGTGGCATTGCAGGCAGCATCCATCCAGAATTGTGGATCATACCGCTGAAGAGCAGAGCACGAAATACATCAATGAAACAAGATGTCCACACTGTAGGGCCAGCTTCATATAGATCCCTTCATTCTTCTCTTCTATCCTTTCCATACTTTTTTATAGGTGATTCACGGCTGGATCCCAAAGTCGAGGAAAAAAACAGAAATTCCACGTCCATTGAGTCAAATCTTCATGCCAAGCTTGGCTTTCTGTGGAAAGGACGTAGGATCAACAGGTTAAATCACCGTATTCTATCAGCTGTTTAAGCTAGATAAATACAAGTGATCTTCTTGAACTACTTAAAAATTTTAACCATTTACAGTGACAATGTAATGTGTAATGCAAACGAAGTGTTTGAGTGTTTAAGAGACTTAAAGTTATTATGAGGAACTTTCATAGACGTTGCTTTTGGCAAAGCTGGCAGTGTTTCCGTGATCCAGGTACCCGATGCTTAATCAGGAACCAGGAATTAGGAACCAGGAACATTTATTGCCATAATATATCAGACGTATAAGGAATTTGACTTGGCGGTTGGTGCATAACAGCAGACAGTACGACAATGGACGACAAGACAACAGTGCAAAAGGAGTAAAATATAATTCTATTGGTTAACATAAGTTTAAAAATAAAGGAATAAAACCTAAAAGTTAAAAATAAAGTGCACCAGCGAACAGAAAGTGACAGGTGAAAGTGACGTGTGCAGTGTGAAAGAAAGTGACCGGTGGAATGTCAGAGTCAGTCAGTGAGGGACCGGGCTCTGTTGATGAGCCCGACTGCCGACGGGAAGAAACTGTTGGTGTGGCGGGAGGTCTTAGTAGTAGGAGTTAGTAGTCCTAACTGCAACAGGATCTCACAATCCTGTTCCTCTCTTTGCTCCACCAATCACTTTTGGTGCTACTTGTACCAATTCTTAGCAAATTTTTGCTGTACAAACCTCGATAAAATCACAAGAACAAGGGTGAAAGATGAACTTACAATGCCAGAGGCATGTTTTGGTTTGACGCTGTAGGAAGCCTTCTCCTTGGCCTGTCGGAAACACTCTTCTGCTGCTTTCAGCCTGCAGAACACAATATGTATGAAGGAAATATGAATACACCAATACTGATTCTGTGGTTTCTTCAAAATATTTTCAAGGTTCTGCTGTGCATGGGAAAGAAATATTCGGATGGACCTCTTTTTTAGCAGGTAAATCGTTTATTGCAACTGCCACAAAGAGTATTGCCTTCATTCTGCATTACATTTAGCTAAGGCCTTCTGTTTGTTGCTGTGCCATTTTATATGGCTATTACTCAGAGCAAAGTTAGTTTTTGAGGTAACTGACTTTTGGTATATAGGACATTATTTGGACTATTGGTGTTCAATAATGTTGGGCTTTTGGATCAACATATCCTCATAATCTTGTGTATAACAATCCTACTGAAAGTTACTCTTTTCTGTGTGCGTTTTCTTACAAGAGGGAAACTGTCAACTTTTTTACATTTACATGCAAAATGTTGCTTCAAACTAAAATACTTAGATTTAGACAACAAAACTAACAATGTTTAGGTTTAGAAATAGATTGTGAAGCACTTAGTTAAGATCAAGCAACACAACCACTTATACTTTGGAAAAGATTATTATTTGTGGTTAAATAATTACAGCAATGCGGTTACTGAAGTAAGCGAGTTGCACGTAAAATAAATCAATAATGACTTCTCGTTTGTAGTAAACAAAAAGCGGTCTCTCGGCGGAAAGGTCGGTGTTCGTTTGACCCCCTCCACCCTTAACCGCCCTGACAGAAAGATGTTTGACATGGAAAAAGCTCAGCGTTTCTCAATGAGAAATCGCTGTGTTAGGAGCAGTGTGTATTACTGTACCTCTCCTTGAGGATGACTTTGTTCTCCTTTTTCCACTGGTCCTTGAAGTCGGAGGAGAACTCGTGCCAGACACAGAATAAAGTGTTTGGTGACGGCTCCTTCTCTCCTGACTTGGCCTTCACGGAGAAGAACACTGTAAGCTCCAGGAACCTGACAGGACACCATCAGAAGTTTACATATTGACAATCCATATTTATCTATATCTATATTGGGCCAGCTGATGCACGAATGCTAATGGCTGCAGTGATCTTTAAAGATCACAGTTCTCAGAGTGATGAGCGAGTAAGGCGAGTTTACATGGTGTGTAATTGAATGTGTATTTCTTACAATTTATGTGTGCTGCTGAGTTGAGAATCCAGGGTCTCCAGTTCACTTTTAGCTAAGAAAGGAGAAAGAATGAGAGAGGTCAATGCAAAAGTGACACTTAAGAAAGCACTTTGTTGTTAGCAACTGACACCCACATGTCATTAGTTTCAAGCCAATCAACTGATTGACATTGGGAGAGGTAATGCATTAAAAACAAAGGATGAGACTACTACCAAATAAACACAATGGATGGAATGGAGTGATTGAAAAGGAGGAGGAGCGAAGGAAATTACTAGTTTTATTTGCTCATTATCCACATTGGATATTGAGATTTAATGGTCTCAATACCCAGTTCCAAGTCTGCTTAAATACAGCATGATGTTCATTTAGTAAATGATGGTCCATTCAGAGCGAGCTGCCCAATAAATCTGCCATTGGAAAAAAAACAACACATGTCACACGCGGGTCACCACGCATGACTTGTTTCTCAGGTGTTTTCTACTATGAACAATGGTCTGAATTGTGGCCCTAGAACAGTTTAAAAATGCTGCTCGTCGCACGTCGCTGTTGATGTCAGTGAGCAGATGGTGACGGATGCGCCTGCAGCATCACTGACAATCACGTGCTGACACACACAAGCAGGACTTGGGCGGATGACAGTAACAGAGACATTGGCGCTGCCAGTGGCGAGGGGGTCATGAAATAGGCATTGTAGTAAAGTTAGTAATTGTTGTCACAAACAAGGACTCTGGAAGGTCGAAAGTCAATGGTTCAAACATCACCCTAGAAGTATATAGGGCCTTGAAACAACAGTCCTAATGTGTAAACAGAAAACAATTATTTTTGTCGGTCACCTTGAGCAAGGAAGACGTCCATCTTGTCTTTAAAGGGCTGCAGGTTGTCCTCGTCTGAAACCTTGCACACCTTTTCCACTTCTGATGTACACGCTAATAAAAATAAAGCAGACAGAAATTATGCAGACACTTTTTGTGTGAAATATAAGCAAACATACAATATATAACAGAATGGGTAGTGTTTATTAGGGATTTAAGCGAAAGAACACGCCTAGTGGTGGAAATTATAATATATAGTTAGATTAATCTACTGTAATATTAAGTGAATAGGAATTGGTCAGGTCAGTGAGGGATTTCTGATTCGGCCATCAGATGGAGGTGAGAGTCTCGGAATGCCTCGGATCAGATAGAAATTTACGAGCTGGGTTTAAATGTGCAGCCAATCACATACGACTACAACACAAAGGACACACTGACTCTGAGAACCCTTATTGATGGTCATATGAGACTGGATGAGGGGACTTTTTGGGTGATTTTGCAAAATATTATACTATTCATACTGTATTTCACTTTCTAATTGTATGGCTTTTGTTAGTTATTGAGTTGTTTATAATTTTCAAACTCGAGCCAGTTCACTCTTCTTGACTCGTCTCAGCCGGGGGGGGGGGGTGGGGGGTAAAAGTAGCATTCCTTGATCCGAAGTTCACACATCATAGTTTAAATCCATCGAAACCACTGTGTGTTTACGTATTAAATCAATCACTCCTTTCTGTCATTACTTAAGCCTTTGCAGATATGTAATGAACCTATAGCAGCTACATGATGAGCCAACAGCAGAAGCCACAAAGGTTGAAGCTAATCACCACGTAAGCTGGATACTGTGTGTGTGTGTGTGTGTGTGTGTTACCTTTCAAGTCCTTCCTGAGTCGATTTAGGTCTTTCTGGAAGTCTTCAAACTTCATTTGTGAGGATTGAAACAGGTCATGAGGCTCGGGGAGAGGGTACACACACGTCTCTCTACCAGCATCCTGGTGACGGTCAGACAGGCAAACACACACATGTCAAAAACAGGGATGAATGTCCGCTATTGTTTTAGTCCACCATGTGCATATCCTTTTGCTTGACTGGCTGCTGTAAAACACACAACCACGAGGCCAAATGTAATATGTGTCTCTCATCCTGGGTCTTTAGTGAGTCTTATGTCGGACAATACACAAAGGGAGAAAATTAGCATTGAATAAAGAGTCCAGAAAAGAGGAAATGTCACTGAAAGAATTATGTAACTAAAGCACTCACCTCATCGAAGTGTCTGAGGTAGTAGGAAACAATGTAGGACAGAAGACTTTTCATGCCGTCCTGCATGTGGAGGACAAGACAAAAAACAACGATTGTCACCTGGGTTAAGCAAACTGACTCACTACACGAGTGTAGACAGTGTAAGCTGGAGGGGTGTCAGTTTATTTGGACACTGCTGCTCTATGGGACCTCTATGTGTCTGTGTGTAAAGAAAAAACTAAATATAAAAGCCGGTAAGCACCAAATCCAGAGCACAGGAGCGGCTTTATAAAGTTTCAGTGCAGTTTTTTCCCACTTATTTCCCTCCTTACTCACGCTGCTCTTAACATCTTTGAGTTTGGGCAGGATGTCAAGTGTGAAACCATCCGCTTGGCCTCTGGTTCGATTACCACCATTCATGAAGTTACCAAAAGCCAGAACCAGACCGAGAACCTGCTTCACTGTTGGACTGTCCTGCAGAGCCTGCAGAAAAAGACATAGCGGTATGAACCAGAGCTGCAAGCGCAAAGGAAGAGACGTTTTCCATAGTGGCCAAGCAAAGTGACAGTGGAAACATTCACACCAAATCTCAAAACATGATTGCAAATCCAAGACCTGTGTTCACTGAATGTATCTGGCAAACCACCCATAACAAGAGATGCTGCTGCTGCTGTGCGGATGGATACACCGTTGTTTCTCCAGGAGTGGTTCCTGCCTGTCACCATCAGACTTTCTTTCTCGTTTATATTTTGACGTCTGGAGAGTTGGACTCACCTTGCATACTCTCTGTAGTGTGTCCAGCTTCTTCATTATGGACGACATGCACTCGGAGAAACTGGACTGGAAGAGGATGCAGAAGACTCTGCCGGAGAAGTTTGGGATCAGTGAGAGCTGGTGGAGAAAGCTGCAACACAAGAGGATATCCAAACTCATGTCATCTTCCATCTCTCTACTCACTAGTTAATTATCTCTCCGTGTGCTTTAAAGTGTTGACTGGCTTCGTTACGTCTGCTCATTGGTGTTGAGACGTCTTGGAGAGAACACAAAACTTACTGCTCAGGTTTGTCCAGAGGTTTAGCATTCTCCTTGTCTTTTGAGGCCTTGATGTGCTTTTCAATCTTGTCCAGCTCCTCCTGTTGTGCCCTCTGAGGGAGAGACACAAGAGACAGACTTTTATAACATTACAAAAGCAAATTCATGCCAGAGGTTTTCAAATCTCACAATATGGGACCCCACTTTTACAAAATTGAGACAACCTACTCGCAATAGATGTTAAAGGTAATTATGTGTGTGAGTCACACAGAGACAAAAATAAATTGGTTTTATGTATTTGTGAAGTGTGCTTTTTGGGTGCTTCTTAAGTTAACTCAAACTGACATCTACTTTTTAGAAATTGTGACATTATATCAAAATTCCCCAACAGATCTGTAAATATATTCTATTCATGCAACGTGCCTCTAAAAAAAGGTCAAATAAAGACTCAAATGCACAGGCTTCCTTTACAGACATTTGATTAGATCACAGTCAGAGCAGAGCAAGATCAGAGCAAGATGTACTGACTGTGCAGAGTGTGTGTTGCTCACATTTTCGTACAGGGCCTGCAGGGTCTCCAGGTCAACTACTGTGTTGTCCAAGTTCAGGATGGCTTAAAACAGTAAGAAGGAGAAGTCAAAAGTCTAGTCAGCAGCAGCCAAGGATCATCCTGAACATCAGACTTTCAGAGTGATCGCCAAACCAAAATCCCATTGGTCCGAAAGCTATCACCCGAGAAGCTGGCAGAGTACGATGGGCCATACTTTTAAAATACTAGGAGGAAAAATATCGGAAGGCCCAGTGGTTCCGTAAAAGAATCAGCCATCTGCTTTTGTGCATTGCACAGAGAATTTGTAATTCTTGGGCAATGGCTTTGCAGTCCAATGAGAACTTTCTCCCAAGACTTCCAGGATTTCTAAATTGGCCTTTAGAACTATGCACAGGCCGCGTTTAGGTTAATGGCTTCTTTTCATTCGGTAAAGCAAAGGACAACAGACCAGAGGAAAGAGAAAGAAATTACAATACTCCTGGCACAATTATTCTCCCTTTAGGCTAAAAATAATCCCCGACAGCTGAACAGGTGACGACTTAGTATTTGTGAAATGGATCTTTTCCCCAAAGTGCCCTGTGGCATACAACAATCTACATTGGGTATTTCACAAGGAATAAAAACATGTATTACTGTCTGTGAATATCAAGCCAGTACAAAACTGATGAACTCACCAAGCTGGATATCCTTCATGTCAAGATGCAGGGACGACATGAGAATTCCTACCGCCTGAGATCGTTTATTGTTCAGGAGCTTCACGACCTACAAAACCCACAGATATAAAGTTCAGATGGATTAAGTTAGAACTCAAGGATTAAGACTCAATGATTCTCATAAGAAGAATCCATTGAGTAACAACACGGCAGAACAACGTGGCAAAAACGTAGTTTGACCCTTGTGGATGCTTGTGACCTGACATACAAACACCAGTTAGCTGCTGGGACGCAGGTTCACCTGAGCAGCTGTGCAGATGACGAGACTTGAAATCATTGACTGTCATTCTGTCAGTACCGCACAAGGCTCTTGCTATGCGTGCCGCTTGTTGTACTACACCACTTACTCCTACCAAATGTAAATCTGTCCACATTCAACTTATTGTTTTGTCAGCAGGAATGTACAATGCAAACATTTTTCTCTAGGCTGTAATATGATAAGCCACACCAGGATGCTAATTTTGAAGGTCATACATTGAATAAATAAGTGTCTGATTGGTTCTTGTTGACCTTATAGTTATGACTATACTACCTGTACATGTACAGCACAGCATGTAACACACGGCGAATCACACAGACCTGTTTGGCCTTGGACTTAGTGATGGTGTCAGAGAGCGGCTGCTTCTTCTCCTTCACTGCTGATTTGGAGAACAACTCTACAAACTCCTCAAAGTCCATGTCAGGCTCCTCGATTGTCTCCCACACCAACGAAGAAGAAACCTCTCTGAGAAACACAAGAGAGCCCACACGGATGGATGGTTGTTCAGCAGTATGAATCAGCATGGTTACAGATGTGGGTTCTTTTCAACCATAAAAAAGATTACTTCCTTTTTCATTGCCGGTAGACAAGTACGCTTTTTTCTGTCACGACTGGACCACAAAACAAAAATAGTAAACAGCGTAAATGTATTTTTCGTTATCTATTCAGCCTCTATGGAAAACTCACAGGTCAAGGTTGGGAAGGTTGGTTAAAGTCTAAATCTTCTAGTTGTTTCTTGGATCCAATTCCGACTAAGCTGCTTAAGAAAGATTTTCCTTTAGTTAGCACGTCTTTACTGAATATTATGAATCTTTCTTTGTTGACGGGACATGTACCACAGTCCTTCAAGGTAGCTGCAATTAAACCTCTTCTTAAGAAACATACTCTTGCTCCAGATGTGTTGGCTAACTACAGACGTATCTCTGATCTTCCCTTCCTCTCTTTGGAAAGATCCTTGAGAAATCCGTCGCAAATCAATTATGTAATGTTGTGTAACTAAAAAACAATGCTTTGTTTGAGGATTTCCAGTCAGGATTTCGAGTGCATCGTAGCACAGAAACAGCACTGATGAAAATTCCGAATAATCTTCTACTTGCATCGGACCAAGGACTCATCTTTTTTCTTGTCTTGCTGGACCTCAGTCCCGCAATTGATACCATAGACCATTGTATCCTGTTGCAGAGACTAGAAAATTTGATTGGTATCAAAGGAACTGCTCTCAGCTGGTTTAAATCCTACTTATCGGATCGATCCCAGTTTGTCCTTGTAAATGGTGAATCCTCGATGAACACCAATGTTGGTCACAGAGTCATACAAGGTTCTGTACTTGGACCGATTTTATTTACCCTGTATATGCTTCCTTTGGGCGACATTATCAGGAAACACTGCGTAAACTTCCATTGTTATGCAGACGATACTCAACTGTATCTGTCGATCAAGCCAGAAGAACTTGGATGACCTGCAGCTTCCTGATGCTAAACTCTGAAGAAACAGAAGTTATCTTGATTGGCCCAGAGCGCCTTCAAAGTCAGCTGTCACGTGATACAGTTTTTATGGAAGGAATTGCTCTGGTATCCAGCAGCACCATCAAGAATCTTGGAGTTCTCTTCGACCAGGATATGTCCTTTAACTCTCATATAAAGAAGACTTCAAGGACTGCCTTTTTTTCATCTACGTAATATAAAGAAAATCAGGAACTTCCTGTCTCAAAGGGATGCAGAAAAATTAGTTCATGCATTTGTTACTTCTAGACTGGATTACTGTAATTCTTTGTTATCAGGCTGCCCTCGTAAATCTCTTAAGGCTCTCCAGTTGATTCAGAATGCTGCAGCACGCGTATTAACAAGAACTAAGAAAAGGGATCATATTACTCCTGTATTAACTTCTCTGTAAAAAGTAGGATGGGAGCCAGAGCCTTCACGTATCAAGCTCCTCTTTTGTGGAACCAGCTTCCACTTTCAGTCTGGGGAACAGATTCGGTCACCTCATTTAAGATAAAGCTTGAAACTTTCCTCTTTAATATCGCTTGTAGTTAGGGCAGGCTAAGAGACCAAGCTCCTCTCTCACTCTCACTCTCTCCTTCTACAAAAATCCATGTTTTATTAATGCACATCACTAATTCAGCTTCTTTCTCAGAGTTTTTTGTGCTTTCTCGCCTCGCAGGTCTCCGTAGATTGTAGTTCCGTTTGTGCTTTCCCTCCCCACAGGCTTCTGGGGTGGTGCTAATTCCCCTCTGGAAAAACATTCCAGAGGAGCGTAGCAAGAAAGGTTTACAAAGTGATGATAAAAAAGGGTACCTATTGTCAGTGTTGATCCACACCCTTATTATTTTTAGATGTGAGGGCTTTCAGGCTATTTTCCGTTGCTTGTACTGTTAGCGCTAATGCTAATTGCGTCCTTTATGGATTTCTCCCAATTTTCTTCCCAAAGAGGGTTTTTTGGGAGATTTTTCTCCTGTCAGGTAGTAGATGAGCAACTGGATGCAAGACAACCGTGTGAGGCAAATATGTTCTATTGGACCATCTGAAATGTGTCAAACCTTATGAAGAAGTGTGATGAACTGTGTTAATGTATGATGTGTTCTAATTAAAGTGTACTAGTTATAAGATGAAGACAAACTATGGATGCTATGTTATATTCATTCATTGAGGCATAAAGCCAAATGTATCTGCATTGAACATATTAGAATGTGAGGGAATGATAAGACAGAGTTGCAGCAGCAGATTCACACCTGGATGTGAAGAGGACAAACCAGGAGGAAACACATATGAAAGAGAAGCCAATGACATGCACCGCAAAAAGACGGGAAAGAAAGGACTGTTCGAATTTTCCCGCAGCCGCTTTGATAAGTCACCTTAGACTTGGTCCGAGAATTCTCTATTTCGCAAAATATTTTACTATTCGCATTGTATTTCACGCTGTAATTGTATTCCTTATTACTTTGTTTATCGTTTCTGGCCGGGATGAGAACAGTGTGTGTGTGTGTGTGTGTGTGTGTGTGTGTGTGTGTGTGTGTGTGTGTGTGTGATCTTCCTCGAGGGCCTTTCGAACCCTTAACAAGCTGCAGCGATCATTCTGCAGCTATTTTGGGTTACACCATCCTTACTTTTTGGTGTTCAGCTGGATCCTGGTCCAGTAAAGGGGCTTCATGGGTCTGGGGGGTTCCACCACCGCCTTTCTGGCTGGCTTCTCCTGCGTCAGACCTAAAGCATAGAGCCCCATTGGCAGAGGAGGAGGCAGGGAGCCCGGAGCTCCTGGAAGACCTGGGGGAGCACACATGCCCCCTGGTGGCGGAGGGGGTGGAGGAGGCCCACAACCTGGGGGTGGTGGTGGTGGAGGAGGTGGGGCTCCTATTCCTGGTAATGGTGGAGGTGGTGGAGCAATGCCCCCAGGGAGAGGAGGGGCGGGAGGAGGAGGTGGGGGTGGAGCGAGGCCACCTGGAAGTGGCGGAGGAGGGGGTGGAGGTGGGGGAAATGCTGAACCAAAAGGTAATGGAGGTGGAGGTGGAGGAGCTGTCATTGAGCTTCCTGGTAGTGGCGGAGGAGGAGGTGGTGGGGGAGCGGCCGCCACTATCTTTCCTTGTAGGGGATGAGGAAGTCCTGCAACTCCTGGCAAAGGCGGTGGTGGTGGAGGTGGAGGCTGCAGCTGACATGAACACAGAGAGCCGTCCTGCCCGCTCACACCGCTCGGCTCACCAGAAGGCACGTTGAACCTGAAGCCCTCGTCCATGGGCGAGGTCTGCACTGACTTGGCCTCCAGGCAGCCCAGAGCGAGAGCTGCTTCCGTCTGCAGGTGAGCGTCACACACCACCCTCAGCAGGCCCTCCTCTCCCCCACACTCCCTGTCCGTGGTGAGGGGGCTGGCTTTCATACTGTCTTTGTCCAGGGGGAGGGGCTGCTCCAGCTCAGCAATCTTTGTCCTGAGATCTTCAATGGTTTGTTCCAGCTGTTGGATGACGTTAATGTGTTTCTCCTTTAGTTTTGCTGAAGGAAGGACATGTTCCACCTGAAAGTAGTGAAGAAGCAAGAGGTGAGACAAAAGTCAGAGCTCTCTATTTTAGTGAACTCTGTTTACCAAGCCACATGGAAATAATATCTCCAACATCTTCATTGTCTTCCTCCATAAAAGCATGTTATAGTAATAAAATTGAGGGTACAGATGTGCCATATTCAGATATGGATAGTAGAAGTGGAATCAAAACAAATGTACATGACAAAAAGCGTAGAGACTCTTCCTACTTCATTGCAACAGAAAGTACTTAATGCATCTCAAATTAAAAGAATATGCATACAGTTTGAGATGCCATCCAAGGGCAAGCAGTGGATATTTAAATGCGTCCCACAACATATTGACTTTCAATCCAATGAAGGGACTGACCTCTTGGCTCTCATTCTGCTGCTGTGTCGAATCCAAGATGGCAGTTTGGTGTTCTGAATAAACAGAGAAATCGGCTGCTGAACATAATATCGCACAACAGAAACACTCTACGTGAGGCTCGTCTTCTGTAGGGCATCGTGAACAGATGATGTCCTGTACAACATTTCTGACTGGTACTTTGTCTCTGTACTAATATCTTCCTGGGATGTAGCCAAAAGCCAGGAGATGGTCAACTGGACGTGTAAAGGGTGAGAACGTCTGAAAGGGGCGGGCGGGAATCGGATTGGTCAAGCAAACACAGGACTGTAATGCAGGAGCGCTGTTAGTGTCCTGTGTGAACCTTGTAATTATTGGGTTATTTTACTCTACTTTTGTTATGTGATAGTTACTTATGACTAAAGTAATTTGTTGATTAAACCCTAAACAGGTAGCATTGCAGGGCTCTCAAGTGTCACGCATTGTGCGTTACAGTCACTCATTTCGGTCTCTAGTCGCGCACTCCGAGCCGCGTTGGTTTCTCTCTCCCTCCCCCTCGACCATTGCCACTGATTTGTTTGTCGAGTCAGTACTGAAAACAAGGGGGGTTGAAATAGTGATACAACTGCTATACAATAAGAATAACCCATTTGTGATACACAACACATTTACATTGGGACCATGTAAATTTTGTTCAATAAAAAAAAAGTGCACGTCTAGTTGATAATGTATTAAAAAAAACACTTGGATGTCCTAATGTTTGCGGAACGAGATGTGGACATTTTCACCGATATTATTTTATTATTTAATGATTATTTAGTCAATGCATGACAGAAATGTTTATTTTGCTCACATAACCTGTATGTGTTATGTATAGGTTTACGAAGACCTCCACACCTTCACCTGTGCATACCAGTGTAACTGGTTAGTGGAGTAAAACACAGATTAGAGGGAGTCTCTTTAGTGAGGTTCTACCTCACTAGAAAAAACTTCTAGAAAGGCGTGGTACAGGCGGTTATGAGTACATCCACTCCCCATGAAGTGAACTGTAATGGCACATGACCTGTTTCTAATCCATAACCAGGTAATCCATCATCAGAAGCTGTCCGTCATCTGAGTGTTCTCATTGTTGACCAATCAGGAAGCACATTCCAGAGGAGCGTAGCAAGAAAGGTTCACAAAGTGATGATAAAAAAGGGTACCTATTGTCTGCAGTGTTGAGTCCACACCCTTAGTATTTTTAGATGTGAAGGCTTTCAGGCGCTGAGCCGGGAGAGATGAGGTGTTTGGACTTGTGAGGAGCAGGCCCCCTAGTACAGCAACAGACTATAAAACCGGTTCTCTTTGAGGCCAAACCATAGAATTACTGCCAGGTCTCCATCCGGGCCCCAAAACACTCTTAAGCTTAGGAAAAGTGTTGTTTGAGATTAAAAAATAAGTATGTTTTGTGAATAAGTTAGAATAAGTATGTTTGTTATGTAACTACAATATCTAAATACTTAAATTCCGAAACACAAGCTGTTGATTTGGTTTCACGCAGGACGCAGCAGTCACATGGGTCAGTGTCTGTTCAAAGCACAATCCCATCTCATGTTTCTGTGTAGCTCGATCGACTGAACAAAAATGAGCATACTGTAATATACAATAAGCTTTGATGTAGAAAAATGCCTTTGAACAACTGCCATAAATAAAACACTATGATCAATATTTCTATTTGGCTAATCCCAGAGAGCCAAAACTGGATAGATATGATCAGTGGGTCAACACAAACATCTCAACATCTTTCTAATTATTTACTGACTATAAATATATGAGCTACACTTGGGAAAGTGTGTTATCGTCCCAAGCAGCCACCATGTAATGTATAAACATGGATGTGTAGGTCTGAGCGTTGATCTTACCTGCTTCTGTGGATTTGAGTCCAGGACCGATGTCTCCGCCGGGCTTGGCTGGAAACCAGTGGCCCTTAAGTTGCCCCGGTAGTTTTCCTTCCAGGGGATCCAGTGAGTGAGTTGGCTGGTTAACTGCTGCCCACGTATACAGCTGGTCATGCTTGGAAAACAAATGAATGTTTTAACGTTTCATTTTTCACGTGACTCAGGGATACAAACTAGAAGTATATATAATAGAGTGAGTAATTTCTTTCACTGTTTTACATTTGAAAATAATATAGTTAATACAGATAATAAAACTCATTGCTAAGAGACTCTGTTAAATTGAGTAGTGAGGCGTCATTTTGTAGTAAAAGCAAAAGGTTTAAAATTGGTCTGCAAACAAGGCTGCATGTTATGCTCTAGAATTGATTATTATTAGGGCTGTCAACATAAGTGCGTTTAATTTGGCCGAGATTAATGCAACAAAATATTTTAACGTAGTTATTGTAATTTAGTAAACCGTAAGTTGAAGAAACTGCCGCTGTGCGTGACACAAGAGAGCAAGACGGTAGCTCAAGACGGAGACAGCTTTTTGCAGTGGAAGTAAAACAAACAGAGGTGCGACATGCAGCGGAGAACAGTGCGAAGTACTTCCTCCACATGTCAAACAGAAGGGGGGCGAGTGGCAAACAGGCCACTTAAAGCGCCGCTCTGCAAAGCTCGCTGCTAGGCTGAGCTAGCTGCTAGGCTAGGCTACTTCCATCTCCATCATCTAACGTTACCCTGCGCGGCACACATTCTGCAGGGGACCACCACTGCGTCCCTAAAAGGCCGTGGTTTCAAAAAGCCCTGGCTAAATGTGCAGAGATTGTCGGCACTTAAAACACAGCCGTCAAATGATGGAGAGTTGAGAGCACAACACGAGGACAGCAGGAGAGTCGTTCGTTCATCATGTTCCACCAGGTGGAATTCTGCCTCCAAGATGAGACAATGTGTGTAGTTTTATGTTTAAAATAACATTTAACAACAGTGTCTAAACACTTTCTAAAATACACATTAACAACAACATTGTTTCAAAATGTGCATGTGTGTTTTTTTAATCTATTGCTCTAATTCTTATATGTTTCACCACGCTTTAACTCCATAGCATCCATCCATCTCCGTCATTCCCAGCTAACCGCCACGCCGCCCTCCAGAGCAGCTTACAACAAGTGAATCTTCAAAGTCGGGGGAAAGATGCATGAGGTGTGCATACATACATCAAATTTGGCTGAACCTGTGGAGGGTATGTAGGCGGTGCTGCCTCCCAGTTGCTCTCTGAAGCAGTCGGTAAAAGGCTAACCGGGAGACCCATGGCCAAGATCCTGGAGCAGAAGCTCTCAGCCCTCCCTCGGGTTCCTTCCTGCCTGAATGTTGAAGGAACAGCTTTCTTCCAGGAGAATGTTCCACCTTGAACACCGATGATCAAAACAAGGCTAATGTGACCAATGATATTGCATTCTGTAAAGCTATTTGCTTAAATTCAAGATGAGAGAAAAGTGCATAGTCAAATATGTACTGTTGTACATTATCATTGTTAGCCTTTGGAAAGCCGGCGGGGTTAGAAGAATATGGTCACAGCAAAGTTTTTACCGAGGATGTGAATGTTTAAGGACATAGTATTTGAAAGGCCTCTTTGTTTTAGTTTCAGTTGGACAACGGATGGAACTATTCTGAATGCTAAGATGTATGTCAACATTCATCACGCATGGTTATGTCTTGCACATGCTCTTATTTTGAAAGCAGGAATCTCTAGTATCAAGTCTTCTTCGATACAGCATGATGTTTACTCAGTAAATTGCGGTCCATGGATTATACATTGGGATGTGGCTAACTTGTGACTGACAGGTCGCCAATGATGCCATAGCTGTATACAGGGTATTTTAAAGGTCAAGATGGTTTCAAAGTTCAAAAAGTCAAGATGTCAAAGGACGAAACGCCAGATTTCTGAGGAGTGAGGAAAGGAAGTTGCAAGTGCAGCCTCCGAGAATCTGCATGTTATGTCTACGGAATGTTGTGGCGGCAGCTCCAAGGTTGATGAGTGGCGGCCTCTAGATTCTACAACAAAGTGCAACCAAACTAAACGTTGGGGATAGGTTAACTGCCTATTGACCACGATTAGAGAATACCGACAACCAGTCAATGACCACAGTCCTCATTCCTGTGACCCCTGTGATCTAGTAGTGAAGCTCTAATCATTTTACAGATGAGAGAATATAGTATGAATGTAGCAGCACTATGGTATAATGATAGTAAAACTGACCAACCACATGTAAAGTGGAATTGGATATTATAGTGGGTGTGTTCTTAGAATTCCTACCTGATTATTCACAGTAAGCTGGTTTCCTATTAATGTCGGCAGCTGAAACTATAGATTTGCAACTGCCTCCAGCAATGTTGACTTGTTTGTCAAGTAACCTTCCTATTAAAATAAAGTCAGTTACAACAACAAACACAAACTTTTTAACTCGTCTGAAAGCACAATCTTCTCCTTACTGCAGTGGCTGGCTTAGGTGCCTCGTGTAAAATGAGCATAATATATTTTTGTTTCATACCAACGCTTGTGTGATGATCACACACAAATAGTCAGACCAGCATGTCCTTTTAAAACGTGGTGGTAAGTGGTTGTGGGCATTTCACGTATACACAATTGGGCTGTAGAAAAGACAAATCGTATCACTGTGAATTTCCAAAGGAACGAATGAGCAGACGTCGACGCTTGTCTCCAACTAAGAATAACTGTCTTTATTGATGGCATATTTTAGAGGGTTAACTAGAAGCTTTTAGAGTGGGCAGGGAGGTTATGCCTGACATGTACATATTTTAGTAGATACACTCCATCGCGTCAGAGCTGCTCATGCTTCAGATTATCAGTCATTCCCTATTTGCTCAGCTGTAGCTCAAGAAATTAGCCTTTCTGTCTTGCGCCTCCTTCTTGCAAACCGAAAATGTAACTGTGTGTTCAAAACTCACCTGTGAAGACGTCCTGAAAGCCACATGTAGAAACCTGTCCGCAGGAAGATCTTCTGGTGGCACACAGGGGTTGGCTGCCTCCTCCTCTGTAGCCCACCAAGTACTCCCCCGAACCTCCCCCATCCTCCTCTCTGCTCCTCAGCCTTCTCTCCAGCTCTTCCGTCCAGTCGGCCGAGCGACTCAGGGGCCCAGCAATGCTTCGAGAGCGCTGCCTGCGCGCTTGATGGGCCTCGTGCATCGTCCTGGCGACATTAATATTTCAGGTCAGCTTTACTTTGAAAACAGATATCTCATATAATAAAATCACATAGGTCATCACAATGACAACTAAAAATAGATTTTGAATAAAGAAGTTAGTGAGGAACTTTTTAACAGTATTTTCTGTCATTTTTTACGAGAAGTCACCTCGGCGTCTGATACAGGCAGCGAGGCTCCCCTTAGTCAGCTTATGTCAACCTCGCTCTCATCACGTGCTGCTACTTAAATCTGTTCTTTTTGCAGATGTCCAGTGTAAATTACCATTGACTGGCAGTAACAGCAAATAATCAGAGGCAAGGCTTATTGAAGGACCAATTTCTGAGGTATTACATTTTGGTTTTATAGTCATAGCTTTTGGGTAATATTTCAGTTAGTTACATCCACATTATACTGAATAAGGTAATAACCTCAGCAACCTTAATGAGTATGTACCTACAGGAATGATGCCCAAAACTGCTAAAATAATAACATTTTAGTAAACTGAACCCCACTTTATCTGCAACCCAGAAAAACATTCCTTTGTAGAAAAATGTAAGTTCATTTTGAATAGCATACTATCGCACATGCTGTCAAACCATCCTGTCCAAGGGAAAACTAAACCAAAGATAATAATAAAAGTTAGTGTTGCAAAACCACAGGTACCTGTGGAGGTGATGGTGGGCTCTGCGCAGGGATAGGGGGCTGTGGGAGGGGGACAGGGCTGGGGAGTGTCCTGGGGAGCTGAGCTGTCTTGTTGTAGTCTTGATGTAGGAGGGGAAGATTGGAGGGTAGGGCTTCACCACAGTGCTGGAGGAGGTGGAGGATTGGGTAGACCTGAGGAGTCGTTTGGCCAGTGTAGGGCTCTCCTGGGGAGGCAGTGGGGTGAAGGACACGCTGCTCCTCCTGCATTGCTTGGAGGGGGAGGCACTGGTGCCGGCAGCAGAATCCCTGGATTCAGATCCAGCACTGAGGCAGTCCTCAAGCGACTCGGCACTGGTACCCGAGCCTAAGTGGACCTCACCTCCCTCGAACACGTTCCCTGAGCTCAGCCCTTCGGTGGGCTCAGGACTTTTGTGGGGGCTGTCTGTGGGTGGAGGACTGAGGTCTACATCCAACATGGACTCCTTCTCCTCTTCTTCACTTCCTATATATTTTGGGGTTGTCCCACCACTGTCAAATGTGCAATCAGGGGAGCTGTTACCATTGGTTGTCATGGTGACCTGGCTGACTGCTTCCCCCCCGCCGGTAGCCATGGTGATGGCTGTGTGAGGGGGCTGCTGCGCCCAAGCATGCTGGTCTTTTGTGCCTGTGCCAACACAAAGAGAGGCTTCTCTCTCTCTCTGCTCCTTCTCACTTAGCTCCGGATGCTCCACCCAATCCTTCTCTTTTCTCCTCTCGTGCACCTCCATGTGGAAGGGGAGGTCTGGTGTTGGTTGCAGGTCTATGTGCTTGACGGAGCCAGATGCAGGGGCCATCTCTAGGAATGACAGGGCATCAGACCCAAGTTCTAATTCTGGAGTCAAGTCAAGCACCTCAGGAGGAGGTAATTTAACTACCCCGTTACTCTGCTTCCTCCTCCCCTCTCCCCCCCAGCTGGGATCCTTTTCATCCCCTGCCTGCACCCCCCCATGCTGGTGTTGGTGCTGTAGCCTTATAGCGAGCTGGATGTCTGCAAGCAAATCCTCGTGGTCAGCTGCTGAGTGGAAGCTGTAGAGGTCTGTATCCGACCCGGAGCTCCCCGCCTTCTGCCCTCCGTTCTCTGTGGGTGATGTAGCGGCTGTTGAGACTTTCTGCTGCACCTCTGCTTCCGCTCCCGTCCTTCTTCGTTCTCTTTCACCGGCTCTGGCTTCTTTCTCTCTCAGCCTCAGGTCCGACTGTCCAGACTCATCTGCCGGACATTCAGGGGTTTTTGGCCTGTCCAATTCCCCTGTTGGAAGGCCAAGACGTCCTACTTTGACGCTTGTATAGAGACGAACACACGTCTCCTTTGGCTTTCAGGTTGCCCTTTCTCTTCCGGATGGAGAAAACGGAGGATTTGGACTCAGATTTGTTTTTCTTCTTTCCTGGTCCTGTGCCATGCATCACCCCTCCACCTCCGCCGTGCTTACCGTGGAGTTTCTTTCCTCCCTTTTTTGTGGTGTCCCCTCCTCCCTCTCTCCATCCTTCATCCAGGGAAGGATAGCTTCCATTACCCGATGCTGCTGCAGCTTTCTTTTGCTTAGCCTCCTGGTTGCCCATGTTGATAGAGAGCGTCTGGCGGCTTCCGGCCTCCACTCAGGTCATGCCTGGAAGAGCTCCTCCTGCCAGGGGGAGGATTTAGATGCCCGTGCCTGCGAAACGTAGAACCGTCTCGGCCTAATCCGTGGATGCACGTCTGGTGGAGGTGGAGATGGAGGAGGAGGAGCTGCTGATGGTGTGTTTTTTTTCTGTTGTGAGACAAGCTTCCTCGCTGTTTTCTGGTGACGAAGGCTGGCGTGGCAATGATGTTGACGCCGATGCAGGAGGGACATACAGCTCCCCCTTCCCTCCTCCCCTTTCTCGCTCTCTCTCCCTCTGTCTTACCCCCCCCCCCCTCCTCCTCCTCCTCCTCTCCATCGGCTGAAAGGAGTGACGCAGGCAGTGCGTGCTCAGTGGAGGTCTGGCGGGGAGGCAGACTGAGGGAGAGGAAGAGCAGCTAGGACGGGGACATAAAGCGAGGCCGGCTGGAAAATAGAGCGAATAGGAATACAGATGCTGACCACGGTGCTGGGAAGGGGGGGGGGGGACCGCAGTAACTGCACCCTCCATCTGGCGGATGGAGAGTGTGAAGCGGCTATTTGCTCACTACATTTCCCATGATTCCCCAACTCCTGCCTACATCCCCCATAGTACTAAGTGTGGGCGAGACTCCGGGAACCTCTCATGCAGCTCCACGTCAGCGTGGGATGCTGCTACTTTTAAAAAAATAGCCTCATTCTATTTACCATGAATATTAATTTGTATTATTGGAAAAAAATAAAGCCAAGACAATCGTTTATTTTAATGGTAAGTCTCCACATCTGAAAAGGTGGCATCCATTTCTTCACCTCATCCCAAAATAATCATAACTACAGCATTTTACAAATATAATGACATACAAACAAGCACATGACACGACAAACACATAAGATCAGTAACATTATGGTTACTTATATCATGAATGCCTGTTTACTGAACTGTGAGCACTCGTCTGGACTTTTTGTGAGGACAGGTGTTGATCACAGTAGGTATGAATCTGTTTCAACTCTTCTATCCATGACTTGTCTTGTACTGCTGCAAAAAAGGGAAGGGGACTTTTGTTGATCGATAAAAATGTCACTAAGGAAATGAAGAATTCAGCAGAAAAGCCCACTATACATGAACTTCATCCAATGCCATGAAAGCCAGAAACAAACTCGAGCCAGTTGACTCTTAATAACTTCTCGTCTCAGAAGGGGCGAGGGTAACAGCAATATTCTTTGATCAGAGGTTCAGACCAGCGGGACAACTGTCCCCAGAAGAGGAATCGGTCCTCCGTGGATTGTCCTTTCAAAGCTCCTGTCACTCCTCAGCCCTCCAATTCGGATGCTCATGTGCCTTTACTCTGTCCCCTGTCCCATCTGCTGACAGCTGCACCATGCAGCCTCCAGATAAAAGAGCTGAGAAATAAAACTGAGATAAAAGCCGTCATAGTATTTCAATAAGTTGACTTAATAATATTGTAATTTGAAGTCTGTTAACTTCATGTTTGCTATTAAAACCGTTTGTAAGTGTTACGTTTTTGTCAGTCAGTTTGCAGCCTCTCTTTAACCTCCTGACAGATCACAAACGACCTGCTAACCAGCCGGAGCACCGAGTTCCCTCCTCCACCTTTGCCTCTGGTAGCCACCTGCAGCCAGGAGCTTCCTCCAACCCCCATATTGCTGCCTCCTAATGAATATCCAAACATTTATTAAAGCAATAAAGTATGAGAGGCTTTACTTTGTCATCCAATAATGTAACAGTTCGGGGGTGTTTAGGCCCGACGTGGAGAACTGTTACATTTTTCGGCAATCGCCACCGAGCTAAAAGCTTAAATGTCAACGGTCAAGCATGTTACTTTGAGTGCGCAGAGGATACAGAACGCTGAGGTCAACATGAACAGCAACTGTACATTATGGCTCAATAATGTCCCCCTCGTGACTCACTCCCAACCAATCAGAACGCTCTATTTACCCGTATTATAATCATATCTATAACTCTATATTTAATAAATTAGATATAGCAAACCCTTTTGCAACACTGCAAACAACATGATTGCTTTCATTTTGTTAACGTTTTTGCTTGATGATGTTGAATTAGTAAATGTACAATTTTTTACTTATTAAATTGATATTTCAGTAGTTTGATTTACAAAATCCTCTCATGATGAGAACAATTATTTTAATTATGATGCACTATGGTATATTTGACAAAAATGACTTCTGCATGGCAAATCAGTTATATTCTGAAGCCACCTGATGGCACTATTGCACTTTTATTGCAGTGCTGCTAATCTTATCGGACCCTTATCTATCTTTAGAAAAAGTATGCAATCATGGTGATATATGTCAAATATTATTTATTTATTTTTATTGCCACTATACATGTGTGTGTATGTGTGTGTTCATGTGAACAGTTAAGTTGCACACATTAATTAAAAGTGCCCGAGGGGTTTTCTTATAAACAAACATTCTCACCCACACACATCTCTGAGCAGTAGCACACATGCCCGTTGTATTCCCTCCTTCACTAAACATTTGTAAAGCCAATTTCCAAAGCAATTGTTCCTTACAAGTTTTGACTGTTATTACTAATTAGCTTACAGTCTTCTTATTCCCTGACTCAGTTGGCATGTTGCAGTATATGAAATACCATGTTTTTGCGCGCATGCAGGTATGTAAACAAAACCGGAACCCACTCGTAAAAACACTTCTCCATGCAAACTCCACAGGGCACCTTTAACACAGGGATGAACACACAAGTGCAAAGTATTCACTCTTTGTTTCCAAACCCATGAATATATTCACAACAGCATGGGAATATTTGGCAAATGTAAAGTGGATACTGCGATTTGAATGTTGATTTCTTGCAATGACTGAAGAATACACTATATATATGTATATATGTACACATATATTATTGCATATAAATATATCTATACATACAAAAATAATAACAATAAGTAGCGGTAATAGAACGATGAGGGATATTTGTTTTACTCAAGACAATTTAAAACTAGGATACTGCTTTTTGTGTCCTGTGTGAAACCAAAAGTAAATAAATCTAAATAATATAACACACATATATTTGACACTCATACACCAGAATCCTCAAATTCCTGTGAAAAGGAAGAATACACTTTAATTGTATAGGAACATAATACTGTAGGAAACAGGGTCAAATTAAGACTGCTTTACAAAAACAATTTACTCACCCTGAACAGAGCATACTCAAAATACATCTTGTTCATACATTAAGAGTCTATTCAAAACTGGTCATTGTGATGTGGAATTCTTAATATCTCTTATGTAGACTAAGTAACTAAGTGTTTTGAGTATTTAATACATTCAAGCATTCTTCCAAAAGACCCTTGTGTTTTCTTTAGAAGTTATCATTGAAAGCAACTAAAACCCTGTCTGTGTTTTCCATATTTAAAAAACAATTTTCTACTATTGATTTCAGTAAGTAAACTACAGCCCCCTAAACAGTGTACCGCAAGAATAATCTTAACAAATGCTGCAAGCAAGGGGACAAGATTTGGGCATCGGAAGCATTCTGGTCTTTATTTGTAGCCGAGTAGTAGAGCGGCCTTGTTCAAGCAAGCGTTGGTTTAGAATTCTGAACTAAATGATGTTGGTCATACATAGTGGGTATTCGTGCCAGTATGTTAGGTAAACCTAGCTAAAAGTAATGAAGTCTAAATGCAAAATAGCTAAATATTACACAACACTTCTCAAAGTAACAATCACAAACTACAGCCTACAAAGATTACCATAAATATGAATACAATAAATTAGTTATTTGCACCAAATAAACTGGCAACTGAATACCTTTAGTGAATGCAGAACCATAAATGCCCTACCTCATATCTTTAAAATGAAAACCAAAACTGATCATCTTAAGCTGTTCCGTTGACACGTGGAAGGAATCTACTTTGTAAATTATATTTTAATCTTTCCATTCAATATTGAGAGCCTGAAAAGTTCATGGGCTCATTAACACTGGCTCATTAATTGATCCCTCCTCTGGGAACCATGAATATCCCCCGAAAATAGTATAACAATGCACCATTGTTTTTAAATAGTGTTTTTTGTGTTATTAGAAATTTCTGGGGCCATAAATACTTGCTGCAAGAAAGCGCCACAGCTTGCTTTGCAAAACGTCCTATAGAATAAGTTTTGCTTAGCAAAATTCTTATAAGCATGTTTTAGGCCTGTATGCTGCATTCCAAATAAGAATATGTTTCAGTAAAGACAACTTTGAAACAAAGAGCTGTCAAACATGTGCTAATGTATTCTAAATTGGGTCTTTTTTCTTAAAAGCCACAGCCTTCCTCTGAGGAAAGTTAGGCTGGTTTTTCTTTTGATTCCACTGGCACATTAGAATATCTCGGAAAGTTGTTCGGAAGGTCTTGTTGCAAAGGGCATAGCAGATGGGGTTTATCGTGCTGTTAACGTAACACAGCCAGTAACCCAGCGCCCAAAGCGTCTCTGGAATGCAGTCCTGGCAGAAAGTGTTGACCAACACCATGATATTATATGGTAGCCATGTTGTGATGAAGACGAAGAGGATGGCACTGAGTGTCCGAGCCGCTTTCTTCTCGTTGGCCTTTTTTTCATTCTTGCGCTTGTTGACCTCTGTCTTGGCCTTAGAAGCGAAGCGTTTAGCCATAGTCGCATCTTTGATGGTGATGGCTGCAGTAGATTGGTCGGCGGTTGATGAGTTGACCGGGTTTGATTGTGACCCTTTTCCACTTTTGTTGGACGAGTGTTTATCTTTATTGTTTTTCACCCTTCCAGATTTCTTTGCATCTAGACAAATAGAAAGATACATAGATAGCTAGATGAATTAGGCATGTATATGATTTCAAATATACATGCAACTTAGTCACGTTATCTCCAACCTGTTGGCGCCTTTGTTGGGTCTGCTCCGTCACTTTCGTCCTCTGAACCTGACTGCTCTCCAGCTTGATTGTTGTTAAGGCTGTCACAGCTGCTCTGCTCTGTTTCACCAACAATAGTTGTTGTGCTGTTGACGGACCTCTTTGATGCATTGCGATCTGACAGAAGTAATGAAAACTGAAAGCAGGATGCCCCACACCTCGCCTTGCTTCCCGTTCCTCCAGGTATGCCGGCATTTTTCTTGCTGTTCTTGTCTGAAGCCAGCTGATTTAGTTCGCAGCTGCTGCAGCTTTGAGAGCTTATGGCTGAAGAATCCTTCTGGCTGTTAGTCGCAATTTCTCCACTTGCTCTTCCTTTACCACTGCCTTGCTTCTGAGACTGGCTTTGGCTGTCGCCTGACCCAGAGGCCTTGAGACCTTGCATGTCTTTAACACGCTTCTCTGTCTCCTGATAGATCTTCCAAAACAGGAATGACATGATAGTCACAGGCAAGTAGAATGCAGCAACAGCAGTGGAGAATGTAATGATGGGCTCGGACAGGAACTGGATGTAGCACTCATTGGGCTGGACTGTCCTCTCACCCACGATGTACTGCCAGAAAAGGATGGCTGGGGCCCAAAGAATGAAAGAGATTGACCAAGCTAATCCAATCATGGTCATAGCTCGCTTTGTTGTACGCTTGGCCCGGTATGTCAAAGGTCTGGTAACAGAGAAATACCTAAAACAACAAGAAGAAATTAGGCAGCTGTGTTTATCAATCACCCATCAACCCGGCGTCACTCCCAACTTGTCACTGAGGCACTTTGGTGTCTGCATGAGACGTACAAGGATTACAATTAGCTCCTCTGTAAAATCATTGGCATCATTACTAGATAGCCAGTGCAACTGGTGAAATGTAATGAGTGAAAAGGTCTGCTCAAAGAGGTGTTGGGTCAAACAAACATTACATGTGTTACATAACTTCTGTACTTAACTAAGTACGCTTGTAAGTGACTGTAAGTAACTTAACAAGCCAACTTATTTTTTACAACCAACATATATGTATAAACCCAAAGTGTAAGCAGCTATTTTTGTTACCTTAACTTGACCAAGTTGTGCTGTACCAAGAAAACGAGATGAACCTATTTTGGAACTTTGTTTTGAAAAGACACTGTGAGCATGTAACGTTGCCTAGAGCGTTTTAGTTTGAAGTGTAGGGCCACTAATTAAGCTTTGGAATTTGACGATTTCAGAACATAACTGTAACTGCACAATACTCTCCATCACATTAATAACATCCTGATACCACATGTAAATATACGCCTTTCATTATTTAGACACTCTAAAACATGTAATATCAGAATTCAGAATTTATAATACATTCGGTTTGGCTACAATGACCACGCATTAAACTCATCCCAATTCATCAGGACAACACCATGAATCAGGAGCTCTTTCGTAACTTTTCTGATCTGGATCAGGAAACTCCTGAGGTCGACCTCCTCTTCTCCTACCATACCTCTCTGCCAGAAACCTCAGTTGCATTTAGCGATCCACATTCCGTTCAGCTACTGATTCAAGGTAGGAATGGCTCTGCGGGTCGAGATAAAAGTCCACCAACATGGTGGCTAAAAACACAATTTCCTCCTGTTTCTGTGGGATGGTCTGAAATAACTTTAATGACATAGGTTGCCACGTTTCAAGCTATCCTCAATACCTGTCCCCATATTCCGAATTATCCCAATCGTAGGAGCAACTAAAAGAACGTTCAGACATCTTATCTTCCCCATGCCTGTGCAGTAATCAGTCATGTCGCATCCCTCACTCACCTTAAAGGCCAAGGAGCCGTTTTTCTCAAGGTAAATAACATCTCCAAGAGTCTTTCCCATCCAGCCTGACAAGTGGGATATTTTCTCTGAAAAGGTGCGTAAGGTACTTTGCTGAGCGTCTGACCTTAGACCACCATCTTTTCCCCATGATTTGGGAGTTTTCTCGGTCAAATGGCAGCCAGAGTTCTCTTATATCACTTATTCCTCCACCATCTTTGAAATGTTTCCAGTCATCATGGCCGCTTTTCGTTAGGGCTCAGGAAGGGACTGCTCACAACCTAGACTCCACTCCTGCGGTTCAACTCTCCATCCATCAGCACACAATGCAAATTCTGTCTTAATTCCTTCATCCTTTACCCTCCATCTACCCACTCATCCACCCACAACCCTTCATCCTCTCATCACTTCATCCCTTGACCCTCATCTCAACATCCCCATCCATGCATTTCTCAACCTCCTTTCTGTCCATCAGGCAATACATCCTACATCATCGTGGCTCCCCTTCAGGTAATACACAATACGAAACCCATGTTGTTATTGCAGTGGTCTTTGTAAATGAACCTCTTAATACAATGTAATCCTTTAGAAGATGCCACCATCCACTGGTACGCTGTTTTATTTGAAAATGCCATCAGATAATGCTACAAATATATAATGTAGCTGTGAGCTTTCTATTAGGTAAGTTAATTATTTGTTGTTACCTGTCAAAGCTGATGACCAGCAAGTTCATGACCGAAGCGTTACTGGCCACATAGTCTATTGCAAGCCATAAGTCACAGACCACTGGTCCCAGAGCCCATTGGTCCATGATGATGTAGGTGGTGTATAGGTTCATTGACAGCGTGCCAATGGTAAGGTCAGCAAATGCTAGGCTAAGCAGGTAGTAGTTGTTCACTGTCTTCAGGGCCTTATTGATCTTGAAGGACACCAACACTAGGATGTTGCCAACAACAGTGACAAGAGAAAGTGATCCAGTGAGGAAGACAATTATGATGACCTGACAATGAAGACATAAGGAGAGAATGTACAAAAGAGGGACAGTGTTAGATTTTAGAATATCAACACCATCAAAGCTTTGAATTATCCTTAATATCAGATCAGTGTTTCTTAGAGCCAAAAATGGTATGGCAACAAAAAACTAAAATGATCCAAATTGCTGCTTAACACCAGTAGTGTTGTATTTCTTTTAAATAGACTGACTTTTCTGTTGATGACAGACTTTTCTGTCAACAACTACTGCTTTAGTTCTACTTCACTGTACTGAATGATACTCTCAATGCCCTGAACAATCGGAAACAATTTGCGGCAAAATTATTTTAAGCTTTCTCCAAAGGTTTAGATCAACACTTTTTTTTATGACAACCTATCAGAACCCACTGAAGAAGAACCGTACTTATAGACGCGCTTATATGAGAAGAATACAACTAAATGTTTGTCTGGCAAGCAGAATTCCTTGTTACTGAAAACATGGAATTTACACAGTGAGAACTAAAAGCTGCTCCTTCCTGGAGTGATCTCTACCAGCAGCGTACACATTATGTTGTGACCCATATGAGCTTACCAGTATATCTGTAAATGTGTAAACACTTTTGTATTAATCCATCAGGGGTCTTTTTATAACCATATCCAATATTGCAGTGTCACCAAACCAATTAGTAAAATAAAATAAAATAAAAGATTAGCTGTCTGTTACCTGCAAGACAGTATGTCCACCTAATGGGTCGAAATCCTCTGCTGGCAGGATTAATGTCCCGTTAACTGGTGAATCTGTGAAATTTCCTCCTTGCCTTGAGATATGAGTGACGTTATGCTGCTTCCATCCTCCAACACTGTCAGATAATATGGCCAACTCCTTGTAAGAGCCACCTGAACATGGAGAGAAACATCATTTACATTTCATCTGAGATCTGGAGAGTCCATAAAAACTGTCAGGGTGGTCTATCATACCAGATGACCTGTTGGTGAGGAAGTGGATAGAATCGGAGCTGGAGGTCAGGTTCATGATGACCAATGGACATCTTTAAAAATAAAAAAGAAAAAGGATTAAAAGAAATAAGGTTAATTTTGGAGTCATTTTGTAACATTTTTGCTTTGGGCGCTTGTAGCCTCTTTTTTGTCTCTGCTCCGAAAATGGCACTCCCATGATGAAAAGTGTTATAACGCTGGAAATGCTTTGTTCTATTGTACAATTCATTTTAGTGGGGATAAAAGGCATTTTAGCCATTATGCTACTAAAGCCTGAAGGTCAGTGATGAACCAAGATGACCTTGAATATTGAAGATTTAATTAAAATGCGTAGCTAGAAAACTGTTTTTGCTACTTTTTACAAAAAATGACATGTAATTAATAAATAACAGTTCTCTAAATAGCTTTCACTGAAGGTGATAGTCTTATGAAATGTTACAACTAAACAATTGTCAAATAAACAAAAGCGGGCAATGTGTTCAGCAGATGGATTTCATTTTAGTTTAGCTTTTGAACATTTGCCAAAATAGAATAGCCATTGCCACACTATCATGTGGTTGGTCTGCTTCGCTTTACACCACAGATGAATAAAGTCCATTTGTTTAGTCGGCAGCGGAGTTTGTTGGACAGCTTTAAGAACAAACCAAATGAACCACACATGAGCAGCAAACACGCCAGAGGTGACTTCTACCACACAGATTACTGGCAAATAACCCATAACGCGTTTTCACCTACATTTGGGAATATTAGACTTGTTCAATTAAACGACACTATATAATGATCCTTAACATGTTGCACATTTCACATTTGGATCAGTTCATTCATGTCATCATTTCTTTAACTTATGTGGGCATTGTCCAGTAGAGGCTCCTGCTTGTATTGAGTCCCACTGTCCACAGTAAGCTTATTCTTTCATTTGTTACATATTCTATTCACTCACTACTGATCGCAGTGTTCATTAGTTATTTGCTTTTCAACACAGACATGTATAGTTAAACAAGTAAAGGCATTGAACTCTGAGGATTTTTGATTTAAAGATGAATATTTCCTGCTTTTGCTTAAATTAATGAAGCACCGGGGCATTGCAGTTTCAGCCACTTAATTTCATGATGAAAATGATGTAAGCACGCTCATCGTTGCGAGTCAATTCCTCCGCTCCATTGCATTGCTGATTCTGGCATAGATTAGCATAGCCTGTAAAGAATAAATGACATTACTAATACAGGCTGTACTAATTAAAGCCAGAACCATCAGATCTCCTCAGCAAACGTCTTCAACCCATGTCTTTAGCTGTATGATGTTGGAGAAGGAAAAGTTTGCTGAAATGAAGACTTGTTAAACAATATAGCAGCCTGCTCTACTTAAAAGTGATTCAAATGATAATGAAGCTCAGTGTAGGTTGAATAAGGAGGAATATATGCTTTATGCATTCACAATTGTCTCTCTCTTACTCCCTCAGCATCTTCGCAATCAGTTAATTACTAGTTTATTAGTAACCCAACCTTGCCACAAACTCTCTAGCTACTGAATTTGCGGTAGAACTAAATCCACGTCCTTAATCTTGCAGTTTACTTTGAGTATCAGGAATCAGGAATCAGGAAACATTTATTAGCCAAAATATGTCAAACATACAAGGAATTTGTCTTGGCGGTTAGTGCGCGACAGTAGACAGACAAGACAAGACAACAGTGCACAAGTAATAAAATAAAGTGGAATGAAATGCTAATGCAATGGGTTAGTCGTCCCTTTTCCCGCAGACCTCTTTAATTAAAAAGACTATCAAACACAAGTTTGAAATTGTCTGCCAAAAAAGAGTTAGTAGAGTTGAATGGCACGAGATAAATACTACTTTATATGTTGTAGGAATTTTATACCTTTTAGGTAAAAAAAACAAACTGTTATACATGGAAATAATACGCTGCCCAATGGTTCAAACCACGCTGACAATGGAAAGGGCAACACTACAACGAGAATAACAAGAATAAAGGAAATCATTAAAGTCATCAGTAAAATAACCATCAAGCATGTATATCAAAATGTGACCAGACTTAAACAGGAACCGCTTCCTGCTTAAGTCTCAAGTATTTCACAAAAAAACAGCCCATATCGACAAACACGCAACATGGTGCTTTAGCAAAGCTCCTCTTCAAACTTAAAATAGAAGGTTATTCCAGAATTAGCGCTTTCGGAATATAAACTCAATAAATCACAGTTTATAACTATTTAATCAAACCACTGAGTGGATTGCAGAAGCCCACTCCTCTAGAAGAAAAGGCTTTTTCTGCACTGGAAAAACAAGTGGTGAACCACAGTTAGCGTATCCATTACGTGTCATTTAGCTAACGCTTTTATCCAAAGCGACTTACATTACATTTTTAACCCATAGCTCTTACACTTTACCTTGGGAGCACTTAGGGGTTAGGTGTCTTGCTCAGGGACACTTCAACATGGGACATGGAGCAGCCGAGACTCGAACCACCAAACTTGTGCTTCCAGCACACCCTCTCTACCCCCTGCGCCACGACGACCCCATAATCATTCTGAATGTATATGCATCATTTACTGAAATCAGACATTTATTTTGCTTGATGTACCTAACCTTCATAAAATGAATATTTATATATCTATACTATATTACTTTACAATATAGATGTAATACTATCATAGTGTTTCAGCAGTGATTCAGAGATCTTTAAAGAAATTAATGAAAAGATTAAAAACATGATTTTGCATTTCATGTATCAAACATATAGTCAAACAAAATTTGTTTGACTATATGACAATGTGCCACCCGCTGCATTTATTATATTTAAGAATTCAAGAAATCAAAAGGAAAATGGTGAGTTACTGTAATGAAATCCACTTACCAGTACACTCTGGTTCCCAGTATCCAATATGATATCCGAGCTGGGAAGCTCAGCTCTGCCCATGCAGCATGCTTTTTCCTGTTTTGGCCCAGACTGTTCAGTTGGTGTTTGACTGGAACCTCAAGCTCCGCCTTTGAAAGGCAATTTGCTCATTTCTGCAGTAGAACCTCTCTGATCTGGTTACATGACAGAAGCATTTTTAAGAGTTGTTGTCGGGGGATCCCTTGGGACTGGGACAGGCCATAGCCTGTTATATGGCACACCATTTGGTAATCGCTCTGAACAAAGTGTGACAACAGATATCTGTGAACATATCCATCACAAATGAGCTGCAATCATATCTATCTATCTATCCTTCTATTCATCTAGGTGTGTGTGTGTGTGTGTCATTCAACCAACCATCAATCCATCTATATACCCATCTATCGATCCACCTGATCTCATAAGTCTTTCCAAATCATACTGTCCTTCTGTTGCTCCAGGGAAATGTTATTGTAAAAAAAAGCAGAGAAAATCTGTGAACAAAAACCCTTCACATGGAAAAGCTGTTCGTTGGAATTTCTTCCAGAGTTTACTCTGGTGAAGCTGCAGCAGCCTGCTCAAAATGAACTGTACAAATTGTACTGATTGTTATAGTTTCACTAACCACTAGAGAGGTTGTTCATTCTGCACTGCAACAGGTCAGGTGTCCTATGTCAAGCGTGAGATTAATATGGGAATCCTGGGCCTGCTCCCAATGAAAGTGGAAATGATGATCTAATCTTTGCAAACATTTTCTTTTGGGATAAAACACTTCCAGCAGTAAAGCTTAAGAATTCTAATCTGGTGCAGGTGAATGGGCTCTAAAAACACCTCTCTGCTTGCATTACAGGCGTAATAATTTTCAAATGCAAGGCATATCCAAATATAGAGATTTATATGTGGCGATATATTTATAGATATATAGAAACGTATCAACCTTAAGAATGTAGTTCATTAGGCTGTGAAACCGTTTAATGAATATGATACTCAACTAACAATAATTGTCTGCCACTATTTATTTAAAGGATAAATGATAAGTGATAAAATCACATGCAGTCTATCTGCTCCCTGCTGAGCAGAGGAAACACAATATTCCTCCTTCAAGTCACCGCAAAGTCTATCTAGCAAAAATATCCAGATTTTATAACTCATCTCTAATTTCCTCTAAGACATAGACCAATTACCAATTTGCTTTAAGACCACCTCTACTACAATGTCCTCCTCCTCCTCCATGGTTGATCCTTCTTGCAACATCTTCTCCAATGAACAGTTGAAGCATCACATTTCTCAGACGCCTCACCCTGGTAAAAAGAAATCACACGCCTCACTCCTCTTTCTCCAATCTTCAAAATGTATCACATAACCATAACCGGTAGTAGGTCCAGAGTAGTGGGACCATGTAGGCTAAACATAGAATTAGTGTTATCACCATACCAAAATTATGACTTCGATACTATACCTGCCAAAATATTCCGGTACCCGATACTTTCGATACGATACCACAAATAGGATACTGGAATATTTATCTATGATAGTGTGACGACTCGAAGAGACTGAAGATTAACTTCCTGTTTTATTTTTGTAACCACGGCACTTCCTGTATCTAGTTTCCCCCCACAGCTGAGTTTAGTTTGTAATCACCCCCACCTGTATTTAAGCCTCAGTTCCCCACTTGTCTGTGTCAGGTTATCTTTTGTCGTTCCTAGAGGTACATGTTTGTTGTTAAATTCCCAGTGCTGTTTTTGTAATCTTGTTTCTACTTTGTTGCCAGGCTCTCTTCCTTTTTGTTTTCTACAAGAGCGTGTGGATTCCGCCTTTGCCTGTGCCCCCTTTGTTTTGCATTAGTTTACTCTCCTAGTAAAAGATTCCAAACCTTGAAAGAATTTTCTGTTGCCTTATTGCTCTGCACCTGAGTCGAAGTCCTGACCCCTCACAGATAGTAATAGATAAAACGTCTGTAAGGTTCCCTTTTTTACCTGGCATCTGTTTGACTGTCTGTCGGATAAACAATGCTTCATTTACTTGCATATAGAGTTTGATATTCTCACATTCATATTTTATCTTAATTCATGGAATAATTATTTTTCCTTAACTAAAACTAAAAAGAATTAGGTCAAGACCCACCCTCAGGCTCCACCAGCATGTAGCCTATTCCATCAAGTGTGTATTATTTGGTACAATTCTGTGTGCATTCTGACCTCATGATCATAAAGGCCCACATGAGTGAAATTATACACTGTAACAAATTGCTGTAAATTTACGGTGCATTTCTAACGGTATCTTACAGTATGTCATAATAACTGTAACATACAGTTAAATTTCCATCTCTTGCTTGTAAATTAACGGCCAATGTCATGAATAAACAGTTAAAGCTGTCAATTTACAATAATAGCAGACTACCGTAATTGAATTGCATGTTACATATATTTTATGAAGTGGTGGAAATACACATACAAGTGCAGTGAATCACAATCCATCTAAATCTGTTGTAGGTTAATGTATCGAAGCCCATGTCAGCCACTGAAAAACAGGTCCTGTAAGTCATCATAATGAGATGACTTTGACTTACAGGACATTACTATACATGCAGCTGTCACTTTTATCCAAAACGCCCATGGTTTGACATAATTTTATGTGGAGTAATTGGGGGTTAGGGGTCTTGCTCAGGGACACTTCGACTTGGCACAAGGAGCAGCCAGCATAGAACCGCTGAACTTGCACTGCACAGCACACCCTCCCTAAACTTAGCTTATTTGGCTACAAGTAGTTTAGTCTTGTGGTTGTGCATGGTTAGATGTGTGTCATAGGCAAAGTTTGAAAACTGAATTCAAGTTTAAATTAACCAAATTAATAGAGATATTAGTGTCTATCAGATTAACCAAGGATGATGATAATAAGGAGGAACCACACTGGGATCAGCGACCAATAGCCAAAAAAACAAAGTATAGATTCAGTCTCACTCAATATGTCAATGGTCAAAGTACTATCCCACATTAAGAGTGAACAGTGAAGGTTTGAATTCAAGCATGGACAATATATACCAGGAATCATCGAGTTTATTAACCTATTACTTACTTAATAAAAAAATAACAGCATTGAAATATGATGTAGAAATATGTCATGAAAAGTCATTCCACAGGTTATTGAGAAACATGAAATGATAGTATGTTGAGAAAAGTGTGTTGAAAAAGTCATTGTATTTTCTGTCAGTCATACCAGGTCCTATTAGGTAAGTTGAAAAAGTATCATCATGTCATCGAAAAAGTGGTAAAGTGTCCTTTAGATTGATGGACGACGCTTCTCTCCACTGAAAACTTATTAAAAACCTTTAACATAGTTTGGAATTTTGTGTAACATTTCTGCCCGGACGTCTGATGTTACACACTGTTCCTTTATCTATTTGATGCAAGTTGTAAAATGGCTTCGCTTTCATTGCAGTGATTACTAACCAGTCTGAATAAGTAACGACATTGGTCCGTATTAGTGATCGAGGATGCATTTTCAAGCCAAATGTGATGTTGTTGCGTTATTTGGTGGGTGGTCGATATGAGCAAATGTTTAATGAGATTGACCACAAGCTACCTAACCAACAGCATTCCAGTAACTCCCTTTCAAACTCTTAAGCTGCTTAAACCAATGGGTGGCTGTGGGTGCGTTGGGAGCACGATCGTCCTCCAATCAGAGGGTTGTCGGTTGGGCAACGTGATCTCCAAAACCTGTTGGTAAAAATGTATACGAAAATCTTGAACATACAAATTCGTAACAATACATACGAACTGGTGGTGGTTAACCACGCCCCTTGAGTGAACAACATGGCGGACCATGTTGGATTCTTGAGTGAACGTCTCTCCGCCATGTTGGATTTTTTGAGGGGGTTAGGGTTACTATTGTATTCTTACAATTTGACATTGATTTCTCGTAAAAAATGCAATCATAACACGTTTATTTTACATCGTTAGACTTCACAAAGTGTGTTTACGGGGTGCAGGTCCCCATTCACTTTGAATAGGGTGACGTCATCAGTTGCAGTCCGTATTTATTTAGTATGTATCACTACGAATTTGTATGTTCAAGATTTTCGTATACATTTTTACGAACAGGTTTTGGAGATCAGGCTGCCTTGGACAAGACACTTAACCCAACATTGCTCCTGCAGCTGCGACTACAGTGTGTGAATGTTAGTTACTGATGGGCAGGTGTCACTGCGTATGGTTCTCCTGTCATCAGTGTATGAATGGGTGTGAATGGGTGAATGATGTAATTTAGTGTTAAAGCGCTTTGAGTGGTCAGAAGACTAGAAAGGCGCTAAACAAGTACAGTCCATTTACAATTTACAGTCCATTTAAAACTCCTCCTGCTTACTTTTCACACTTTATCACCTTAGAATATTATTGTCTAAGATGCTTAATTAATTACTTTTATCTTTACAGTAATCATATTACTGTACTCGTAAACCAACATTACCCTCTCCTAAAGTCTCTGTGCTCTCCCTCCCCACAGGCTTCTGTGGATGGTGGTTCTATGTGATGGTGGTTCTATCTGATGGTGGTTCTATGTGATGGTGGTTGCCCCTGCAGTGGTCCTGCTGTGCGCCTGGCTTACTACTCACAATTACTTGAATAATTTCTGTCATAGGAAATGCATGTATTATACATTGTTCATTCTGTACACATGGCATCCATTGTAGTCTGTCCATCCCGGGAGTGGGATCCCTCCTCTGACGTTCTCCCTAAGGTTTCTTCCCTTTTTTCCCTCTTGGAAGGGTTTTTTCATTTTTTGGGGAGTTTTTCCTGTGCCGATGGTGGGTTTCGGGACAGAGGATGTTGTATGTGTACAGACTGTAAAGCCCTCTGAGGCAAATTTGTAATTTGCGATTATGGGCTATACGAAATAAAATGAATTGAATTGAATTGAATTTACCAGGATCTTGTTTTAACATTGAGGGCACATTCTTAGAAAATATTATTAATATTATAGTATTTCGTAAAAGGAAGTTGTATGAATGTGGCTCATTGATATTACACGTCTATTACAGATATGTCATATATACCCCCAAATATAAAATGTTTTCAACATTTTCAATATCAAACAACAATGCACACAATGCAGGAAAGAAAACTGCTTCAATGGAGTAGATGTCGTCTCAGTTGGTCTCTAGACCTTCTTCTCAGATTTCACCCGCTGAGGCAGCACAGCTAAAAGTGTGCAACAAATGAAAGCAGCTGCGTTGACATGAAACACAACTGGCATTTCATGTAAAGGCTTAACATTGGAAAATGGAGATCTCATAATATTGCCAGCATTTGGAGAAGCCTGAAGACCAATCGTTCTCACAGACAGTTTTGGACCACTTCTCTTTCAGGCGTTTGTATGAGTTGCATTAATGTCAAGTTGAACCAGGTTGCACACATTCAAACCAACCGTGGTTTCTAAAATGAAAAGTAGACGTTTTCAGTGATGAACTACTTTTCATTTTGTTTTATTTTATAGCAAATGAATTCATCTATATATAAAGTTGTATTATCTGTGTTTTAAAGACACACAAGTAACATATTGTTGTTACATTGGGACCTGGCATCTGTTTTCAATTCTAAGAGCAATATTTAGACCAATTTTATCAAATTAAAACAAGAAAAAAAAAATAGACCAGAGATCTGCCCTGTTCACATGTATTAAGTTATTAATTCAGACATTGTCAAAGATGGTGAGCATGAATAATTGTCTTCATAGACTTTATATTCTATATCAAATAACAACAAAGCATGCACAGACAGTCAACAATGTACAATTAATAATTTTCTCCTCGTCACAAGTTAATAAATAAAGTTTTATTTCCAAAATCATGCAAATTCATTCATTGTTCAGGACTCAGTCCCACTTAATACATTTATCCCTCACAGGTTGCAACAGTCAACTCAAAAAGTCTAACTGGTGCACAATTCAGTGGCAAATTAACATGCCCCTTCTGTTATTAATATTAATAACAAAACACCATTTGGTAATGGCATTATTCAGTTTGAGGTGGTATTGCAATTAAAATAGAAAGTGAAAAATAGGCATGGCATCGTGAGCACACAGCACTCCACTGGAACACTTTGAACATTCTTGTATTGGTCCATTTATTTGTGCTAAATGTCTCCTTCCTCATTCAACGTTAAGGGTGTATTCCGTAGAATCAGGCTCTTTAGTCGTCTCCTGGGGCGGTATGTATTTTACTTGTACATAATGTCAGGAACTAACTGACTCAGGTAAGATATTGACTTCTAATGACTAGTAGCAATTACATTTCACGACCACTTTTCAAGGTGGGAGTACTACTCTTCTTAGCAAATGTTTGGTGTTAGTTATATTTAAAACATAGAAAACACAAACATTCGGCAGCAAACTTCTATTGCTGACTGCATCATACTGCATGTTGATCATAAGCCGAACCAGTAAAAGTGTTACTTTCTCTGGAAGAAAATAGGACCTCCTCTACGTGAAAGCTGATAGCAGAAACACAAGAGTGGCATATGTATAACAATATATAGATATATAACTATATGCTCTTCTGCACCTTTAAAGTTAAATGTTTTGTTTCCTTGCCATTATTATTCATACGCTTATTTATATTGAGTTAAATTATTACACAGATTATAAATGAAATGAGTATTTGTATTTTAAACTGAGACTGCGTTAAGCAAGCCTTTATTTGTTTTGCCTTTGTTTGCACTTTACAATGGTCAGTCACCTCCCACACGCTCCCTGAAGGGCTATTGCTTGAGCCTAAAATGATTCTTAAACAAATATTTGACTTATAGTATATTTAAACGGAGATGGAGAAGTGGGAAAAAGCCAGAGCCACTCCCTTTTTTTTCAGGGACGCAGCACGTGGCAAATGACTTTAAGAGTTACATTGAAAGACACAACACTTAAATACAATAATACAGAAATATTAATTATTCTTAAATAATCCTAGTATAGTTATAGGTGACACAGTGTTTGTGTCTTTGATATAGTTGTTAATCATGCAATGGCAATTTCTTTAGATATATCTTTTTGGAGAATGTCAATACAAAAACAGTAAGTTGTTTTGATGTATTGCATAAGACCATCACAAAAAAAAGTAAAAACAGATAAATCAACCGGTTTGGATAAGCATATAAGCATTCATTCAATCAACACAAAAAATGAATAGTAATGCAATAATAACTGTGCTTCAAATAAAATATTGGGCCTCATTTACCAAAATACTCCTAAGTTCTTAGTATATTCCTTATTTCTTACATTTGTTCCTAAGAAAAGTCTAAGCGTGATCCATGACGTGTTCCTAAACAGCGGAATTGTTCGCAGGTGCGGTCTTAGAATAATGAATCCCAATATGTCGTAAATTGAAAACTTGTGCTCTATTGCTACTATTTAGCATAGTTTAACGCCCTGTTAATTCCCAAATGAGCAGTAAGTGTAGTGTGCATTTATTCAAACAAACAGACATAATTATGTGTAGAAATATCAAAATAATGGTTGCAAAATGATAAAGGAGAGAAATGTTCCATTTTAAATTAGAACGGACGAAAATGGTATAACTACTTATTTTGCGCAAACATGTCAGCTCTCAACTGTGTGTAAGAGTGCTAAGAATTCTGTTTTTACATAAGAAAACATTGGTGAAGGCCAGAATCTTTGTGAAAACTGCATAACTGGGGATTAAGCAAAAATTTGTTCTTAAGAACATTTGGTGAATGAGGCCCATGGTTTATGATGTTATTAATTTGTTATTCATTTAATTCGTTCAACCCACATCCTAAAAGGTTAAACTTTGTATGTGTGCAATGGAAGCTTTGTGTTTTTCTTCCACTTTAATCATTTAATCAGTCGTCTTTGCAGTGAGGGGTGTAACAATTGAAGTGCAGAGCAGGAAAAATAGCAATATGAAAACATTGTCATGGATTATGGATATCTGTCTCTCAAAGTTGAGATATATTAGTTTGTATGTCTGCAGCACTATAACACAGCTACGGTAATTCTACTATTCCTTATGTAAAGCGGTATAACACAAGGAACTCTCATAGTTTCCAAGAGTTGTTATTGTGACAACCGAATCAGATATAACTAAATAAAGTAGCCAAAAAATATATGTTTGTTTAGAGTTTCAAAGGGACAATGAACAGTATATTTTGGTTGTGTGGCTACTGTTGTTAGCATTAGCAGTATGACTAGCTGCTAGTGTTAGCCAGCCTGGCTACCGCCATACGAATCCCAATTCGACCCACAAAGCCCCGACCACAGTGCTGTGATTCCGGCGGTGTCTCTGCTATGGCTAAAAGGTGAAATGTACCACGAGGGGAAACGACTCAATGGTGGTCGTTCAAGGACCTGCATATCCGCATCGGCTTAGTTTTTGAGACCAGGAGATTGCTGCTCGGCTGTAATGAACTGTGCACATGGAGTCCCTCAAAATAAAGATAGAAGCCATCTGCACTGGACAAGTGCATTTTTTTAAATTGTCACACCCCCCTCTTCACTGCACAAACCTACAATACAAGCACAACTTAAAAGTGAAATGATGTCATGTGATAGTTCTAAACAGGTGTGCACCAGAACTGCTCAAGGACCATTGTGGCATGCCAGACATTTGAAATTCCCAATGACAGTCCTGAGGGCAATTCTCTTACCTTCTACTTCTACTGTTGTATAGTGCGCACACATAGCATGTTTCCACCAGTCAGCCTGCTCTAAGAGTGCGTTGTATTTATGTCAGGCCTTCTGAAATGCCTCTCTCCTCCTCCATAACTTACCCCAGGCTTAGTAAGGCACTATATATCCACTATATCCATCCCCCTGCTTTTATCCATACACTGTTCATTTGCCTTCAGCCCGTCCTCCAGCTGTTACTGATGGGTTGCTCCAGTCTGTGAATATTCACCTTAGTTAACAAGCATGTGATAACTTCATCTTAAGCTATACAGTAAAAACAAAGGTTTTTTTTTTGCAGATTCAGTATTGCTTTTTTATAAAACTACATCCTTTGATTAACAAATGTACCGAGCATGCTCTAGTTAAGAAGCATTATTTGAAAAAAGTCCTAACCCCCAACTAGTGACACTTACAGCCTGTGATGTTTGTGACACTCCACAATACTACTGTGCAAAAACAAAAGCAAACCAACATGCTGACTCGTTCGTTCTTGTTAAAGCCTCGACAAGAAGCAGGAATATTGAGTTTGCCTGAATGGTGGCTGGAGGTCAGAGGCTCAGTACATTTCATGGCAATCGGACCTATTTTGACCTGGATCAGACTGTTGGACAGACAGCGACTCTATTCTAAGAACATGCTTCTTACTGGGGCAAAAAAAATCATTAAAAGGGTTTCTATTTAGGGACTAAACATGTCATTAATGAATTTTACCATTTTGAAAACATAGTTTGGAGGTTTTATTTATTCATGTAGTCTTTAAAAAAAGAGATGTAGATAAATTGCAAGCTTATGGAGGACTATGACATGTTGATGTTTGGCTGACACTTTGGCACTTTCCCGGTCAGTCAGTTCATCTGGAACAAAACATACTTTGACCATAGTGCTAGCAAGGTGAACACTTAATAAGGGAGCCCTTCACATAGTGTTGGCATGTACAGGGTATGGACAAAATATTAACATCTGGAACCTGTGCCTTTATTCAATCCAGTAAAACAGCCCTATTTGTGAAGATCAGGATGTCCCGTTCTATTTGACCGTGTCGCAGAGGTGTTGATTTGACTCTGGTAAGTGTGGAGGCCGAAGTTTGGTGGTGTTGCATTAGATTATTATTTTGAGGCACCTTAAATCTTTCCACTTCACATGTACCACAAGCTAGAGTTGAATTGAATCCCTCACCTCTTTGACAGTCTGATTCTCAAAGGTCTGAGTGTTGCAGAGCTGTTGTGTTGGATTACAGCGGCGTTGTTCTATCCACATCCTGTACCTACATGCAACGTGCATTGTACAAATGAAAAGCAGTAAAAATCCTCATACTAATCTCATTGTCTTGACAGTCTCTCAGAAAGAATTCCCTTCATTTGCCATCTGCTCTCCTCCCTTGTCCGTCTTATACGTCCTTACTTTCCTTTGGCTCCAGCAGTATTTTTTGCTTGTTACTGCGGATGTGAAATAAGATGAAGCAACAAAGTCCTTATCTGAGCCAAAAATCTTGACATGCCACCGGCCCCTTCACACCATATACTCTGATATTTTCTATGTACAAAGTCAGAGTTTAAAGCATTCCAAGAAAAGTGTGCTGGAAGTTGGTGAAAAGCTGGCGAGTTGAGTGCCTGGATGAGGAAGATCCAGGAGAACGGTTTAGGGCCTGTTGGAGACGTGGTTCCTCACATGGGAAACGAAGTCGAGTGTAGAACTTGTTTGTTTGGTTGGGTCTCCTTAGAGAAAAGTTTCAGGGAAAAGCATCGGGGAAATGGCTTCAGAGGACCTTGAACAGGTTACAGAATGAAGGGGAAGAGTTTGTTGCTGCAGGAAAACTGATCAGTTAAGCTGATCCTCATATTGTTTCCGGAAACAGTCACCAGCAGGGAAGAACTCCCAGCAACGCTCTTGGTACATCTTCCATACGTAAGATTCCTTTAAGACAGAGAGAAGGAGGGAGGAAAGGATTACATTATGTACAGCATATTAAGAGTTAATAACTTCAAACTCTGTCTGTGTTTCCATTCGATTGTCAAGCGAACAATTGAAATGTTGCACCACATGAAAAAGGTGAATTAGATACTGTAGAGACCAACAGGTTTGGAGTATATAAACTCAGCTACGGTTAGTTGGTCAGAAGAGAAGACACGGCTGTAATCGACCAGTCGAAAGAGTAGAAGAAGAAGTAGAGGTTGGACGCCCGAAACAATGCAAGTGGCCGTGTTAATGTAATGCATGTACAATACAACATTGGTAAAGTTTAAATGGGTATTTTTTAACCATGTTTCATCCTGTCCGGAAACAACGACGACGACAACCTAAATATACATCTGGGAGGGCACCAACAGCGGAGACAGCTGATTAGTCATGTGACATTTGCTAAGAGACCGTTTATTCAGCAAAGGTACTTCCATAATCCATTACACATCAACTTTTTGTGAAGGTAAACACAAATGTGGCCCAACTGAGGAAGTTTGAACACATTTTGTTGTTTCTATACAGCTTTTTTACTACGCTGGTTTAAAATATTTATAATATTTATGATGGAAACACAGCTACTGAGGCATTGAAAGCCTCAATACGCTTCAGCAACACCTTCGTATGAACAAGGGAAGCGTGTTTATTACCTACGAAATGCAGTTGGCGGGCCATCAAACAGAAGGGTAAGATTTCCCATTCACTATTAGAAAGGTTTCAGATGCTGTCAGAGAACGAGCAATGTAGTTGAAGCATACTGAGGCTTCAACGATGCAAGCAGCAGGGATCTGAAACCCCGTGAAGCAGCTACTAACCACATTACAGCACCACACTGATGACAAAGGGAAATGAGCTGCTTTACCTGGCCTGTGTGCTCGGTTTCATCTTTGTTGATGAGGTACATCACAAAGAATCTGAAATACAAACACACACACACACATACACCCATTGTGTGTTTCAGTACTATCGTTACCCGAATGCACAAACACAAACCAGCCAGATTCAATCCATCCATTCCACTGGCAAAATACACAGTACACATGATGATCAATAATGAAATAGAGATTTGGGTTGAATCAACAGCATAGAACCGATGTTAAAACACATCATCCAGTGGCTCTTGAGCGGATGAAGGGAAATTCATTTCAACTCAGCAACAGGAGGTTGTTGACTGTCGAGCCCCACATCTTCACAGAGACCTGATCCATCGGGTCCTGGCTCAAGCTGAGCTTGATGTGTGTTAACTGGTTTTATGTCATCGCTGCCTTCCGGTCGCCAGCCAATCAGGTGTTTTTCAATACAGCACTCACGCAACTTTAGTGGTTCACACACTCAAAGACACACACACACACACACACACACACACACACACACTATGAGATGGACTCACAAGTAGTTGGCGAGGTTGTGCTCCTGTAGCGTGTGCGTTTCAAAGCCATGTGGCACTGTGTCAAAGTAGTCGTTACCTATTCCACAGATAAAACATTTGGTCTGGAAGAGAAACGAGTCAGCGTTAGGTGATGTCAATACACACACATTATTTAAATCTATATCTATATATCTATAGATATCTATATTTTATTTTTTCCCCTACTATTAAATCAGGGGAACGGCCCCAGGAAAGTCTGTTTAAAAAAGAGTATCTCTCTGTACCTCCATGTCTTCTTTCACTTGTTCCTGCTGGTCCCTCAGTTCCCCAAAAGCGTCAATGATCAACCCTACAGTGTTCAGACCACAAATGGTGTACACATTAACTACCTGCACCACAACCAGTGGAAAGTCTTTGGTTTCATGCAAAAAAATGGCAAATTTATAGTTCAATGTGAAGTCAAGGTATTAGACCTTTCTAATGTAAAAACATAAAAGACTCCCAACTACTACTAAACATTTAGCTCAAGCAGAATAACATCTAAAGGGAGTCATCTGTGCGCGTGTGGTTCGGATGGCTCACCCTGTATGATGGCCAGGAGGATAACGATGACGAAGAAGAAGAAGGTGATGTCAAAGATGATGCGGTAGATCTCATACTCGTCACCTGCTGGGTCCTCAATCTGGTCACCAATGCCTCCACCTGCTCTCACACCTACATACATGTGGAACATGTAGCACTGGCAGAAAGGGGAGAGGAGGGGGCAGACATGTAACCCTGTGCACTTTTTGGGTCATTTTTAACTCATTTTCAGTAATAAAAAGATGTTGGACTGATTGATTATGTACATTATTTAACAATGTTAAGTAAGCGGAAAATAATAAAGATTTGAGGGAAAGATGAGTGAATACGATGGGAAAACCCTGTACAGAGAGAGAAAGATGAACGCTAACAGATCCGCTCTGATCCTCTCATCCGGCTGTGAGTATTATTGTAAAGGATTTATCCACATTAGGGAGAGCAGGGAGAGGGAGAGGGAAGAGCACAAACGTGCCAGAGGCAGTGGTCCTTGTTCAGTCCATCCCTCCATCCCACTAAGCCCCTGTCACCTTCCTGGAGACCGGTTCGAGCTGCCACTCGCGGCCCCTTAATAGGTAACAGAAGAGCTCTGTGGAATGCTATGGGTGGCTGACTATGGGGGATTAAAGGCGGTCTGTGTCCGAAAATTTCCGGGTGGCAGAAGGCCTCAGAAAACACACACACACCAGAGTCCTTTTATAGTATTTCTACGGTATCAGTGAACAGCCACATCACAGCAGCCATTTATTCTGTCTTTTCTTGTTTCCACCCACCACCACTGACCAGACGGAGTGAGATCTGACTCGTGCTCAACAGGCATCAAGTGCAGCGACCGAGTTTAACGCGCTGATTAATCTCTGAAGTCTCTAACCTCAGAGTCACTAACCTGTAACATGAAGCTAGTTCCCCGTTAACCAGGAGGAATCAGAGCAGTAGCTTTGCTGCTACTGTAGCTAACCTGCTCCCTCATCTTGAAGCTGATTTCCTGTTCCAAATCCCGTTATCCAGGATCATCATAGTTACTGTACCCCACAAAGCCTTTAATTGAGCTTTCATCACTGTGTGCACCCCAGGTTGGTAGCACAGAATTCATCCTTCTGATCCTATTCAGATTTTACTCCTAAAAAGCTGACAAGTGGGCAGGAAAATAAACAGCAGAAAATAAGAGTGTGTAATCTTGCAGCAGCTCAGCTGAACCGCGCACAGAGCCCGAGGGTCGGACTGAAAGCTCGGACCCATGACGTTCTGTCCATAAATGGTGCTGGACGCAGTGTACTGGCAGGCTCCTCGGGATACTGAGACCGGCCTTTTCTGATATGTGTGTAACTTCAGCGGTGTTACTGCACAGAGCTGATAGATAAAGATGCCTCAACAGGTTTTCTAGTAAAGCACAATATGTTGAGAATACTTTATCTGACTCAGATAAAAGTTCATATGGCCACTTGAGGCTGGTTTAAAAAAAAAACGAGGTTCACAAATATATCTCGGTGTTTCACAATTGTAGTCCTAAAAATAATTGGCAATGCCACTGTGACTACGTCTACTTTCCCGTTAAAGCTAAACACGTATCATACTCACCGTCAACATGTCGTCACACTTCATGTCTGGCAGTTCTCCGTCTTCACCCTTGTTGTAAAACTTCCTGAAGAAGTTGAAGGCCACTACTGTGTAGAGGTACACCACCACTGCTAACAGGCCAACCGTTAACACCAGCTGAAAGGAAGGAGAGAGGTCCAGCTGCATTCAAGCAGTCACTTCTGTGCGGGTGCCATTACTTCCAAACGCTACAGTAGACATGTGTATACAACGTGAAGGATGCTGAGGTTGATCCCACTGACTGACTCTGACATTCCACCGGTCACTTTCTTTCCCACTGCACACCCGTCACTTACACTTTCACCTTTTCCACTCGTCACTTTTGTCACTTTATGTTCACTGGTGCACTTTATTTTCCATTTTTAAATATTTTTAACTTGAACTTTTATTCCTTTATTATAAACAAACCCATAGCCTTATATTACTAACCCAAAGAATTATTTTTTATTTTATTCCTTGTGCACTGTTGTCTTGTCGTCCATTGTCGTACTGTCTGCTGTTACGCACCAAGTGCAAGTCCAATTCAACATAAGTCCAATTCCTTGTACGTCTGACGTATTATGGCAGTAAATGATTCCTGATTCCTGATATGAATGGTTAGTGTTCATATCAAGGATGCAGGCATGTGGTCTGAGTCTCATTGTTTTGGACCTTGTTGATAACCCGGCTGCACTGTTTTAGATTACCGTATTTTCCGCACTATAAGGCGCTCTGGATTATAAGGCGCACTGTCGAGAAAATTAAAGGCTTTTAAGTGCGCCTTGGAGTGCGTAAAATGCGGTAGTTATTGACATACATTGGTGTGGTGTGGCAGACTGACGGGCAGCATCTGTCTCCTGTCCCCATTTAACTGAAGGAGATGTATTTGCGTTAGGACTACGGTGTGTATCATCAGCGGAGAAGTGAGTCAGCCAGCTGTCTAGTGTGCCAGTGGGGCCGAATCATTTCTATGGTATCTTGTAATACATTAAATAGTTTGAGTACAAGCGAGCTGATGCTAATACTTGTCTGCAGATGTAATTCTGTTGGCTATACCTGTTTTCCGTTGTGCGTGACTGAAGACAGGATGGTGCGGAGCGTCTTGAAGCCCATGGCGATGTCGAGCAGATGGGCAGCAAAAAAGAAGTTGTTATAGTGACCCAGGATGGACATGGTCATGTACCAGGCCAGATACAGGAAGGACTGCAAGAAGCCAGCAAGAGGAGAGAGGTTACGTCATAACCCGTTACCACAGAAGATGTTTAAACTAGGGTTTTTTAGTTTACTCTTTTTTGCTGTACATACCCAGGTAATAAATACTTCATCCATAAAATATTCCAATATTTTTGAAAACGCCTGTGATTTGTGAATGGGAGGCAGATATGCAGCGCTGGGCCTCTACATACTTACATTGTCTGTGAATACAACGCCCAACTTCCAGATCTGGTACTTGACATCAATGGAGTTCAGCCTGATAACAGAGGGAGGAGATGTTCACAGAGGACAATCATGTGTGGAGCCTCCCACTAGCTCTTCAAGAGTCATAAAAGTATCGTAAATTGTCTCCTTATGCTTTTATTGATATGTGGTATTAATTGCCCTGCATGGGTACTCTCCTGTAGAGCATGTCTCTTTTTATTGAATTAAGTACTGTATATGACAACTATGGTCCCCCTACAATGTAATGCTGTGGCACTGTGACAACAAAATACACCCATTACACCTTCATTTATATATTATATACAAATGTTTCAGTCTTTAGATCAAACTCCTAGTGTGCCTGGGAAGCCTTACACACACACACAGAATACTCACACAGCTGCCAGTGAGCTGTCTCTCCTGGGCTTCCTCTTCTTGTGAGAGTCACTGAAGTCCAGAGCAGCTTTGTCCATTCCCAGCAGCTCACTGATGCGGTCGTGGCCGTAGAACTCCCCGTATTTATCCATCACCTAAGAAAGGGCAGGACATCTTTAATAAACACGTTGCATCTCAGATGGATCTGAATGAGTTGTTTTAAATTGCCAGCAGCAGAATAAAAGGTGTTCACTCATTAGCTATTATTAAAACCACCAAAGAGGAGAGAATATAAATGAAATAGCATCTCTGAGGAGACAGAAAGGTCAAAGTGGCACGCAGCTCCCTCCGTCAGGCTGAATTATATCACTTATGATTCTATGTGGGATTTGGAGTAACATTGTATTTGTTACCGAGACGGTGGCGTTATTATGTCTGTGCCTTCCTCTAGCCCTCCCTCTGTCAAATTCTAAATCCATACCTACATACATATATCTGTAGCTATATTGTTCCTAAAATATTACACAGAGATGATTATAATGTGACTATATGTTGGAATATAGAAACCATTTTCCTCTACACGCTGAACCAAAGTGCCCTTATTGCCCCAAGTACAGGTAGTGATACGACCTGCCAATCCCACAGTAGCCCCGCCCAAAGGCATCCCCTTCTTTATGGGCCGTGACTCTGAATGGACCTTCATTTACTAAATGAACATCACCCTGCATTAAGCAAGAAGTGAAACTAGAGCTTTAGACCATAAACTCATGTTTACAACGTTCACTGAGGGAATAAATCTAAAGTAATTTCTCTCATAGACTTCTATACAATCCGACGTCTTTTTGCAACAAGAGATTTAACGGCCCTTCCCAACTCACAGTCAGCAATGTGCCTCATCACATCCGGGGTTTTTAAAATACCTTAAATTGACATTTTGAAATAAAAAAAATGTATTAAAAAGTTGGATGACCCTAGTTTCAAATTATAAATGAATCAATCTCTATCTATTGTTATTGTTCTTTAGTGAACGTGGTTTTGTAAGAAGCTCCCGGTAATAAGACAAAACTGTTATTATTAAAAAAGAACACCTACCTTCCTCTTCACAAACTTATCCCAATAGTTGTTGGGGAAAGATCTGAAAATCAGAAGGACACTCATTTTAAAGGACTGCAGCAAACAGCACAACCGCGTCTCATGTTCGTCCTCCTGGTTCTTCACACGTCTACCGCTTATTGCCATTTGTCCTTTCTAAGAATATTGTTGCAGTACAGGCCCTACACACCCCATACACACACAGGGCCTACTCACTGTGTGTTGATTACCAGTCTGTCCCACTGTCCTTTGATGTCATCCTCAGATGGTTGTTCTGTGATGTAAAGGCCATCAAATTCCAGCTTCCTGGCAACTTCCTTTTCTCTCTTAAAGATCACCAGTGGTACCTACAGACACATGCCAGTACAAAAGTAAATGAACTTAAAGGCCTTTCAAATGTTAAAACAATTCTCTAATAAGATTCAAGGGTAGAAACAAATTATTTCTTTAAAAAAAAAGTGAAGAGATTCAAATGTTTGTAATTATTTCTGCTGAACAGTAGCCAGTCCTGCCTTGAGACAGTAGTATCCAATGATGCAAAAGAAGGAGATGACCGTGTGCAGGACAGCCAGGATCCGTAACATGGGCTCCATGTACCCAGTGCTCTCCTCCAGGACAAAGCGGACGGAGACGGGCTTCAGGGGCTCCCCGCTCTCCTCCACCCCCTCTTCCTTCGTCTCCACCGCCTCTCCTCCCAGTGGGTCCCACTGAACCCGGTTGTCTGGTTGGCTGCTGGTGTACGTCACCTCCATTTCCTCAACCACAGATGAGGAGGTTGACACCTGGAAGGAACCATTGAATAGTTTTCAGGTCCATACTTCAAAACTATGAGTTCTAAAGTGTTTTAAGTTGGATGAAGCAAGAAATAATTTGAATAAAGGCTGTAAATATAACGGGTGTCTGAAGAGTCATGGTGTCCCGTAAGGTGACACTACGGCAGGTCACCACATGTCTGCGTCGCCACGGAGCGACTCCAGCCGGGATTCTGGCATCGTAGTACAAGCGTTGAAGGGCCCTTCCGCGGGTCACTGTGCGGTTCTGATCAAGTCTAGGGTTTGTTTTTTGGTAAAAAATGTTCGGTAGACTAACTTTGGGCTAATTTCACCATTTATCTTGCAAGGAGAAAAGTTCTGCATTGTTAACTTTGAACACCCCAAACTAGCGATATATTTTATTTTCTAGCTTTATCCTTATCAGCATACAAACACAGCTTGCAGAATCTTACTGCAGAGCTTGTTGGTCTGAATGAGCCATTGCTTCGCTTTCTCCATATAACAAATGGAAAAAAGGGTCTGTGATAAATTGAGGTTTCCATCACCTGCCGTATAACAACATTACCTTATAGAACAGGAGGATGAAGTTGATCGCAAAGGCAACAAACAGCGCCAGCATCCTCATGTTGTAGAAGTTCCTGGCGAAGTAGTTCTGCAGGGGAGAGAGGAAGAAGTGCTGCTACTGTCGGGCCGATCCAAAAGCAGGTCACACAGACACTAGACAACATCAGCCCCAAAAGCTTTATGGGAGCGTCGCCCGTCGACAGGAAGTGGTTGGTGCTTGTTCTGTTTAAACTAAATACGAGGATTCAGCCGGCTGGAAGTTAGTAATCACTTCATTAAAATGACGTGGGCATGTTTCAAATGCACGGCCTTTTAGTTTGAAGGCTCTTTGTGTCCCTGGAGCTGCTCCCCTGCAGTGGAGGTAAAACAAGGAGGGAATTTGGTTTGCTATTCATCAGTGTGAAAGGAATTATGTAACTACGGTAAATCCTCATATTTTAACGTAGGGCGGGGACGGCAGTATATGCTTCCGACCAGCGGAATCACATTATAGGAGGGCAGTAAGAGCAGGAGGAGGAGATACAGCACGATGGCTGAAACATGAGGACAGACGTCTCCAGTACCAGCAGCTTCCTCTGGTAGGCTATGATCTTCTTCAGGAAAGCAGACTCCTGCAGATCCGGCTCATCAGACTTTGAGGTGTGATGCCTTCTCACTTTTGGCTTAGTCTTCTCATTTTTCTGTTGTTTCTCAGGTTTCTCTACACGTCCAGCCCTGAAATCACAAAACACACAGCTAACCACACAATTCTGCTTCAGACATTTACAGGGCTCAGTGAATGGACTGGAAATAAAGGTTTACAAACCAAAGTCCAGGTGTAAATGTCTATATTTTAGTATTAATATATTACATTTTACTATATATTCTTGTAAATCTTTAAATTAAATTGAAAAACTAAAAACAATGTAATAAAATATAAAACCAAAGCTATTTGCCACTGCCAGGGCATTAACGTTGTATCTAGATTGTTATAGAAAAACAATTTACCCTTGTTAAGGATTTAAGCAAGAAGTGAAATTATAATACGTGTAATAATTTTTAGTGTTAGAATCGTAGTTTGTGTGTTATTATATAATAGTTATTACATTAGCATGTTAGATGAAGTCAATGCAATACGAATCAAACACAATGTAAGTCATGTAAATCATATAAACACTGTACACATTAACATTCTGTCACAATGTGGGGACGGATGCTAGTTACCGTCCTTTACGGATTTCTTCCAATTTTCTCCCCAAAGAGTTTTTTTTGGGAGTTTTTTCTCCTGTCAGGTAGTAAATGAGCAACTGAATGTAAGACAGCCGATTGAGGCAAATGTCTTCAGTATTGGACCACATGGACTGTTTTAGATCTTATGAAGTAGTGTGATGAACTGTGATCATTTATGATGTGTTGTAATCACTGAGGCATAAATGTATCTACATTGATTGCATTGGACTGTGAGGGGCCGATGGGACAGAGAAGGTTTCAGGTTACAGCTGCAGCTTCACACCTCGATGTGAAGGGGACGATTCAGGAGGAGACGCGTTTGAAGGAGAACCCAATGACCTTCAAATGCACCCAAGACACACATCAATGACCAAAGGGGGAAAGGACTGTTAGAATCTCCTGCAGCCGCTTTGATAAGTCACTTTAGACTTGCTCGGAGAATTCTCTCTATTTTCGCGAAATATTCAACTGTTCGCATTGTGTTTCACTTTGTAACTGTATTCCTTATCACTTTGTTTAGTTACTGAATACTTTTTGATTTTTAAATTTGAGCAAGTTTGTTTCTGGCCGGGACGAGAACAAAGGAGTGAGTCCTCCTTCGGGGGCTTTCCGAACCCTTAACACCCTCCACGAACATAACATTTTAAGAAGAAAACATCTGGTTTCTTATTTTTTGAACAGGTGCCAGCATAAGCATGTGTCTTTAATCAGGGATCTGTCAATCAAATATATATGTTCAGTGAAGTAGTCACTAAGCACTAAGGATACAGCTGGGACCTTTTACTTTGTGAAGTACATACGTGGACTGAACGTCCATCACCCATTCACACACACACACACACACACACACACACACACACACACACACACACACTCTGATGGTAGAGCCGCCATGCAAGGTGGCCACTACCATCAGGAGAGTGATTCACATTCCCTTCAGGTGTTTGGTATCTGTCTTAAGGACACCGGTGGAGCGCTAGAGGAGCAGAGGATCGCAGGCTCGCCCTCTCTGACTGAGACACAGAGCCTGGGAGGCCAAAACGTTAGAAACAATTTCAGATATATAAGTGTGAATCTTTGTCTCTTATAATAATGGAGGATTATTCCTCCGTGGTTAAGATGATAGAAAAAGACAAGATTGAACACGTATTTCATAACTACTTTTGTTTGTAACGGGCCTTTCTTGGCAAATTCTTAAGGTGGACTTATTAATGTTCAACGCATAAAATATGGTTCTGTCAACTGAGTTAACTCTGTCTACCTAGCAGTGGTGTGAAATGTGGTGGAAAACAGCTCGTTACTACAGCTACAGACATTCAGGTTGTAACTCTTCAGCAACTGTGGCGTTTCATAGCCGCACGCGTTACTTCCACACTCCATCCAGTTCGGTGTTTCTTTTTTCTGTCTGTCTAGTTGTAATAACGTCAGCGAGCAGATTGAATAATAACACAAATGTACATACTCTGGTGATTTCTCAGGTTCACATTCTGTCTCTGCTGTCGCTGCCTTCTCCTCTGAGGAAGAGCTCTGCGACTGAAACAGAAAATAGAGTTTTATAGCCCATTATTCTGTCAGTATCAGTTTCTTGCCATGAATACACACTTGTGTATCGTTTGTTTTTTTCAGTGCTCAACAGTGTTGAAGTGAGCTTTGAATATGAATCTGAAGAAATGAAGTAAAATGCAGTGACATTGGTTACCAAAACAAGCCAATCAGTGCAATTAACAAAATAACACGATGTTTTATGTAAGTGGGGCTCAATGTTTTCTCTTGTGTCCTGCAAAGTAAAATGACGAGCAACAGGACGCAACTCAGACTCACCGGATGCCGCCGCCTGAGCTCAGGTGGGGTGTCTGTGGGCGGGGTCGGGGGTGTCGAGGAAGGAACTGGGGAGTTGAGCAGTTGGGTCAGGCTGGCGTTGGGATTATGTGGGGTGATCTTGTACTGCCCCCCCTCCCTTCTTAAATCCAGGCCAAAGATGTCCGACAACAGCTCGGTCTCGCTGGCGTTGACTGCCAGATCAGCCAGGTCCTCTTTAGCAGAGGGTCTCTTGTCTCGGTCCTCGCCTTCACCCCTCACCTCGTCCTGGGTGGGGTCAGGCATGCTGGCCAGCAGCTCCGACACCTGGGGTGGACGCAGTTTATGCATTTAGTTTTTTGTAATGGAGTGGATAAAGTGCTCTGGTCCTTCAGAAACATGCACAGCCACCTTAATGCTCTTGGCCCCCTCCACAAGATTGTCTCCCATGAAGCTGCTGTGGAAGATTCGGCAAAATCCTCGAGCTACACTGAACGCCACGTGCAGCAGGCCCAGCAACACTGAGCAGTAGAAAGACACCAGGGTGGTCACCATGTCCTTGACTGTCATGTTCTTTATCTTCTTCATCTGCTTCTTCAAAGTCTTCATCGACAGTACCTGAAGAGAGAGAGAAGAATGCAGTAGATCCTTTTGAGTGTTAACAAGCATCCACAGAAGGTCACTACGAGGATTATTCATTTTATGTTGATATTGGAGGCCCCAGTTGGTAAAGACGGTAGTAATTCCATGTTCTGTCCCTTTAGAGAACCTCTCACTCTCAGGCAGCCCCGCTCAGTCCTGGTTCACCCGTTTCCTATTATTGTACGCCGGACAAAAGTGCTTGTATGATAGAAGGCACTAATACTGTCATGCCTCAACAAAGTCCTTTAGGTGAGAGGAAGGGCTTCAGATGCAGCGTTGGTAGAGAAGAAGCTGGGTATCAAAGTGCTCGTCACAACCTGATGGACAGAGATGGGTTTCATGTGTGTTTATAGGCTCCATGCTTGTACAGACTAGGAGCAGGTGGACCAACGATGGACCACCTACCCAGCCCCCTGACCAGTTAGTGTACGCACAAACACGTATGGTATCAATCTACTCATCACACTCACAGAAAAGTAACCGCGCCTTTAAAATACTCACTTTGACTGGTAGCTGTGACGGTGCTGTGTGAGTCCTCACCTTTAGCAGCAGCACGACATTGTATTGCAAAGCCAACAGAGCCATGCGGACAGTGGTGACAGAGAAGAAGCCCATCTCGGGGTTCTCCTCGTCTGGCTTCTCCCGCTCACTCTCCTCCTTCACCGCTGAGCGCTCGCCGGCATCAGACATCCGAGCCGCCAGCTGCATTTCAAAGATGGTGTCCTCGCAGAAGTTCACAAACAGCTCCATCTTCTCCTTCTCCCCTCCTTCGTTCACCACATCGAAGATGAACTGACGCTTGGATTCCTTGACCTGTGCAGAGGGAACAGGTGTGAAGGAACACACACAAACGACACTGAAACCAAATCAAGTTGAGATTTGCAGGTAGACATCGTTTACCTGAGGTTTCTCCCACTGTGTTCGACTGGACTCGCTGATCTCAAAGTAAACCCTCTCGATGCGCTTGGCACTGCCCATGATCTCGATCCGACCCAGGTAGGGTTGGAAGTAGTTGAGCACGCTATCTGCCAGCTCCAGGAAGGTCTGCAGCCGGGTGTCATGTGGCATGTGCTCCGACAGGTTGGTCAGCAAAACCGCCACATTGAAGCCGATGTCCTTTTGAAAGAAATACCAATAAATAAGCTACAGAACCAGGGGAGCTTTTGGGAGTACATAACTGAAAGTCAAGATTAAAATTGTACTACAAAAAAAAGTACTTGAAAAGCTATAAAAAGACATTGAACATCTCTAACTTGATTTATTGAAAATGCTTGATTTCCATATCCAAATCCATAACTCAAATGTATCATTGTCAGGATGACTTTCTTACAAAGATAGATGGAAAGATATTTGCCTCACAATTTCCAGGCATTATTTTTTTCAAATTTATGTTGAACATTGGGAACACTATTTATACTTCTTTTGCAAATTATCCAAATATTTTTGCCATTGACTGTCTTTGCCGTACTCGTTAACTTTAATCTTCAAAATGTCAGAGTACGTTTTCTGGAATATTAACCCTCTTATTGTGGCTCTGTCATTTCTTTAGTTGTTTAACCTACAATGAATCAAACACATAAAACACGTCATAAAACACTCAACCTCCAAAATGTTGTATTTAAATTAGCAGGTCTCAGGATGGTCCTAGTTATATCACAAGTGTCTGAATGAGCTGCCAATCAAGACGCCCATGAACAAGGTTGGCATCCAAAATTCTACTGGGACATTCCAAACAAATACCCCCACCTTTATAGGAACAACTAATAAACTAAAGCAGGATAGAGAAAAACAAAAAGAGGACAGATGAATAGAAATAACAAGCGAGATCTCCCGCTAAACCCCATTTGAGAAGTTAAAACTATTCTCTAAGAATAGATTTTATTAACAGATTTTAAGGACTAAAGGGCTTATATTTGGACAATTTAAGGCCCTTATAAGACTTTATAAAAGATCTGTAAACATTTAGGTCATTACCTTGGCTGGCTCATGAAAGCGCTCCACAAATTCTTCATAGTCCAGGAGCTCATTCTCATCGGTCTCAGCACATGAGAGCAGGAAGTCGGTCTCAGACTGGGTGTAGTGTTTGTGGCTTTCCATGGCCTTATGGAAGTCCCTCTTGGAGATGACACCTGGGAGTAAAACCATGAACATATAAATGATCCGCTGCTCCACGTGCAAATGTGATGAAGGATAACTGTGGTTTGGAGCCTTGCCTTTTCCGTCAGGGTCATACTCTTTGAACGCGTCGGAGGAGGTCAAGTCTTTCAGCTTGAGGAACATGTCAAAGAACTTGAGGATCATCTCGACATTGTTGGAGGACTCCACCAGCATGTCCACCATCTGCTTCCCAATGGTCCCATTCACCACATTACCTGTGAAACCACAACGTGATACATTTCAAATCATTCACAAGAGATAAAGCCTGTGTCAAAATAGTATTTAAATAATATCCATTTAGTAAATCATTTAGTCCATTTAGATTCAAATCATCCATAAAGTATGGTATGGGCATGGCTACCTTGTGGTTGACGGATAATGTCAATTCTTGTCTTATGAAAGTTTGTTTTCAGTTCCACAAAGAATTAATTGTAACCTTTTTGGTCGGCCTACTTGGCGCTCCGTTGACCATAGCTCAACCCACCTGTATCAGTGTCCAAAAACCCCACGATGACGACACCCATAATGCCAAACTGCAGGCTTCTAATGGACGACGTCGCAGCGACTATGTTTACTTCAGATTCAGTCAGTGGCGAAGTGCCTCTTTTCCATCATTGAGTAACCTTCTGCCGGTGGATGAGCCGGTCGGGCTTTACATTAGACTCACACAAAGCCTTAACAGGAAAAAGTTGCCCTCTAACTTGTTTGTCCAAAGTTTAACAGATTCTTTTGTCATTGCTTGATTTACCTTTGAAAAGGTGTCTTAGAATACAATACGCATGCAGTCACTTAAGTCTATTTACTGCATCATTAGCCTGTCGAGCACTACTGTAGAGAGCAACAGCACTACTAGAGAGAGAAACCCATTAGTAGCATGTGTGTTAACTCACTGATGAGTATTTTAAAGACACAATTACACTCTCTCCCTGAGCCACACCTGCTTTGTGTATGTAATAATAATAATGAATACTGCTACAAGCAAACGCACCTTCCAGCATCGACAGCAGCATGACCACCATGTCTTTCTGAAGATCCATCAGTTCTTTCAGTAGTTCAATCTGACTCGAGTCCTGATGTGTAAAAAAGAGGAAGAGGAATATCAACTTGGCCGTGAGTGTTTGAGCCATCATAGCGACAACTACCTCAGAGAGGTTACTCACTTTGTAAAGTTAGATATCTATATGTGCTGAGAATGTTAAGGGATTAGCATCCATAAAGAAGGATGGTTACTCTGAATTCCAGGAAACGTTGTTTACCATATCTCTTTACTTTATTGATTCACAATTTGAAGTAACAGACTTGCAGTCAAATGTCCACAAGGAGGACATTATAATACGTTTTCAGGTTGAGGAGTTCAAGGAGGTTTTGTGATGACACATGTGATGGGGACAGGATTATGGGATTGGCTGGTAGTTAAGTGTCGTTGCTGCAGTGAGCAAGGCGCTGTGTTCATTCTTTATTCACACTATAAGTCAGGAATCTGGAATCAGGAAACATTTATTGCCAAAACATGTCAAACATACAAGGAATTGGCGGTTGGTGCGTGACAGTAGACAGTGTAACAATAGACAACAAGACAGCAGTGCACAAGTGATAAAATAAAATAAAATGAAATGCTAATGCAATGGGTTAGTAGAATAAGGCTATGGGTTAGTATAAAATAAGAGAATAAAGTTAGTTAAAAATAAAAAATATTTACAATAAAGTGCACTATCGAACAAGTGACAAAGTGACGAGTGAAATGACAGTTAAAAAAAAGTGAGTGTGTGATTATGTTGTCACCGCCTTGTTCAAAGTGACTTCAACTCACCTGAGACAATTTCATCTGCATATGAGCGAAGACGTGCAGAAACCCGACCACAGCGTCCCACAGCCGACTGTGGGCCAAACTCTGCTGGTTACCAGTACACGGACCCTGCAACCCAAATGGTAACAATCAGATTTCCTGCAGTCAGACCTGCAAGCGTTAGTGACAGTAACAGCCGACATACTTTGTAGGATATTGATGTAATGTTGCTTATCATGCTGTCCATTTACTATGCAGAAAAGGTTTTTATGAGATCAGGGATTTCTTGTCATACCCAGAAACAGACAAGCATGGCTACTCCCTGAATAAGGTGTGACTGTAAACATTTCCTCAGATCAATTTGTTCAAAAGTGAGGAAGCTCTCTGTCTTTAGCAAAGCAATGCACCCATTTAGCATTGTGGTGAGGTACCTTTAATAATGACCAATTATTAAATAATTGGTCTTTGTTGATTATTAATTTGGATTACTTAGGACCCTTTCATCCACATTTAAAAAAAATATTCTTCATAACGTTCATTTATATAGTAATCATTGCAGTGTGTTATTGTACCTGGATGTACTCTGTGAGTGTGTTGAAAACCTGCTTGGCCACATTTATTGCCTTAGAAAAATTCCTCTGGCCCTGCTCGTCAATAACATCTTTACCAGAATAATACCAATAGAAATCACTGATGGACTCCTGGAACAGATAAAAAGAAGACAAGAAGAGATCGATGATCAGTAAATAAAATGATGGAACAGTTTCTGATCATCTAAAAAATGAATTTCAGCAGGCCGGCCACCTTTTGGCTTTTGTCTTGGCTCAACAACTGACATCAGGTTTTATAATTTTGCTGATTTCATACTCGTTTTCTATGATCTGCGAAATTTAGGGACTATAATAGATGAATAATTCCCAGCGGGTTTTTTTTATTCATATTTTCTGAAATCTTGCCTTTGAGGGAGCCGGTGGGACAATTTAATGATATTTAACCTCTTTGTTCAGAAGGGAGGTGGGAGACTGTCCTTTAGTCTAATCTAAAATAAGTTGTGTTTTGTGTGTCTGTATGACAGACAAAAAGCGCACCTGCACTCTGAGGAGGTAGTCCACTGTCGAGATAATGATGTTCACCGTGGTATTATTCCCCGTTTGCGTCCTCAAGTAGTTCTGGAAGTCTTGAATAAACACATGAAGGAATAAATAAAGTAGTGAAAATATTTCTGTGACATTTTATGTAATGACCCAAAATAAAAGGAGTCAAACCGCATTAATTACTGTATTAGGTTGATTAAGACAAAAAACAACGTTGACATGTAGGTCCATTTACACCATAACCAGCATTAATAAACGTACCCCATATTGTCAGATCATTCATAGAATACACAACCTGCACACACCTGAGTTGTGTCCTTCACAGAGCAGCTGCAGGAAGCGGAAAAGGTCACAGGTGAACTCATCATCCTGCATGACCTTCTCACCTGGCCAGAGAGAAAACACACACACACACACAAAGGAACATAGACACACACACACACACACACACACACACGGACACACATGTGCACAAAAGTACACAGTCATGTGCAAACACACACACACACAAACACATAAAGAGAAGTCAAAGAACAGGGGAGACAAAGCAGACGACATGTAGGAGAGGGAGGATGGAGAGTGAACAAGTATTAAAAAGAGATGATCTGAGGACATTCCAAGTGTTTTTCTCAGTCTGGGAAAGATGTAGGCTCATAGTACACCATTCCGACTGAACACACACACACACACACACACACTCTTGGATGCCTAGTGGACAGCCACGTCACTCAGTGGTGGACTGGTTTTTAAAGTGCAGCATTTTACGGTCAGGACTGGATTTGGGCTGTTCATGCCTTCTCTGAGCCCAGTGGGTTAAAAGGAAAGCGGTTGGTCGCTGCGTGTCGTAGATTCTGCAGAGATTACGAATGCATTGAGGGAGTTGAGGACAGCTGCTCTGACTGTGCTAAAATGCTGCTTTAAACCAAGGAAATGCAAAAGGAGAATACGGTCAGAGAAGGAAGGATGAGTTACACTACAATAACAGGAACATCAACAGACTGCATCCATACAATATGACAACAAACTGGACTGAATGAGGAGGATCTGAAGGCGCAAAACAAGACTCAAAGTGCAGTCACCTTTTTCAATGGAAGTGTAACATTTTCTATTAATCTGTGTTTTAGTTCTATTGACCAAGAATGACTGAATCTGTGCTGACTTTCGACAAAAACATAATTAGACCCGTTGAAGTCAAAATACAACTGTAAGTCCGCTGTTCAAATTCAGATGTTCCTGAAAATTTTTCTTACTCTGCAGCTAGTCTTAATAATATCTGCTGATATAATGGGAATCATCAGTGGATATCAGACCATCCGAAGGCTCGAGATGAACCAAAATGCACCTGGAAAGTTCTGAAAGTGGAACGAACGCTATGAATTGAAACAAAACCACTGAAGGTTTCAGCAACAAAACTAGCTACTTGGTTAGGTTGAAGATAAGATTGTTTGTTGTGTAAGTTACGTTACAGAAGTATCGTAAAAGAAGTTTCACACAGAACATGAAGCACAGTCTCCCTGGTAAAAGTCCTGTTTGAGCAAATCGTCGATGCCACAGGTTCACAGCTGCACACAACAACTCCTGAACAACCCCTCAAACGCAACATAGTGAGAATTACAAAAACAAATACACTGCAAAAGAAGTCTACATTATCATCAACACTCCCCCTACAATTATAGACCCCTCTCCCGTAAGCAGATTTATCCACTAGTAGGGTTGTCACGATACCAAAATTATGACTTCGATACTATACCTGCCAAAATATTACGGTACCCGATACTTACGATACGATACCACAAATAGGATAATGGAATATATTTATCTATGATAGTAATAAATAGAACATCTGTAAGGTTCCTTTTTATACCTGGTATCAGTTTGACTGTCTGTGGGATGAACAATGCTTTATTTACTTGCATAGTTTGATATTCTCACATTCATATTTCCTTAACTAAAAATAAAAAGGATTAGGTGAAGATCCACCCTCAGGCTCCACAAGCATGTAGCCTATTGCATCAAGTGTGTATTATTTGGTACAATTTTGTGTGCATTCTGACCTCATGATCATATAGGCCCACATGAGTGAAATTGTAGGTTATTTTGCATGTATATCTTTCTGCTGGACTATTCAGGAACTTATTTGGGGTCTTGCTTTGTCTTGTGTTGCTTGATGTTTGACTGTTAGGAAAGGTGTTGTCAAGCTAGCCAACAAAGCTACAGGGCTGCCAACTCTCACAGTTTCCCCGTGTGACTCGCGTGTTTCCATGTTTTCACACGCACTCACGCCACACATCCAATTTCTTACACTAAAAAAAAAAAATCTGCGCTGGTTCATCTAAACGGCGCATCTATAACCCGATTCGCTGCACGTAGCGTAACCAGTCACGGATTATCCATAACAAACACCATGTTCGAACATAAGGATGTTCATAAGTGTAGGCTACGTGGTACCAGAGCACCCTAGGCCAAAGATTAATGATCGATTTTTTAATCGTATCGTCTGATCTGAGCCCGCATGTTCTGGACACTCGGATAAAGAGAGGGGCAGAGCTGTCAACTGATCACCATCTGGTTGTGAGCTGGGTCAGAGGATGGGGGAAGACTCGGGACCGACCCGGTAAACCCAAGCGTGTAGTGAGGGTGAACTGGTAACGTCTGGAGGAGGCCCCGGTCCAAAAGATTTTCAACTCACACCTCCGGCGGAGCTTCTCTCACATTCCTGTGGAGGTAGGGGACATGAGAGTGGTGTATGTTCAAAACCTCCATTGCTGAAGCTGCGGCAGTGAGTTGTGGCCTCAAGGGCTTAGGTACATTAAGGGGCGGTAACTCTCGAACCCTGTGGTGGACACCGGTGGTCAGGGAAGCCGTCCGACTGAAGAAGGAGGCCTTCCGGGTTATGATATCCAGTGGGACTCCAGAGGCAGTTGCAGTGTACCGACAGGCTTGAAGGGCAGCAGCCTCTGCCGTGATGGAGGCAAAGCAGCGAGCATGGGAGGAGTTCGGGGTAACTATGGAGAAATACTTTCGGTCGGCACCAACAAGTGCTTCTGGAAGACCATCCGGCACCTCAGGAAGGAGAAACGGGGAACCACCCAAGCTGTGTACAGTAAGGATGGGACCCTGTTGACCGCGACCGAGGAGGTTATCGGGTGGTGGAAGGAACACTTTGAGGAACTCCTGAATCCAACTACTACGCCCTCTTTGGTAGAGGCGGAGCTGGAGGAGGAGGAAGGATCATCGTCAATTTGCCTGGTGGAGGTCACTAAGGTACTCAAACTACTCCGCAATGGCAAAGCCCCGGGGAATGATGAGATCCTTGCAGAGATGCTAAAAGCAATGGGTGTTGGGGGGTGGATGTCTTGGATGACATGCCTCTTCAACATTGCGTGGAAGTCTGGGACAGTGCCAAAAGAGTGGCAGACCGGGGTGGTGGTACCCCTCTTCAATTACAGGGGTATCACACTACTCAGCCTCCCTGGTAAAGTCTACTCCAAGGTGCTGGAAAGGAGGGTTCAGCCGATAGTCGAACCAGGGATTGAAGAGGAACAATGCGGTTTTCGTCCTGGTCATGGAACGACGGACCAGCTCTTTACTCTTTCCAGGATCATGAAGGGGGCTTGGGAGTATGCTCATCCAGTCTGCATGTGTTTTGTGGACTTGGAGAAGGCGTATGACCGGGTCCCCTGAGAGAAACTGCGGGAGGTGCTGCGGGAGTACGGGGTGAGGGGGTCCTTGCTTGGGGCCATCCAATCCATGTACGCCCCAAGCGAGAGCTGTGTTCGGGTGCTCGGCAGTAAGTCGAAGGCGTTTCCGGTGGCGGTTGGCCTTCGCCAGGGCTGCGCCTTATCATCAATCTTGTTTGTGGTCTTCATGGACAGGATATCGAGGCGTAGTCGGGGGGAGGACGGTCTACAGGGGGTGCGGATCTCATCGCTGCTTTTTGCAGATTATGTGGTCCTGATGGCATCTTCTGTCTGTGACCTCCAACCGATGGATTGCCTACTCCAGGTAGGGAATGTGTCCTTACCCCAAGTGAAGGAGTGCAAGTACCTTGGGGTCTTGTTCACGAGTGAGGGGAAGATGGAGTGTGAGTTTGGACGGGGAATCGGAGCAGCGGGGGCGGTATTGCACTGGCTTTACCGCACCGTAAAGAGAGCTGAGCCGGAAGGCAAAACTCTCAATCTACCGGTCAGTCTTCGTTCCTACCCTCACCTATGGTCATGAAGGATGGGTTATGACTGAAAGAACTAGGTCACGGGTACAAGCGGCCGAAATGGGTTTCCTCAGGAGAATGGCTGGCGTCTCCCTTAGAAATCGGGTGAGAAGCTCAACCATTCGTGAAGAGATCAGAGTAGAGCCGCTGCTCCTTTGCGTCGAAAGGAGCTAGTTGAGGTGGTTTGGGCATCTGGTGAGGATGCCCCCTGGGCGCCTCCCTAGGGAGGTGTTCCAGGCACGGCCATATGGGAAGAGGCCCCGGGGAAGACCCAGGACCAGGTGGAGAGATTATATCTCTGCACAGGCCTGGGAAGGCCTTGGGATCCCCCAGTCAGAGCTGGTAGATGTGGCCCGGGACAGGGAAGGTTGGGGTCCCCTGCTGAAGCTGTTGCCCCCCCGACCCGACCCCGGATAAGCGGCTGAAGATGGATGGATGGATAGATAGTGAAAGGTGACAAGTTCCTTCTGAATTCATCCACAAGGCTGATAGACACTGAAGACTATCAGTCTGGGCCTCCCTGCCGAGTCCTCCAGTGGTCCTTCACTAATCTCTATGAAAAAATATAATTTTTTCGATGACATTTTATTCTAAAGTTATAAGAAGAAGCTAAAAACACTATTGTGAGATTTCACTCACGCACACCAGTGAGATTTCACTCACACACACCAGTGAGATTTCACTCACGCACACCAGTGAGATTTCACTCACACACACCAGTGAGATGCACACGAGTGTTTCATTAGTACGCGTGAGAGTGTCTCAGTAGTTAAGTCCTACACGGACCCTCAAATTATTCAAATGATCGTTTCTCAAAACAGTCATGAAGGACGTGTACACTCACTACGGACCACAGCTCAGCCAATGAACAGAGAGAAAGGAAGTCTGTGAAAGTCTACCACTCCTCCAACTGATTATTATTATTATTATACTACGGAACTTTCAATCATGTTTGCTCAACAAACTATAAATAAATTGAATGTGCATCATTCATTGTCATCATCAATGAAATCAACTTTCACCGCTTAACATCAGCGGAGTTCTGTTTGAGTCATCTATGCAAGTGCGAGTCTGATATTTTCTTTCTTTTTATCTCTGTTTATGGTCTCCACCAACTGAAGGAAGTGGCGTCTTAATGAGTCTCTCATCAGACTTGGCTGACTGTCTTTCTGGTAATAATTGCAGTCCTAGGAGAGGACAGAGAAAGAGACGGAGGACATGGATGGGATCGTACACTTCACAACAGGTAACAACCAGCACAATAACATCTCCATCACTGAGACACAACAACCAGGTGACAGGGGGGGGTCTAGAGCACTGTGAGGGGAGGAGTGGAGGATGGTACATATTAGTAATATTTATAATGTGCCAGATACTGTACAAATCCTGAGAGGGAGGCAAACAAGGGCTACACTTCTACTGCTTCTTTGTAGTTGTTGTTGTTATATCTTAACTTATCTCGTTGTATCACAGAAGAAGTCATCTTAATCATCATCGGTTCATTAGGCTTATTGTGGAAGAGGAAGACGTGACACCTTTTATTTAAAATTCTGACGCCTAAACACGATACGGCCTGTTATAATTGGCCAAGATAAAAAAGAGATTAGCATGTGAGCGTAAGGCAGAAAAGTAGCGGCTAAAACGAGAGCGCAGGTGAGGATGAGGTCTGAAGGTCTGCACTCAGGACCTGGACAGAACTGACACAACTACTAACCGACTGGATCGAGAGAGAGAGAGAGAGAGAGAGAGAGAGAGAGAGAGAGAGAGGGGGGCACTGACCAACACACAAGGAAATGGCAGAAGGCATAATTACCACGCTCATGAGTGATGACTGAGGAAGGGAAGGAAGGGCAGTAAACCAAAATTAGAAAAGGAAAACAGGAGGAAGAAAGAAAGAGAAAGAAAGCAAGAAGGAAACAAAGAAAACGATTACATATAAGGAAAATAGGTTTTTTTTTAAATGTGAATATCTTTGTTTGGTCAATGTGGAAAAATAAATGACGTCTTGACAAAAAAGCTGTCAAGATCAGGAACATTTTAAAGGTACATATGATACCAGGCCCTCAGGATTTATGGATTTTTGATTGTGGATCACGGTGGGCCTGTTCAGTCAATGACACCTTTTAAAATGCTGGTCGATGGGGTAACTTTGTATTTTCATCAAAATAATGAGGAAATGGTGAGTAGAAAAAGTGCTGTGCCATCATCATGTCACAACAGGTGAGGTGATGATTCATACTGGGAGTTCTAGTAATTACTTCTAATAATAACAGTTTTTGCACAATAATATAATTCCTTTTAGTAAAATACAGCTGGGTAAACACCACATATTAGGGTCCCTTTCAGGACAAAGAACCACTAATCAACGTGCAGAAACTTCTTAGTCTAAAACTTCGGAGTCCAGGATACATAAACTTAAAAAGAGATGAAAAATTTAAAAAATATCCCAAAAGTATATCTCTCAGTTATATTAGGGTTTAACCCATCTGGGATCCGATTGGCCATTGGTCTCACAACCACCTAACAGGACCTGGTTGATGCCTTCAGGATATTCCTACTTCCCTACATCACGTAGAGAATATTATCCAGCAGTCAAGATTGTATTTAAACATCTAGTGCAACAGTTTTGACATATGAATGTTGAATCAGTATGTAGTCTAAAGTATGGCTGTAACAAATGCATACACACATAAGATATAACAGTTAAGTCATAAGCAAGTACACATGTACTAGAGATTCACAGTTGATAACGCATACAATAAACAATAGTACTGCATTACCACTTTATACAAATCAGCCAATTGCTCAACCACAGTGATGACTGGATGAAGGAAAATGATTGATGATGATTTGACAAGAATGAAACAGACTTTTTAAAATGTAACTGCTTTGAATTTCTTCTTGGGAAAGATTACATTTTTTTCCTTTGGCTATAATTAGAATTCATCAACTAAACCACTGGTTGTAGCAAGCATTGGTTTTTATATGTAGGTGTAAATGTACAACCTTTAGTTTGACCAAAGGGGATTTTATGAAGAAAAGCTTGTTATATCAACAGATCATACGATGTCATTCATGATTCTTCGGATGAATAAAGAGTAGTGCGGCTTACCTGATCCCTCCTCCGTCACCATTCCCAGTCCTTCAGCTTTGTTCTGCCGCTCAAATGCATTTAGATCCAGAACGCTGAAACAAAGACAAACGTGTTGTGGATCTTTGTTGTTTTGTGTTTAAAGCGTTGAGGTTGTTTGGTAGCGAATAACACTGAGAGGACGGAGGTTCAGTCTAACACTAAGTACATAATAACACTTATGACCACAACAAGGAAGTTATGATAATATGATGTATAATAAGCCTGACTTCAAAAAGTCGTGCTTGATTATATTTTTGTTGATGCCTGATCATCATGCTTTGTTTCTAGTGTGGAAGTGGTGATGTCTTTTAGTCCAAATGTTTTCCCTATTTCCTGTAGCGTCTCCCCTGAAGTGACTGGATTGATGTATTTTGAAGAGACTTAAAGATACGGCTGGTATTCTTGAGAAACCAGCAATGTTACGTTAGATTTAAAAACAAAAACACTTAAAAAAGAATCACCCACCCTGTGAGGAACATTACCAAGGTTGTCACCATACGTCACAAAACATTAGGCTGAAAAATGACCTTTACCAATAAAAGCAATGGTTATTTCAATATCACCAAAACATTAAGATACGGGAAAAGATACTACTGGAAGATCATAACAATGATTGCTGACAGGGGCTAATTTGAAGTACAGTTCCCACGATTCATTGGGGGATGTAAACAAGTAAATGTGCCATGGATTCAGTGTGTTTTGCTGCTGGCTTGTTTACATAAACCATCAAACAGATGTTCAAGCTATTAGCAGTTCCTGCTTGTACTGTACTTTAAAATGTGATTTGTACTTATTCTCCGTTTATTTATTTATGACGATAATCTTTTTTTGGACTAAATGCTGAGCATATTTCTGGACACCCATTTGCATTGAAGTAGGCATGAACCTAGAAATGTGTCAGTCCCACATGTCAGGGTGATTTCATCACGTTCTTGTCCCTTTCAAATGTGACCTGCAGTAGACATTAGCTGATTTGAGGGACTTTACCCGCCTGCGTACTGTCTGCTGGAGTGTGACTCTGCAGGGATGACGCGTGTTGGTGGGCCGACCCCAGTGGAGAAGTACGTGTAGAGTTACCTGCATGACTGCATCAGACCAGCCAGACCCTGAAAAAAGCCCACGTCCTTTTTGTCTTTCAGATAGTCCAACATTTTCTGTCAAAGAAACAGGACAATGGGACAGCTGTATTTTAGATCCCATTCTGCTTTGACTACAGGACGTGGACACAATGATATGAACAGCTCGAAAACTGTAACAGACACTGGGGTACCTGCTGGACGGTAGAGTTTCCTCCATTGAGAATAGCTATGCCTAGCTTCAGAGTAGAGGCCACCATGGGGCCCATCTCACCTTGTGAAGAGGGACATAGAGAAGGGCAAAGTGTCACCCCAAACTCCCTGTCTCACCCAACCATCAATTAATGCATTTAACTACTTAGCTTCCACTTATGTGACTATATTCTTCAGCTTATGTGTTGTGCGGCTCCTTCTTTCTCGAGTTTTGGGAACGAAAACACCTTTAATGCACCAAGCTTAAACCTAAACATGAACCTAAGCAGTGTAAGAGACGCTACGGCTCACTCAACTAGTGGTGTGGTAGCACAGTAGTCATAGAGGCAGGGGGGGGGGGGATCCATGTACAACCTACCTTTGCTAGCACTGATGGTTTGCAGCACCATCTCAGCAGCTCCGCGGTCATGCAGCCGGGCCTGCTGGTACAACAACTTCTGCTTCTCCATCTCCTTCTCCTATTCAGGTAACAAGACCAGGCACGTGTCAGCAGCACACCTGTTTACAGCCGGGGCCGCCATGGCAACCGATCCACCCACCTCAAAACTCTTCACTTCCTCCCCATCCTCCTCTTCTTCATCGTGACAACTCTGAGGGGGGTGAAGAGGGATACAAATTGAGTGTTGCATGTGGACAGCAGAGGGATAGTATGCAGCAAAAGGAGTAATCATCATCATTGTCACTGGTACCTTAGACATGATGTCAGCATACGCCATGTAGAGAATATCCTCATCCAGTTTACTGCAACACACACACACACACGTTTGCAGCACCAGTAATTGGTCAGTATGATTAGCCAGGCAGAAGACGCCCCCTGCAGTTTGCTACCATGTCGTCGCGCATGCGGTAGCAGAAACATTTGATGGATCTTTATATCCGACAGAACGCACCACTTCTCTGTGAGGGCTGTTCTGCTGAACAGTTGAATGAGCTGGTGAAGCGGATCAATGTGCTTCAGCCCCTCCTCTTCCTCCAATGGCTCCAGGTCACCTGGTTTCTAAAATAAACATACGTTCACAGTAGACCCCGATGATACACACGGGGGGGAAAAACAGCCTTAAGTGGGATATATGCCTGTTTTCAACATTCACATATTTCAGTGCGATATTACCAAAGTATATGTAAATATACGCTCATACTCAAGTCCTTGCTGCCGCCTTCTTGAAGCTATATTGGATCTACAAGCATCTACCAGCGTCAACAGAAATCTAGGTGTATAACCTAGTCACAGGAATAAAGGGGCGCGGGTAAGATGTTCTAGATGACATTGAGGTATATGGAGTATATGGGTAGAGACAGAGAGCACTACAGATATGACTTCTATCATTGTCCACACTTTGTACTCGTTGACATCATCTGCATCCATTCTTCCTTGTCTGCTTTGAGAGAGAGTTGCTTATAATGATGCGTTCATTTTCCATGGACACACATCGGAACTCTTCATTCTGCCCTTTTCACATGCATGCAGAGATGCACTCACAGCGAGGTCCTCTATGAGTTTATCCTCAAAGTAGTGTTCCTCCGCCTCGATCCAGGACTTCTCGTAGCCCTGCAGGAACAAGTTGACAGCCCGGTGCCTGGTTTGGGGGAGACACAGTGGGAATAAAACTATTCTATCGCGACGGAGATCTGCGGTGTAAACGCGCAACATACCTGGGCAAGTTGTAGAGCGGTGCCATCCTGAAGCAGGCAACCACTGCTCGCTTCCTCTGCTTGGACAGCAGTTTGTGCCACACGGCCTTCTTGCTGCGCTGAGGATGTTCAACCTAAAACACACAAGCCGAACCACTCAGTTTGGCCGGCAATGGCCATGATGTCATAAGCTGACCACTGCTTCATTTCAGGCCAATCACGTCAGCTGGTCTTCACGAAGAGACAGAGTACATCAAGCTACATAGGATTATGCACAGCGGAGGATATCAAATGGACCGGCCCACTTCCTGTACTCTTCGAACTGCTGTAACGCAGTATTGCAGGTGTCGTCTGCACTGTGCGCTGGACAACAAACGCGCTTGCACACCTGGTCCAGGTGGAAGAGGACGTGAGCGATCTCCAGGACTCTCTCCACAGTCTTCACTGGGTCCGAGGTGTCCTCGTAGTGGTTAGGGAGGTCTCTGTACAGAGCCATCTGCCAACGAATAGCTGGGTCCTCCAGCTGTTCAAGACACACACATACAGTTCAACACAATGAGGCCGTGGGTCACGGTGTGTGTTGAGGCTGCACACCTAGGTGACAACAGTAAGGAACATTCGTTCTACTTTGATTTAAGTTTCGACTGTTCAAAGTCATATTAGTTGAGTTTAAGATCATTTGGTGTTTCCCTCCGATTACAGCTCGTCTGCCAGTGACAGACAGGTCGACCTGTGCTAGACCCCGCCCCCTAGTATTACCACAATCAACCTATAACTCCTTAAGCTAGTCTAGGCTTGCTTTGATTATCCGCTCAACAGTTCACAGTATAGATGTAGACGTTCCTGCTTGCAGTGTATTCCAGAGCCCGTGAAGGGTTTTGGTGCTTATTTTCCTTTCAGCTTTAGGTAACAGTAAAAACTGCTATAAGCAAACAAACCATGTAGGAGCTGTTACCTTTCAGACTGTACCCAACATAACCTTACTCACCTTTCTCTTGCCTACATATTAAGCATGCAGTCATGTTTTGCTTATCCCAAATATGCAATACTTTGACAAGCTCAAAGTATTCCTACCTTTCCTTGTAAATGCAGATTGTTCTTGATGATCTCTCGAACTTCACCCTCCGTGTCTTTCTGTATCAGCACAATTTACATACAAAGCAGTTTTAAATGACATGTAAACTGTTACAGCAATTTTAAATAGCTTCTATCAAAGCACAAATCTGTTGGGTCTAAGCCATAGACAGATTTCTACCTATCAGAGAAGTACTATCACTGTGCGTAGAGCTGAGTGTTCTTCTCAAGCAGCCTGGTGCCATTTGCACAGGAAGAGACAGGCAGGGTTATTGATTGCCCATCAATTAATAAAGTGTGGGTGTGGGTTAAATAAGAGATTACAGACACAGTTGCACAGGTTAAACATTTCAGTCAATACAAAAACATCATCCTGCCGTCCCTGCCAGGCTAACAAATCAAATCAAATTTAAAAAAAAACATTTTTTCCCTGAAACCACTCAAGTTCTTTATGTTCATCCAGCCATAAAGAAAATCAACATACATGGAGGTCATTTACTTATGGATTAATGTCCTCCTTTATATAAAAAAGAAAATGCATCTTGTTCTCAATTCCTCCGAAAGCTCACACAACAAAGAGAGTCTGTCCTCTGGAGTGACATATAACCTAATGTTGCCTTTTGTTCAAGTTGCCCCTCAAAGTTATGCACTGTAATTATTCTTCATAAGACATTAGTCAACAGATTTATCCTGCATAAGGATCAGTGTTAGATTTCAAATCCTACGCCCACTGGATCAGACAAGTCTATTCCATTAGAATATCTGTGTGATGCACAGTGTTACAGCCGTTAAGCCAGACACAGGACACTCCTGAGTTATAGAGTTGTTAATATGTGCAGAATAAAGGGACTCAGATTCCAATGCCTGAGCTACACTGAGAGCTTCTTTGGATTTCATCTTGAGCCTCTACCTAATACTCAAAGGATGTTCTCTTTTAGAGAAGGGTTCAGAACTGAAGGAGTTATTGCATTAATAGATTCCCAATCAATCTTGTCATCTTACATCAAGTCATTTGTTTTGCATATGATGCAACTTGATGATCTAAGCAAAGTTTGACCTGGAATTCAAGTGAGGGTCATCCTACGTGAGTTAAGTCTCCGTGTTCACTACCAGGTGACAGAGCTGTTTTCATAGTCTGATAACCGGTTTTCCTACCTGCGTGAAGCGGTTCTTTGCCAGAGCGATTAGTTCGTGTTCTCCGGGGGCACAGATGTTGAGTCCAACAGGAAGCAGGCGCTTCAGGGTGGCCACGATGAGACTTGTCTGCATCGTGTATCGATCGCCCTTCCTCTTCATCTTCTTCCTCTCTTGGTCCGACATTATGCCCTGAGGCGTAGAAATGCACAGACAGGTCCATTGAGTGTGTGTTAAATGTGCACCAACAAGCAATGCCTCTCCTTTCCCTGCGTCCATACCTTCGACATCTTACACTTGGTGTCAGTGATGAGGAAGGACATGTTGTTGATTTCATTCTGGACCACGAAGTTCTGCTCTTCTCTCTTGAAGTTCTGAACAGAGAGGAAATCATTCAGTTTTCAATGTCCGTCGGTCAGTCGATTACTTGGGCAATGGCTTTGGTCTAGAAGCTCTCCTATGAACCTGTCTCACATTGCTTGACTTTTTGTGCATTGCCATCATCAGGTCAGTATGGATTAGTTATATACACAACTTTATATACTATACTTTGGTTTATGACCAAATCCTGGCAAAACATTAGACATTCCACTCAGCTGTACTGTTTAGTACAGTGGTAGCATATAAACATCTGCCAATAATAAGTGGGCTTTAAAGAATCTGTCACATGTATCATCAGATGTCCTCCCTGTCCTGTACTAACATGTTACAGCAGGTAGGGATTTGCTTACATGAGACTTGGCCCAGAAGATGAATACCTCTGCCACCATGCGGAACAGCTTTTCGGCCCCTGGGTTGGACTCCCGCAGCCATCGGGCCCTGTAAGACCACGAGAGTCCAGTGACAGTGGCACTACACAAAGGTCAGTTTGAGTTCGAGACCTCTGGTAGTGATACGGAGAAGAGTGCCAACAAAGTCAGGGAGGACTAACAGTTAGTGCAGATGTGATCAATGCAGGACTTCAAATGGTTAAAGTTACTACAAGGAGCTTGCATTTTTTGTGGATTTTCGATAAAAGCAGTAGTGTTTCCATGAGCTCCACGTCCTTGTGATGTAAAGATCTGCAGCCGGGTCTCAGGGAGCAGGAAGTGAACTCATACTGCTGCAGCTTTTCCCTGTGACAGAGTGGACCTTCAGGCCAGTCAATGTGCACCTGAGAGATCCTCCTGACAGCCACCTTGTATTTGGCAAGTTCCAACTGGATCAGCAGACCAGAGGAGGATCTGGGTGTGTGTGCGCTTACACTTGCTTAGTTAGGTCATCTCAGTATTACAGACTGAGACTGTTTGGTAATCAGTTGAAAGAACCTCGTAGTAGCTATATTGACATCACAGATGTTCAATGAGAAGGGACGATTGTAAACTACAGGATCCCGTTGAACATAACAGAGCACTTGTGTCATAGACACCAACTAGGAGCAGTGGGACGGAGGTCAGATAAGCACTCAGGTTTAAGTCGAGAAGCACATTAACCATCAAATCAGCAGACTGTACCTGTTGTAGTCAACAAATCGTATGAGGAGAGGGTAGAAGGCATACAGGTCTCGGACCAGTACGGTGAACTGGTCCAGGATGAGAAGCTCTGTCTCTGACATCTCTCCCCTCCCCTCTGCCTTGCTGTGTTCCTCGTCCATCAGCACAACAGCTGCCTTCTGCAGGACACAGCAACAGACCTTCATTTGAACACTGCAAAAGCGATGCATTAGACTTCCACGTTTCCAGTATTTACCTGTTGCTTGCAATCCCTCGGACACATTAGGGCTGTGTTACATGTGCGTATGCTGAATGTCCACCAATCAAACTACAAAACAATCAAAGACTCACTTTTTTGAGTTTCTCCATCAAAGGCAGGAAGTGCGTCTTGAGAAGCTGGGTTTTGGCCTTGCTGATGATTGGCTGAGAGAAGACTGAAGCAGGGACAGAGACGGGGTTCAACGATTGATTGAATTATATTGAAAACCAGACAATGCATGTTTTAAAATAGCCTGTTACTAGAATATCTTGCTTTGAACCCTTGCTTAAGTGCTTTTTACTCCTGGGCTACTTAAAGCCGCGTGTTTCGATGTCCAGGGGAGCAGACCGGCCGGTCCTGGGCTAAAGCAGGAGGACAGCCACGGGATTATACAGCTCACTCCGCCTGAAGCTAAGCACGGTGTAAAAAGGCCCATAGCGAACCTTTTAAATCGTGAAATAATCATTATTATTAGAAAATCCCATGATGAACATATGTGGAGGGATAGCTGATCAGTATCAGCCACACACACGCACACACACACACATGCAGAGTGTGTTGCCATGTTCACCAGCTAGTCTTTTCATCCAGGCCCCTTCATCTATTCCCAGATTGTTGTAGATGATCTTCAGAATGTTTCCCAGCAGAGTGTTCATGTGTTCAGACGTCACAGAGGTGCAGCAGCTGTCGGCTCGGTCCGGGTTGCTCTCTGGTCCGTGTTCCCACCAATGAGACATGTAGCTGCACAGCATCGGCAACACCACCTAGAGCGAAAGGAAACATGCGCACTTCAGGTCTACCACAGCGACCAAGAGATCGCCCGCCTTCCGACCCACACATAATGCTGTCTTCGGAATGTTTAAAACAGTGCATTTAGGAATAGCAGCTACTTTTATAGAAATGCAATTTAAGTCTTTCTTTATGTCTTTTCTGTCATTTTTACCAGATCCGGCCCGCGGGCCATATGTTTGACACCCCTGATTTAGGCAATGAAAGTAAGTCAGAGCACACTGGGGGGAAATGAATCCACATGGATGGGAACGACAGTTCCAAGGTTGTTAGTTAGTCAAATGTCCCACCTCCATGACATGGGGCATCTGTGTGTATCTCATGCCAGACTCCGCCAACTCCACGATCTCCTCCAGACACTTCTCTAAGTTAGGGATCAGGGGGCAAACCTCCCCCACGTGCCCCGGAAGACCGAGAGCTGATGGGTAAAAAGATAATGCACTTGATAAAGATAATTATAGACATGAGTATAAAGCTCAATACTCACTTCTTTATTGCAATATTGATCTTAATATTATTTAGTGAAAGCCATTCTCAGAAGGTACAATCACCCCAGAACTCGTGTGTCTCTGTGGGATTCAAGCTGGTGATATTTGTAAAACGTAAACGCACACAGGGGATAAACAGACTGAAGCACCTGCTCTGTCTTTAGTTCCTTTGCCGTTGTAGATGGAGAAGCTGTTGAACTTGTCGATGTGAGGTTCAAGGAAGGCAACGGGAAAGGCTGCAGAGAAGGCAGCCAGACACTTTCCTACAGCAGGCCGCTGCCTGCAGGGGAGAGCAGGGAAATAACCATCAGTCATGATCAGCATTATCACGATGTTTCATTATGATAAATGGTGAATTGGTCATTGTTTCTGGTCAACAATCATTTTGTCAAAAAGTTCAAATAACATTGATTTTGTTGTTGGCCTTTGGTCAGCTCTGAAGGAAGCAAACAGCGATGTACTGTTGGGTGCGCTGTACCTCTCTACGTAGATGCTCTTGTTGGTCCCCAGGAAGTAGAGGCTGTTGAGGATTCTGTAGCAGGAAACCTGGACATCTTCCACTGGAGGAGGAGAGGTTACCATACATGTTTGCAGATAACATTTGGATGGAGCATATTCACAATTGCGTCCTGTAAATTACCAACAGAACCTGAATCCATTTCATGAAATAAATCTGCCATTATCCTTCACATTCAATTTTTCAACCGATATGAATGGTTTGAACGCCTGAATCAAACGATATCAGTACGCACATATGAGGTCTTCCCCGAACAAGTTGAGGCCGATGTGCTCGAACAGAGAGGAGAGGACGGGCAGCAGGGCGAAGGTGGTGTAGTTGATGATCTGCGTGACACCTCGCGGCTGTTCTCTGCTGTGGGTGAACTGGCCCAGCTTCAGGTTCTCCTGCGTCTTCTCCAGATCTTCTGCTGCGCTGACGAAGAACAACCGCAGTGCTGCCTTCACTGACTCCAGACCGGTCTTCATCACCGTCCTGAGAAGATACATTCCGCATCATCATCCAGCCGTGGTTTTGATAGGACAGTGCAAGGAAACACACCCTCTCTACTATAGTAGGACAAATGTTGAAATGAAACATTTCATTTCAAATTCATTTCTGATTCGTATAATTTCATATAGTGACTTTTAAGACTTTACTTTGGTTTTGATCTTTAATAGACGTGTATGCACAATCATGTTTGTTTCAGTCACGCTGCCACCGTGCTGAAGCTGAAAATAAATCAATGTGAGAGTATGATTTATATGTATTTGGTTGAATATCATGAATACTTGAAACAATTGGGAGTCATGTCTGTCAGTTCCTGCATGCAGGCATTGATGATTCGACCTCCAGAAAAGAAATATTGATAGTTGAAGTAACAAATATGCACTGTATAAACTAAATACGTCCATTCATGATTGATGGCTGCTCTTCCATTAGAGCAGCCATCAAGTACTCAGAGGGATCCGGATCCGATCCTCCGTCACGGTACCTGTGTGTGTGAATGGGTGAATGTCGGCATGAGAAGCGCTCGAGTGGTCGTAAAATAACAAATGTCGCTCAAGACCTTGCAGAGGCGAGTGTGTCGTCGTGGCGCAGGGGTTAGAGAAGGTGTGCTGGGAAGCAAGGTTGGTGGTTCGAGTCCAGGCTGCCCCATGTTCCATGTCGAAGTGTCCCTGAGCAAGACACCTAACCCCTAATTGCTCCCCAGGCAAAAATGTGAAAAAGCCATGGGTTTTGTAATTGTAATGTAAGTCGCTTTGGATAAAAAGCGTCTGCTAAATGACCTGTAATGTAATGTGATGTTCAAAGGTGGGTGGTGGCATGCTGCATGGCTAGGGAACTGTCAATGAATACTTGCAGGATCAGATGCAGTTTGGTATTGCAGTTCATTTGGAATATATGCGCAAGCAGGGTTAATTTCACGCAAATGAGGGCGAAATTGGAGGTGTTTGCATGTTATGTCTCCTTCAACCACATGTTTCCTTGGGTAATGACAAAAGGACACACAAACTAGCTGAATCCTGTTCCGTCCTCACCTGGCATCCAGGCTTTGTCCCAATATCTGCAGACAGTTGACTATGGATGTGGCGTTGTTACCTGAAAAGCAGACCAGATCACTTAATAAACAGGAAGCCCTGTGCATGCTGGGTAGGGTTTGGCATTGCTTTCCTTTAGCTATGGGAAGAGAAACTAAATAACCACCTTGTTCAAACCACGTTCTTCTGCTATTTAGTAATAACAAAGCAGAGCAGCATATTCAAAGAAAAAACATGTTCCTTTCAAACATAACGCTTCAAAAGTCAAACAGCTTTATCCAGACAAGTGATGAACATCTCTTAATTGCCCAAATGTGTCCATCTGTTATCAGTTGTATCAGGTTTTAGTCTGCAAAGGTGGAACATATTTTTTACTTACTAAATATAGTAAACTGCATTTGGATAACAAGTGGCAACAGACACCACACACGGCTGCAGAGGACAAGCACACACACACACACAACTCTAGTCCCATGCATGCATGCATGCAGAAAACCACCCTGCTTTGTCGTGTCCGTCCTCGACCTGCGTCTCAGTCCCACACAAACATGCCACTCCCAAAAGCAAGTAAACATTGAAGCAAAGCAAAGAGAGATTATTTTAGGACATGAATGCATCCAATGAGCTACGTCATCAATGCTGCACGCGATGTACAGAACCGTTGTACATCGCGTCCAGAGGGCACATTTAACTTGTTCAGACGCAGCTGTTCTCATTCACTGTTTGTTGGTGTCCTCACAAAAAACAAGTCACTACAATTGATAAAAGAAAATCCATAGTATCAACTTGTTTGTATAAGTGAGCGATAACGTTTGTGTAGGAAGGTTAGGATGGATGGGCTGGTCAGACAATAAGGAATATCCATTATGTCAACGTCCCGTAATCCAAGAAATATCCCACTGGACTGAAAGCCTATTATCCGTAAACAAGGGACCATTTGTCCCACAGTCCCCCCGCACCGAAAGACACATCCCTCATCATGCCACAGAAACAACCGCTAATTATAATGCAAAATTACGTCAGCGGACTTCCACTGTTTCCTTGGTGGCAAAGGCAAAGCCTACGCTTCCTTTAAAGAGGTTTTGGCACGAGATAGGAGATCAGTAAGGTGGAGGATCAAGTCCAATCAACCGACGGGAGAGTGGGTGTGACGTAGGCCTTACCCCCCGGGGTTTAATTACACCTGTCATACTGCACCGAGAACAGCAAAGAAGGAGCAGAAGCGATTTCCTTACCAAATAAGGATATCCTATGTCTGACAAGAACTCCCAGTTTGCAGAAAAGACTGGAAAAGTGTCAATGGAAGTAGGGAGGGTAATGTAAGGGGAAGCAGAGAAAAAAAACACAATTGAAAGGTGTGAGACAATGAACCCAGAGAGAGAGAGAGACAGAGGGAGAGCAGGGGTCACATTAAGGCCCATCGCCTAATAAGAGTAGCTTTCAAACATCACAGTCAAGGTCTTGTTTAACAATGAAACATAAGAGTAACTGGTGAGCTGTAATACTGGCATCAATGGCTCTCTGTCTATTTCTGTGTGATTTGCCACACTCACCTGGTCACCATCTCCTTCTCCTTGTTGGAGGCGTGGCCTCCGCTGCTGATTGGGTGGATGGCTGTGGACAGGAAGTATATCTGGTGGTTCTTAAAGTACTGATCCACCAACGGCAGGACGACCTGAGGAAGAAATGGCATAAATACACAGAGGAATTACTGCTGGGCTGTGTTCAAAATCGCAAACCAACTTACTGAAAAACATAATACTTGGTCATTCGAAGAACGTGATTTTTGACCTTTCCAAAGAACTTAATCTGTTGCTCGTGAGGAATCTTCTCCCCCTTTGGTCCTGTTCCGAGGTCTAAACGATGAGAAGCACAATCAGAATAGATTTAAATGGTCCCATTCATCTCCCATGTTGCCTCAGGTGTTTGAGTTTTGTTTTAAATCTCATTTCTGAACCTATTTATGCAGCTGATTTAGTTTGATAGCTAAGAACCCCTTAATGAACTCGATTTCATCAGTTTGATACTACAGCACCTTCCTCTCTGAACCAAACCCCACGGATCTCGACCCGAGTTCAGTCCCAGCAGGACGTCCGTCATTTGTTTTTGAACCCAATGAGTGACAGAAAAGTCTCACCAAACTCCATCATATGTTGGTGTGCCTGGTCTACGTATGTGATGAGTTGCTGCAGGAAGGTGTAGGCAAATCGTTTCTCTATGGCCGGAGTGTCCAGCTCCTGCGACTTCACACCCCTGGAACCAACACACGCACACACACACACACACACACACACACACACACACGATTGTGAAGGAGCGATCTGCCGTTTTGGGAAATGCATCAATTTTTCATACGAGAGGACACACATTAATTAGCCATTTGTGCTGCTAAGCTGCACACATTGCAGACCTATCTATGTACTGGAAGTAGGGGGGTAATGCCAGCTTAGCGCTGTCAAAGGTGAGTCTTTCGACAAATCTAAAGCTCTTTTTCAACCTTGTCTTCATGAATCTGAGCGAGGTATACAGTGTGAAACGACAGTTCTTGCTGATGTTCTCTGGGTCTGTGAGGGGCTGACCTTCCAGAATCAGTACTACAGAGAACAAACACACACTGGTGGGGTCTTTGCTTGAATTGCCCTTTGAGGCAAACGAGTGGACAACAACCTTTGAGAGAGCTTTGAGTGCATTACTACACACTTAAGTTGTCCTCCTCACTGTGACAGAGACGTGTTGAAGACCTTTCTTTGGATCCCAAAGATGAAATAGAAAAGATCACCAAGACCAGCAGGGTTATCAGGAGTGGGGGGAAAGAATGTGCAGAGCCAGCATACTTTTAAACCTCACGCTATAATTAAAATATGGATTTCCACCAAACCAGAATAGCTGAAAGAACTAATTAGGTCACAAAGGCTCTCTTAAAACATTTTGGTGATTAATACAGACTTAATGTGAGTTGATCTCTTTACATAAGGAATTACCCACAATTCATACTGTTGAAGCGGTTCACCAGGGAAAGCCTGGAAGAACCAAAGCAAGTGGCAGAGGAGGCGTGGCAGATGCTGGCAGATACACAAAGAAGCACTAGATTCTGGGTTTAAGATTGTAGATAAAAAGAAAAGGAATAGGGGGAATCCAAGGATAGCCCATATAGCACACCTGGTTGATTCATTAATCATTTCCTTTAAATTCACGTAAAGAAAAAGTCCTACTAGTGTTTACTAAGGGGAATTGTGAGGGCCGGAGCTATGCTATGCTGGGACATGCTCCAATGCAATGATTGCTGCTTATACCGTTGCAAACCATTGCAGCCTCTCAACCATGAATCCTCAGGGTGGTTAGGTGGTCCCGTAGGATTCAGGGTTGGGCTTAAGGGGGGGGGGGCATACACAACGTTACCACACATTGTAGTATGTCATGCAGCTAACCTTAAATGCCACTTTTAACCTGAACCGCTGATAGCCGCTCAAAGTCTCTTTCACCCACCTGGACACGGTGTAACCGTTGATCTGGAGGAACTTGAGGATGTCCTGTGCTTTGTCTCTGTCTTTGGACTTCTCTTTGGCAGTCAGAGTGTCATAGGGAACCAGCAGAGGATGGTTTCCTCCACCTGGACACAGAACAAAGGGAAGGATGACACAGAGGGGACCACAGAGCCACCGGGCCTTCTCTGCTGGCCTAAACAGCATCACAATATTAGTGCAATCTTTATTATTCTTTTCACAAATATGTATTAAATTGTCCCCATGGTCTGTTCTATTATTTGGTGGCTTTCCTCTTCTGGATCTGGAGGGCTGGTGTTTATGGGAGAGCTTTTATGCAGTCATATTTCAGCCGTCATGCATTGTCAGCGTCTTGCGATATCATCTTCACAAGAATGGGACGGAGGGTAAGAGAGCCTCTCGAGGAGGAATACAAACGTAAATAGCACTTATTATGTTGACAACTCAAGCTGGAACCCTAATCGGTGGTTTTGTTTTATGAAATAACGGAAAGTAAATACAGTAAGAGCTGAAAAGGAAAAGCAAAAAGCGGTGAGTGTATCTGTTGTGTTGTATCCACCTTTGGCTTCCAGCTCCATTTTCTTACTCCTGGCCCAGATATTATGGTAATTCTCTGCAAGCAGCTCCGCCATCGCCTGAAGTACCACAATGTAAAATATATGTTAGACATCAATTCATCCATCAATCCACAATATCTTCTAATTCGTCTAACCGCTGTTCCAACAGCCTGGTTTTAGCTGTCTTCATGCACATGGTGGCCTACCTGCATGTCTCTGGACAGAGTAACGTTGCTCATATCGATGGGCCTGGGGCTGAACGCTGGAGCTCCTTCAAGAGACTGCTGTGGAAAACAGGATGCTTATTAACAATATAACAGACAGCGGCGGCTGGTGGAACATGTTCTCTGTAGGCCCCTAGAACTCTGCAGCGAAGTTCATGGGTAGAAATCGCATTAAGCAGGTGAGAGAAACCGGACCCTGAACTGATCAGGTTGCGTTTCACATCCAGGTCGATGGTTGACTACATTCTGTGGCTTTTAATTGGTCGGTCAGAATGTCATCCGCCTGTTGATACCAGCCTCGACGGGAAGGTGCAAGCTCCGGTCTAAGCCAGTGTTGCCCCAGGCTGAGTCTATTTAAGGACGCTGATCGGATAAATTGTATGTAACATCAGCTATCGGCTAAAGTGCTTCTTAGACCCGCCTTCTACGGGATTACCCCCAGCTCACTGGATACATTCCACATTTCAAAAATACAAATATTGTCATTTTTGATAATTTAATAATATCTTCTCTTCTGGAGCGATGCACCATTGCCCCTAATGGCCGGCCGCCACTGATAAGAGTTCATTTGCATGTGAGTGTTTACCTGGCTTGCCTGTGATATTCTCCTGGACTTGTTGTGGAGGCTGGCGGCGTCGCCCTCCCTGATCCTGTCGATACTCCAGCCCCACGCCAGCATGGTCTTCAGAGAGGCTCTGACCGGCCAGCAGTACGCCTCCTTTTCCTGCAAGAGAACAATCAGCTTGAGAAAAAGCTGTCTGCACTGCAAGCTACTGCAAAGTGAGGGACGCTCGGAGGGAATGCTCTTCCTTCACCATTGACATTTAAAACTAAGTGATGGAAAGACCAAAGCGCTTGCAATTATAGTTAAAGAAATATTCTACTGAACCACTCACGAGGTCCTTTATCCCGGCAGCAGTCAGAATTATTAATGAACAGTGTTACTAAGTAACGCATTACTGTAATTCCACTACTTTTAGCGGTAACGAGCATGTGACAAAGTATTTTTTAAAAATAAATTAACGCAGTTACAATTACTGAAATTGAAATGAGTTCGTTACTCGCGTTCCTCTCTTTTGTGACGCGAAGCGGAGGGCCGGCAAATAGTAAGTAAATAGCTGCCTGTCAGCACAAAATAGTTGTGGCCACCAAACGTTGTGTGTCACAGAATAGTCGGCGTACGTGCACGTAAACAGCATCGCGTCGCTCACAACGAAAGAGCGCAGCCCCGCGGACGCTGCAGGCGCCGATCCTCGCAAACAACCAGGGCTCCACTTTACACAGACTGCAGTGCAGCGATAAACCGGGCAGAGCTGAATAGATTGATCGCTCGCTGTGTTGGAGATGAGATGCATCCTGTCGAGTCAGTTGCCTTCAGGCAAATGCCTGAAACAGTTATTTTGTATTAAGTTAAGTATTAAAAAGGACTTTTGTACTATTGCTTGATTTGAAGGCCTGTTGCCCTGTCGATCACAATAAATAGGTCTAAAAAATATGTTTATTGTGTTTGACTGTTCAGTACTATTTATATTCATTACATTTAAAAAGCAGACTTAAAAGTAACTTAAAAGTTACTTTCCAGAGTAACTAATTACTTTTGATACACAGTAACTGGTAAGTAATTCAATTACCTTTAAAAGAAGTAACTAGTAACTGTAACTAAATACTCATTTTCAGTAACTGGCAGTAATGGCAGTAATGAACAACCTTAAAGGACTTCTGGCACCATTTTAAACCATTGAACTCTACCTTTGTGTTAATGGTAACGCTGGCAACACCTACGTCACACCTGCACTTGACCCACTTCTCGATACTTTGCTGTAAGTGAAACTGCTCGGGTCAACAGGGGTCTAAATCTCACTCAGCTGGTTGACCCTACGGCTGGTTATCCAGAATCATGCCACACAAGGAATACAAGATGCACCAGAAGAAGGATTCTGTGAGCTGACATAGAGCCGCTGACTGGCTACATCTGCCGACCATTTAGTGACACTGTGACAAACACCCGGATGCCTAATTACGCTGAATATCAAGAGGACATTTTTGCTAAATAAAATGATCGGGAAGGTAGACAACTGCATCCAAATGACCTTCTCAGAGATGCCTTTGTATGGTTTCAGTAAAGGGTGGCTCTTGGAGATTTCACAAATCTGTTCCCCAAATGACCAGCCATTGGAAAACTAAAAAAAAACAGAGAAAAGATGTTTAAATATCTCGATCGTCTTCCAGTTTATCGCTTTAGAAAAAGTAACAGGACTTCAAATGAGAAGATGAAGTGACTTGTCCTCCTTACCTTCCCTATGCACCACTTCTCATGGCTGTGCTCTGCATATCTGGATATGAAACAGTCTAGTTTCTCCGGGACGATTACGCTGAAAATACAACAAAAGAAAACATTCAAATATGTGATGTCAAATTCTATCAAACACAAAACAACAATCCTCAAAGTGTAATTTCATTAGTAAATATTGGCTCTTTTTCATTTTTTTCCTGGGCCAGCTTTACAGCTCTGTAAAAAAAGGAATGAGCAAATGAAGCTAAAGAAATGAATGTATGGTGTACTTGGTGGTGTCTGCAGGCTGGGGAGTGAAGTTTCCCTCTGAGTCCATGGACGACTGTTTCTCCATCATGGCCATGTAGTTGGACTCCATGTAGTCTGGAGGCAGAGCTCCAGCCACAGCACTGAGACACGGTAACGCCATCTTGAACAGCTCCTGGTCGTAACGCTGCACCATGAAAACACACGCAGCTTTAACGTCACGTTAATGCGTTACATACTCAACCACAGGCAGCACAAGCTGGATACTCTGTTTTCCACAATTGCATTGTGCACAAAAGACTGCTTCAATTTGGACTTCTATTGATTTGGAAGACACTTGTGTGCAGAGGAAGCGTTAAACATTCAACATAAAGAGATTTATTTGACACAAATCCATTACATTTTTCCATTAATGTTCCTGAAAGCAAAAACTAGACCCTTGCCTTGCGTGACAGAGCGTCAAATATTCCCCAGAACAGTTTCCTGGAGAGGTGAAGCTCTTCATCCGATGCAGCTCCAAAGCTGCCCCAGCCTCCAGCCAGGCAGTAATACTTCCAACAGCGCTCATAGTGATTGGTCAACAGCTGGAAAAGTCAAGAACACATTCATCAACCATCTGCTGGCTTGAAGAAGAATTTCCAATTAAATAGGGCACCACGCTGCACTAATTCCCAGCATAAGATCACTTTCCCATGATCATGTTCTCAACATGTCTGAAATCCCCAAAAAATCCTGATGCAAAGAAATTCCCTGAAAGATTCTCCTGGAAACAGCGAGGTGCTTTTACCTTCAGAGGCATCTTGGTGTGTTCATTCAGCAGTGGGACGTCAAACACCAGCCTCCTCAGCAGATGCTGCATCATTGAAGGCCTCAGCTTACTGCACATTAGTAAGACGGACATTAGTCGGTTGATTCCAGCGACCGCACGGAAACAGCATGAAAAATCTTCAGACTACATATTTCTCGTTATTTATTATTATCACCCCACCTGTCAGAGACTTACATTGCTCTCCTGAAAACCCCTCCCACGTGTCTTAACATCAATTTAATGAACATTTCTCTCGCTCGGATCCCTGGTCTTACCCGCAAACAGCCAGCAGACACTCCTCTATGGCGTCCCTCTGGGCCTTGGTGAGGCAGCAGCCTTTGGACAGGCGGTACACGGTGTGGAGGAGCGAGTCGATCAGCGAGGCAAAGGGCTCCGTCCCCGCGAACAGCGGCGCGCATTTAGTCAGCAGAGGCAACGCGGCCGTGCACAGATACCTGTTGAGGGCCAGTGCCATGTCCGTGGCACTGAGGGCCACCTGACACAAACACAGGAGACAAAAGTGTGCGATCAGGTCGAAGCGCAGTGGCTGAAAAAGACATTATTGCTATAATTGCATTACATTACATTTGACATTGAGTCCAGTTGAAGGGAATTAAACACTTTCTGCATTTTGTTGAAATTATCTGCATGAATTTATGGTAAAAATGTATAATTAGTTAAGTTTTGCCCATTCGGAAGCAACACACATGTAGGTATGAACTACTTTTTCATAATCTTTTGTTTGGGAAAGTTCTGCCTTTAAATGTCCACGTGGCAACTATCTACTGTGATAATGTACATGTAATCCATAAACCAGTGGATCTTCATAAATCCTGTTTTAGGCCAACTTGTGCATATTTAAAATATATTTCACATCTTATTTGCTCTCATTTTAGGACTATTTATAATTTGAGAAAAAAAAGTTGTTTGACAATAAAAGACATAATATTTCACATGAGGAGAAACAGGTGACGTGAGTCTAAAGATTCTCCCTCACAGCCGATCCAACGCTAGCATTCATGTCATCAACTTCAGTCAAAGACAATGCAAACAAGATTGCTTTAAAATAAGCAGGAACAATCTATTCCCCCCAAATACTGGCAGGGACACGTCCCTACGTCCATATGCTAAGCTACTGGTGGGAAGCTAATAACTGTCTATTTACAGAGGCACAAGCCCACGCTACATTCATATCGAGAGATGTAAGTGTTCTGCCTCTCCACCTGTTGATGAGATGTTGAGCTTTAACACAAAAGCCTGCTACCATGAGACGTGTTGGATGTAAAACCAAAACAGTGAAAATAAGAAATAGCAGTTCCAACACTTACGGTGTCCAGAGAGGCAGCAGCTCTTAGGTCTGGTAGGAAGCCCACTTCAAGCAGATGTAGCAGGAAGTTTTGGTCTTCGATGCCGTAAACCCTGTCTAGGAACAGGACCATGGCTGCTTTATGGTCCGGACAGAAACCAGCTGACATGTCAGGCTCCACCACCAGCCCGTCTGTGCATGCAGAGGTAAACACACAATCAATAAACACAAAACAGACGAGAAGTCCGGATTTCAAAAGAGTCCTCAACCAAGTCGCTGCTTTTTATTTGCTAACGTTTATCGTTGATGTCCCGCTGGACCCGTTGAGCTTCAGGGATACCTGTCACGCTGTGAGACGGGCTGGTGCTGGAGGGGTTTGCTCACCTTTAGCCAGGTTGGGCATGGAGAACGGAATGCTGATCACTCCCACCAGGTCGTCTATAGGAATAAGAGACCTCAGAATGGCTCTGATGCGGATGGCTTCACCTTTACCAGCGTGGATTAACTGAGACACAATGGGTTAAGTTAGTGTGGGTATCTATACGAGTCGGTGTGTGTGTGTGTGTGTGTGTGTGTGTGTGTGTGTGTGTGTGTGTTGTCACTCACATGCATCTCTGGAGCACAGCGGCCCAGCAGGTCAATGAGAGCAGCATAAAAGGTCATGATGGCGTCCCCCATGTGGATGGTGTCATCTTCCTCTTCTTCCAGCATGTCACTGCTGCATACAAAAACACAAAACACACACACACACACACACACACACACACACACACACACAAACAGAATCCTCACATCTCAAACAAGGCAGGTTGCTTTCCCAACGCTAGAGCAGACAATCGCTATAAAACAAGAAGCATCAAAGTTGTCTTACAGCGTCTTGCTGCTCTCGGATGTAGGAGAGGGACCATCTCTGGAGAGATCCTGAGAGATCCTAATGGCTTCCTCCATAGCCGCCAACAACCCATCGCCCCCTTCCCCCCGTAGGGCCGGCCCGAAGCATTCTGGTCGGCGGATCAAAAGCCTCACCACCACATTGGCATTCTCCTCCACACTTTCACCTGGCCAAGGAACAGCACAGGTGTTCATGGCAGACATACTGTGTGGCCACATACTACATGCTCTGCCTTGACAGAGAGGCACAGTTTGTGTTTGGGAAGAACAGATGTGAGAACCGGGAGTCGGGAATTCACCGTTACAGAAGACAGCGAAGCGCAGGAAGTCGAGGTAGCGCTCCCCCTCCACGGGGTTCCAGCCGATGTCCGGGTACCCGTTACGCACCAGCATCACGCAGCTCTGCAGCCCACAGCCGGCCAGGTACTGCACCACCTGCACAGGGTTAACACTTCTATGACCAAGATGTCTGTGAAGCATCGTAAACGTACTTAAAATATTAGTTTTATAAAACTATAAGCGTTCATATAAATATTCACCATGCTTTAGAACAGTAATTCTAAAGCATTTTATTTTAAGGTTGAGCCTCATTATTTATTTTAAATAACACTCAATTATTATTGTTGCAGAAAGAAGTACGGGATTGTTCACTAATGACTTAGTATCATCATTATTGTAATAAAGCATTATGAATATTGATGAGGACTGATAACTATCATCATACTGCATGACTAACAATGTGCACGGCGCCAGAGTGCTGCTGTCTCTCTACCTTGTATTGTGGAGACACCAGTGCTTTTCCCTGGTGTGAAGTGGTGTGTAACAAATCAATAAACAGATTATAAAGTACGTTCTATCCAAGTTTTCTTTCTGCTAGCGTTACGGGACAGACGATGTTTCATGTGTACGGACTGTAAAGCCCTCTGGGGATACTTTTACATTTAGGGCTGTAGAAAATAAAATAATAATAATAATCTGTGAGTCAGTGGGACAGCCTGGGACAGACAATGCGGTGTGGTGTCCACCATGTACAGCCAAAGAAGGTCTTCTTGTAAATAAATGATTCCTTGTCGGCAGCATTGATCATTGTGATGTGAGAACAGATCTTGTTTGGATGTGTTGCTACAGTGATTTGGCCAAACTTGGCCTTGTTGAACTGAAAAGCCTGACTTGTGTTATCTTATACTGAGAATGATCCTGCTAACTCAGTTAGCCAGGTACGAGGAAAGGGGCCCAGGGTGTTTGATGTTTGAATTTCTGCATAGATATTTATATAGATGTATTTAAGGTAGTATAGCAAGGGGAAGGCTGAGGTGACGCACAGATGGCGACGATTCTCTATTTGGCTATTAATTCAATTTAACTCAACTTGGCATATTATGAATTAATGAGTTTGGAAAAGAGCAAACAGACAATGATTTTCAGAGCAAGTGTTCACTATGGTTTGGTTTTTGCCAAAGAAGATGGGAACCAGTAGAAGGAACCTACGTCATTTTATTGTGGACTTCTATGACCACTGGGACTTTCCTAGGAAGCTTCCTTCCTAGGAAAGTCCCGACCTTTGAGTGTGTGTGTTAATGTTTGTGAACCTCACCTTCTCCAGATCCGGTTCTCTTAAAGCCAGGGCCAACTCGTTATTATCCATGACCGAAGCTGCAGCCACATCCAGAGGAGTAGATCCTCGCATGGAAGGAGATGCTGAGGAGAGAAGAGGTTCGGTGTCACGCCGGGGGTTACTTCCTGTTTTATTTTGTAGTTTCTGCTTCTTGTCTCCCTGGGTAACTTCACTTCCTGCCTTGTCCTGTCTTCCCCTGTGCTTGTCTGATCGTTTCCACCTGTGTCCAATCACCCAGTAAGGCCGAGATCCTCCTTGTGGCAGTGGCAAGTTGGTGGCATCAAACTTGAGAGCCCCACCCCCTACACGGAACCCGCCGGTCCAAACCTAAAATTAGCCTCTGTAATAAGAAGACGGGGGCTCACGTGTCTCAAATAAAATTAAATTAAATTAAATAAAATTAAATATTTACAGCAGCTGACCTGTCGTACAAATAACAGTTGTTTCTGGGAAAAATTGGCTCCTCCCACCCAGCGTGCCGTCGTGACGCCGACTGATTTACTGGCGATTGCCGCTGCCTGCCACAAAGTTGCCACCCACTTGCCACTGCCACAAAGAGGATCTCGCTGTCACTCCAATCACCTGCACCTCCCTGGTGTATTTAAGCCGTGTGTGTCTCTTGTGTCACTTGTCGCGTCATTGTCTGTTGTCCTGGATGGCTCTAGTTTCGGCCTGCCGTTTTTGACCCTGTTCCTGTATGCGTTTTTGCCCCTTGGTCATTTTGTGTTGTGGAGTTTCTGACTATTAAAGTCTTTTGTTTTCGAGAAGCGTCGGCATTTGAGTCCTGCCTTTCCACGCATCCCTGACATCGGAAGTCCGTTATAACCCGAATAACCGACCGGACCGAATATAGTCCGAATAACCACAGCCAAACATCTATTGAGTGTAAGGGGCTGAGGGGCTGAGTAGTGGAGGGGGGGTATATTCTACCTACACCATGCTCATCAAGATCAGGTGTGCCAGGAGACACACCTGGACCGCATTTCATCAAGGGGGGTACAAATAGGCGGAAAGAGCAGTGAGAGGAGAAGAGACAGTGATGACAAGGTTAAGTCATTGTGCTCTAAACTAAATTGTGAGTTTAATTATAGGAAAACATCAGACAGGGTTGTGTGAAGGTTGTGGAGAGGAGGAGTCGCTTGAGCGCGTCATTTTTGAGTTGCTATTAGATGCAAAGAGAGAAGATGCGGAATCAGGGCTGCATGAATGCACATTACAGACATTATACTGTGGGTGAGAGTACAGGGTGGAAAGCTTTTCTTCCAAAAGCAAATGAAACACAGCACACTATACATTTCTGTAGTCCAACACTAGAGCGCTGTTTGTGTTCCACACAGCAGTGCTCACGTGACTCCGCTGGATGTTTATTCTGTGATCGATCCACAGCAGCCAATCATCCGGGCAACCTGCATGTTTTTTGTGGCTCACATGGTTCCACGCTCCGCCCAGAGACCCGCCCTCCGCTGACTCTGATTGGTTTGTTTCAGGGTCACGGCCAATCAAACCAACGATGGCAGCGAGTATTACCCATCAGGGGGAGAATAGGACGAGTCTTCACAGAATTCGGGTGGGATAATTTGCACGGGATGCTGCATTTACGACATCTCGGAAAATGCGGGACAAACCCGTCCCGTATTGATTCTCAAATACGAGACAATTCCGTGTTTTAAGGGACGGGAGGCAACCCTTGCTGAAGTGTAAAAAAATAACCCTGGAGCTAAATTAAAAGCCAGATGAAGTACGCATCACACACAGACTCACCAAGCCCAACGCTGCTGTTCTCCAGCAGGTAGCTAAGGTGGTCAAACATGGCTTTCTGGTTCTGGCGGCTGATACGGCAGAAGTAACAGAGAAAACGGCAACAGTTGGCCACCATCTTAGGGAAGGTGATTTCCTGCAAAAACACACAATGAATCCCAGATTGTCAATAACGAATGTTAACAATTTATGTTAAATGTTGACATGTTCTGAAAAAAGACATCTCCATTTTGACAAGGCTGATTGTCAATGATGGTAAGCACACACAACGCAAACAGGAGATACATGTACTCAAAGGTTAAAGACAGACGGCAGTCTGTGATTCAAACTTCGTGCTTAATGTCTGGCTCTGCAGATCTTACGCACGTCATACCTTGGAGTCTCCTCCACTGAGTACGTTCACCATGACCTCCATTACAGTCTCATGCATCCCCAGAGCTCTCATCAGGTTAGGATGTTGGTAGAACACCTTGTTGTTCATGATATCTCTGCGGTGGAAGGAGAGAATATCAGAGTAAAACAAATAAGTCTCTGTTTTGCAAACGCACCAACTTCTGGTGTCCTCGTATTCCGAGTATGTAACGTGCAACAAAAAACAGTGTGTCAGACACATTTATTGACAAAACATGAACCTAATATTAAGATAATTAATTAATCAGCTTCAGGAAAAGCAATATTGACATCTGTCCAGTTGTCCTATGCCCTATAAGATAGATTTGAAAATGACTTCTAACAATCTCATCCATGCATTCTACCTGCTGGCTGTTAAGCTCCGCCTCTTCAGTTACATCTGACGGTGCTTATATCTGATGGTGCTTATATCTGATAGTGCTTACATCTGATGGTGGTTGTCCCTGCAGTGATCCTTCCTTACACCAAGCTTACTACTCTGAGTATTTTAATCATTTTTGTCATATGAATTGAACACAATGTACATATTTGACGTTGTTAACTCTGTACACATCTATCGCATTCAATCCATCCCATGGGGAGGGATCTCTTCTCTGATGTTCTCACTTAGGTTTTTTCTCCTTGTTGAAGGTTTTTTTTCCTGTGCCCATGTGAGGATTTGTGTGTACAGACAAATGTGTGATTTTGGGCTGTACAAAATACAATTGATTTAATTGAATAGGATAGGCGTAGCTTAACAACACACATATGGACAGAGAGCAAGTGTTAGAACGTGTCTGTGTCCCCAAAGCTGTAGACCTGATGCGCTGGCAACACGTGAGAGTCGGTGTTAAAGGGCTCGACAGATGTCCTCACCCCAAACCTCTGATCATCAGCTTCTCCTCCTCTCTTCCCATACGGACACTCAGCAGAGATCGGATCTGACCCAGAGCTGCCAGCAGGGTGATGGTGTCCTCGATCGATACGGAGTTTATGGTGTAGGTCTTAGGAAGGGCGCGCACCTGGAAGGATAAGGAAAGATCCACACATCCGCCTCCTTCACACTTCAGACACTTTAAATAGAAGATGCCGTTGTGTGGACGGGCAAGTTTCTTTGTGTATGGAATGACCCTACCTGTCCTCCAATGCCATCGTACTGGCGGTGCAGCAGGACAAACATTGCCCTGACCAGCTCTGGATCCTCAATCACCGACTCTTGAGCCCAGCGGACCATCGTGTCAGAAATCAACTGCTGCAACGTACCTGAAGAACAGAGTCATGAACTGTAAACTGTAAAACATGAACAAAACCCACTTGGTGTTGACATTGTACCCCGCCGGTGTGGCTCAGCTGGTCCAGAGGACTTACTGGGTTTCTTGTCTTCTTTCTCCTTGGTGGGGTTGCCCATCTTCTTCTTCAGGTAAGCCACTTTCTCCACCAGCGACATGAGGCGCCCTCGGATGGTGAAGTCACTGTCCCCTTCTATCCCTCCCTCCTCATCCAACTCTATACCTAACATAACAGAGAGTCAGTACAGCATGCATGCCGTATGTTCACAGTTAATGAATATGCATATGTTACTGAAACTTATTATTATTGATCCCTATTGATCTATGGGGATCAACAGGATATCATTTGAAAGTTGGTCTGGCTGTGCAGGTGAACCAGAGTGGACGTTTACCACAGTGTCTCATCAGGTCCTCGTGGAAGTCGAGCAGCTGTTCTCGGATGTATTCGGGACAGGGACACTCCTGCTTCTCGTCCTTAAAGTTTAGCAGCATGTTGATCTGAAACGACGCGCACCGGGGAGACTGAGACAAGTCTGGTTCAATGAATACTTCCACCACAGCCACGAAGATTACAACAGTTATATCCAACACACGTTTGTTCATAGCGAGCGGGTTTCCGCCAGCGTATTTGACTCATGAGTCTGCAACAGCAAAAGCAAGTGCCTCAGCACCCTGAACAACCCACCTGCTCCTGCGGAGGAGATCTGAACTCTTTGGTCTTCTTGGCGGTGAGGGCTGCAGACATGTTGAGCGCCAGCATCACCTCGTTGTAGCGGAACCGCTGGTTGTCTTGAAGACAGGCCACAAAGTCGTCGGAGAAGGCCACTACCGCCTCAATGCGATGACGCACCTGGCAGTCACACAGGTACTGCAGCACGTGGCACATCTGCAGACGCAGGTCAGACACAACATTCTATGGTGAAAAGGGTGCAGTGTGTTTGATTGGTACATTGCATGTTATCAAACCAGTGTCAAAAACAAATAGTTAAAACTGTCAAATCAACATTTTTACAATATTTTGTAGATCGTATTCTACTTTCTCTCTCTTTTTTTCTATCGTTTGGTCCTCCATGAAGTTCCTGATATTTTCGGGGGTATTTGAAATGCTAATATCATATATTATGTAGATATTAGATATATGTGTTTTAAGTTTTCTACAACTTAAAAGGACAAAATCCATCTTAGTAATTTGGAGTAAAATATTCATGAAAAATTAAACCAACAAAAAACAATTGATATTACATTGAAACTATTTTTTTAAGGGCCATATGGGTAATGTGTGTAATTTACATTCTGAAAGGGTTAACGGAGTGTCACCTGGAGTTTGACCGGTTCGGGTAGCTTCATCTGTAACAGCCCTTCTTTAGGCACGCTGCGCCCTCCCTCCTTCAGCGCCTCCGGCTCCGTGGGCAGGTCCTCCTGACCTTCCCGTCTCTCAGAGAAGACGGACGGTTCGATCAGTCTGAGGATATTCTTCAGATCTCCACTCTGGAAAACTCCCATGATGAGTAGGGTGTAGAACAGCTTGATGAGAGGGACGAAGAGGAACTCAGTGCTGCCTCCTATCGGATCCCGCACGTGCATGCTGCCCTCCCGCACCGCCTCCGTTAGCATCTCGATGGTTTTCATCTTCAGGACGTCTAAGGGGAACTCAGGGCTGTACTGGAAACAGTCTCCTGATCCCGTGTTACGATGTGACACTCCATTCACACAGACAAAACACGGGGAGGAAAAGTGCATTCTGGGTCTCAGGGAGGTGCTGAGGCCGATGCCTGGCAGGCCGTGTTTCTTCCTCTCATCGGGGAACAAGGTGATGCTCTTGGTCTCGTCCGTCATGGGAACAATGTACTCGCTGTTCATCATGAGGCGAGCTGTGGTGTAGCTGCTCAGGTGGATGTCGATGAGGAGGTCGTAGTAGCCCGCACGGAGCAAACCTGGCAACGGGGCAAAGATGTATAAATAAACATTCAACTAAAAGATTGACCGTATGACCCTTTTTGTTGCAGAATTTACTGTATGTATTTTTAGTCACTTCTTACTACCTTTACTTTGCTCCTTTTTTACATTTTGCTGATAATTCTTCTCAAAGTGTATTGAGGACGGAACACATTATTGACTTGGGTCTTTTCATGGACAATGGAATGGAGATTCTACGACGGATCTGAATAGTTCTTCCAACTCTTCCTACAGCTATTCAATCCTGCCTCATGCAACTACGAATCCACAGTCTCCCCTGACGTCTTAGTGATTGAGAGTCTAGCTCATGGTCTATGATGGTGAGGACAGGCGCTTCTTATTTCCCAGGGACAGTGTGTTGTGTCTTTCTTGTCTATGCGGTGTTGTGCGTTACCTGGCATGTACTTGTTCTCTATAGCCTGAAGGAGCTGTGCCTCGTCCACGTGGGAGCAGAGGGCGTGCGCCACCCGGTTGTTTCCCAGAGCACAGATGGCTGAATACAGTCTGAGCGTGTGGTAGTGAAACTTTAGTAGGTCGCTCTGCTCCGACAGCTCCAGGATATCCACCGACCTGGACAACACACAGAGATGCTGCATGAGAAAGGAGACAGCAGGACATTGAAAATGTGTGTAGGTGTGTGTGTGTTTTAGCCAAAATGAGTTTTTAACCGCTGAGAGGGGCCTCGTGGGGTTAAAACTAACTGGGACAAAAAATAACCGTCCCTGGCATCTAAGGAGAAGGGCAAAACATGAAAAAACACTGGGCTGGGCTTCATGTTTTATGGGCCAGAGAGACAAAAAGACAGCTTTGTCCCAAAATGCAGGTAAGCCCACCCGGAAAATTCCCACTAAGCCAGATGGTCCAACCCTGATGTGTGCGTGAGTATATTTTTGTGCATGCAGGTGTGTGTACTCCACTTGTTCTCTTCAGGTATGTGCAGAGACATGAACTGCAGAGGTTTGTTACACTGGACCAGCCAGCCATGTCTGTCATTCACTCTGGATGCTGACACCTGAAATACATAAAGTGTTTATATATAAATATATATATATATATCTGTTAGTACATATTACACTTCATGCTGCTATCCACCCACTGCACAACACAGCAGAGTGTTCACTTGACATGCTGCCCATACACAGGGGGATAATATGGAAGCATCATTCCACTTTCCTTATAGAGACATGAAATTGGTAAAGCTTCCCCGGTAAATTGGAAATTATCCAAAAGTCAAACCAATTATTGGTACTTTTGATAACAGTGAGCCTTTATATTGTCTGGCTCTGTACATTGCTCAAGGCAGGTTATTCTCTTATAATAATAATACAGGGAATGCAGGCCTGCTGTAAGAACTGTACCTTGAGAAAGTGGTTGGGAACGCGACTCCATAACACAGGAGTGAGGAACTGGACATGGAGCCTTGGAGGGCACTGAGGGACTGGGTTCCTCCTCTCGCTCTTAAACAGACCAGCTGACAGAGGCATCACATTCTGACGGGAAACAGGCGTTTTCACAATTATACAACATAACTTAAGACGACAGCCCAGAGAGACACTGTGCACATCATTACGCAGGTTTATTTCTGTCAACCAAAAGTCTTATTATTATTCCTCATTAATCTGATGTTGTATAATCATTATCCCATTATCCCAAACCAACATGACACGTGTGGTCAGTAAGATCAACCGTTTGAGAAATGTTCCATTTTCATTTGGAGCGTTTTCCTGTTACTGACGGCCTATAAAAACTGGAAGCCTGTTAGCTACAAATCCTGCAGAAGTAGTGTAACAAGTGGATTTAATAACCTAGTCTCAACAAACAATTCTATGTAATTTTGTGGTTGTGTTTCTTGTGTTCTTATCACCAGAAATCAATCAAACTTCTCCACCTTTTATCTACGACACTGCTTTTATTATGTAGCAGGACAATGAGGTTAAAAGCTGCCTGCCAAAATGACTAAGCTGTTTAGGGCGCGAGTGTGTGTCCATCTCACCTTAATACGCCCCAGTTCGAACTGGAAGACATTGGGGCTGGTGGCCTGGGCAAAGACTGCTGGGAACAGCTTGGTACTGGGCTCCACCTGTGGAGGCCAGAGAGAGCGTAGCTATCTACTTAAGTACAACTGCATCAACAATCAATCGTTCCCTGTTGTCGGTACACAACGGAATTGTAAGGAAGTTCAACGATGGCAGTGGGGATGAAGAACGAGGACTGAGCTTTTGTTCTGTTGTGAGATATGCAGCTCGCTACAAACTGATTGGCAAAATTCCAAATACACAAGAATAAAGATAAGAAACAAGGAAGTATGGGCATTTTTGTGTATGCTGCATAATGCTATGGAAAACAAGAAACAAGGGGGTAGGTAACGCAGCAGGAGATAGAGGAATGGACCGTCACAAACAACAAACAACATGTCAAATGTTTACCTGGTAGTAGGTGCTGAGTTCTTTACCGTTGGCTGTGAATGTCAGCAATCCGTTGGTTGTGTCCACCAGGCAGCCGATCTCTAAGCCATTGCTTCTCCCTTGACCAGGACTGCTGCTCTCTCCAGCCCACACCATGTAACAGTTACTGTGCTTTATACTGAGGAAACACACACCATGTAACAGTTACTGTGCTTTATACTGAGGAAACACACACATGTAACAGTTACTGCGCTTTATACTGAGGAAACACACACCATGTAACAGTTACTGCGCTTTATACTGAGGAAACACACACATGTAACAGTTACTATGCTTTATACTGAGGAAACACACACATGTAACAGTTACTGTGCTTTATACTGAGGAAACACACCATGTAACAGTTACTGTGCTTTATACTGAGGAAACACACATGTAACAGTTACTATGCTTTATACTGAGGAAACACACACATGTAACAGTTACTATGCTTTATACTGTTACACACCATGTAACAGTTACTGTGCTTTATACTGAGGAAACACACACATGTAACAGTTACTGTGCTTTATACTGAGGAAACACACACATGTAACAGTTACTGCGCTTTATACTGAGGTCAGTGAAGTTATGAATTAGTTGCAACTGCGACTAACCTCTCGTGAACTTTGCCCCTCTCGTCTCCCAGAGTAACGGTGACGGTTCGGACATTGTGCAGCTCAAAGCCCGGGTCGTACTGATGGAAGTCTGAGGTCACCCAGCCCACCCAAACATTGCTGGGCTCCTGACCAGGGAAGATCCGCACGGAGTAGTAGTGCTGAACAGAAAGCGGTTAGTTACGTCATAATACTGTGAAACACTATATGCAGGTGATAAACCCACTGATTAAAATCATATAACTAATGTAATGATCGTAAAGTTACACTTTTCTAGGACCTGTTGATCTGTATATTGATTCATAATTCATTCATTTGCTCTCTTAGAGAAGGGAACTTCTCATCTTTAGGTACATGTATATTGCCTTAGAGTGTTTTGGGACCAGTATTTCTTCCTGTATTGTCTTACAGTAGAGGCTTGCGTAAGGAACTCATATTCATCCCGGTCATCAGCCATCACCTCCTCTGACAGACGAACAGATGTTGGACAGCTGATGTCTGTCTTGTTTTTCTTCAACGTGAACCTGGTAGATCAGAGGCTTGATTTAGGTTTATACAGTTAAAAACACGTGATTAAACACCGTGACAGAATGGTACAAATTGTGCAAAAGCTGGCTATGGAAAAGTGAAGCGTTGAGGCAACATATGGTTTACCGTTGCTTGATTTTTGAAGGCTTTTCCTGGTTATAATCTTTGTGGTTGTTGAATTCATCTCGGTCGGGGCCATTAGAACCATTGGGACCATGAGAAGACTTCATCAGGACCTCAAAGTCTGACACAGTTTCAAAGTCTTCCAGTTCCTGCCGAAACAGACAGAAAACACACCACGCATATTGTCAATCATATTCCCGATCCCACTGTATCTTTAAGACACATGTGTAGAAATGTAAATGAGTCCATGGTTGTGTGTTTGGGGTACTTTTACCCTCTTTGGTGAGAAGATGCTGTTGTTTGCTGTGGATCTGGAGAAGGATTCTGCACACTCTATAGGCATGCTCAGCCTGTAGAAGGTGATGTCAGTGTAACTGTTCTGCGAGCCGAATGACCTCTGGGTGACCTTCAGGCACGGACAGGACTCCACTGTTCCATCGATCCTTGTCACCTGAAAAAAGTGACATTGTGTCTCACCCTAACTATTGTATCCTGTTATATTTAATCATATTAGTGAGAAATGATCATAACAAGCATTTCAATTCAATTCTTCGTGGGTGTGTGAGGTCACAGTGACCTTTGATGACCAAATTCTAATCAGTTCATTCTTAAGTGGACATGTGTGGCAAATTTGAAGATATTTCCTCCAGGCCTGAGATGTTGCGTTCATAAGAATGGACTGGAAAACAAAAATAAAATCACCAGCTATGTCTTGTCAGTTGAAATTATTGAAATGACAAAAGTGTTTTTTAATTATTTTGAAGGGGTTATATGCGAGATGTAAACATATTTTTGAAATATCTTGAAATTTGTATTAATAGATTACACTTTAGTTCTCATCGCTGTAATGCGTCATTAAATGTTCCACCTAAAAAGACATGTGATCCTACCAGGTGTTAGCTACGTAGATCCATATAGCACGTGGCTCCGCTCACCTCCATGTGTGGGTGGTTGGGGGGAACAGGAACAAACTGAGGCAGCCTCTTGCTGAGCCACATGGTGACGTCCCGGTTCATGTTGACAGCAAACGGTTCGTAGCCTTCCTGCAGACCGCAGATAGTGAAGTACTTCAGGGTGCTGACGTCTTTGCCGAAGTTCATTCTCCCCACCTGACACACACCCAGACTGGATACAGGGATAAAACCTGCAGACAGAGAGAGGATATCGAATACAAAGATGAAACCTTTTGGGCATGTAACACTAACCATACAGGAATCAGTTGTGCAACTTACCTGATACATTTAGTAATTTAACAAGGATGCAAAACGAGTTGTATCCCATTTGGAACACAACAAACCCATGACACAGGAGGAATGTAAACAGCATCAACAAAACTATTCTCTGGACAGGTAACACGGGCAACAGAGTCAAATTAAAAGTAAATATAAGGGCATCATTGTCCATTAACTTTGAATATCTTTGAGCCCAAAGACTGTATGAACAATGTCCTTTCCTCTTTGAAATTGTTGAGACAAACCGGCCCATGGGGTCCTTCTGTCAACGCTGTCCCCACGGACACATTACCTGAAGAGGAAACCTTTGGATCTGTGATACTCTGCCTGGTCCCTCATAGCAGCGAATCAAAGCCACATTCTCCAAAAAGTAGAGGCGAGTGTGTCGAAAGTTCTCATCTACTGTCTGTGTTCAGCATCAGGCCTTGCTAGGAAAGGTTGGACGTGCACCAGGCGAATGTCCTTCACTGGATATATGTTGTCACCACTGACCTTCACCAACTTCAAAGTCCTTGAAGGCTAGCTCAGATCCGGAGTCATCCAGCAGCACCTCCCCATTGAGTGTGAACATCATGGTGTGTTCGTTCAGATCCACCATGCAGCCGACCACGTCCCCTGTCTGCCACGCACGGCCAAAATGCTCATTACCCTGGTGCCAGCGCTGGACCTATGAGAAAGACAACTTCCAACATTCATCCTCATTTGGACATTAATATGTAATAAAGAAATTCCACCATAGTGCCATGAAACTAAATAGATGGAATGAGTGGAGCAAAGAGCCATCCATCCACCTTGAAGCCATCGAACACAAAGGCCTGGTCATCTGATCCCAGCTCCAGGTCTGGGAGGCATCCGGGCCTGGCCCAACCCACCCTCATCTCCCCTGCTGATAATACCTAGAGGATAAGTGGGAACCGATTAATGTCCCGTTCAGGGGGGGAAATGGCCAAAGTGTGCAAGCCCCCCCCCCCCCCCCGATTCCAACGACAAATGTAGAATCTGAACAACATCCAGTTTTTATTCCCTCCTCATATTCTTTAGAACGGGATACCAGAATATCAGTTACCATGAGGGATGTTGGGGCACATTCTAAAAGTTAATACGTTCAGATATCACAACGCTTATCACGGTTCTTCGTACCTTCAACTCAAAGTACCACTTCCCCGCATTAACACAGTAGGTTTTTTCTGCTCTGAAAATGCGAAACCTCTCAAGAGATACGCTGTCGGGTTCAGATTGAGCTGCTGGATGAGAAGAAGAACAATAACATCTGATTATCACATATTGTACTTTTGAACAATCGAGGATTTCCCCCCAAAAATGATATCGCAACATGAAAATATGATGAGACAATAAGGCATATGTTTTGCACCATGGTCCTGGTCAGGAGCTTCCAGGTTGTATCCATGTCCCAGCAGAGTCCTGACAGCCTCTCTCAGACTGTCTTTGTTGGACTTCTTGGTTCTCTCATCCAGCAGAATGTAGGGGACCAGACGAGGGTTTCTGCGATTCTTCACATCCTGATGAGAGACAGAGACCAGAAGAATTAAATGTCATTACCAGGGAATGTGGTGCTGGGTGAGGAAAGAGATACTGAAGTGCTTTCCCCTTCCCCGTTGACATCACTGAACGCCTGTAGGCAGGATACGCTAATCCCTTGTGGCTCCAGTGGAGCAGCAAACAAACCCTAAAACAATAGCTTTCTTCATGCGTTGAAATAACCGTGGTTCTATTCAGAGAGCGACGTCTGCTGATACACTGTCTCCAAATGCATTCTCTCTAGTGCCCAGCAGTAGTAGCTCTAGTATTTCTTCCTCATCAGACATTGTCTTCCAAGCTGCAAGTTTGATGTAGATTCCTATTTATTTGACTGGATTAACATCAATATTTAATGTGACGGCCACATCACAGACACAAAAAACACTTTTTAATCCCAGTTAACATGCAGACATATGAAGCAATGATCATTTTCCAATCCTGAGTAATAGAAAAGTCCAGCTTGTGTGGACTGCTGCCCCCTACAGACTTCCTATTGGGCATAAGCAACGGCTCTAATGCTTCCACCTGGACTCTTTATCAATCAACCTGCAAGGACCAGGTGCATGCTGAATGTTAAAAAGCCAACGGCCGGCACCATTAAGGGAGGGACACGAACGGACGACGACAAACGGCAGCGGCAGCGGCGCGGTGACGGCGGCAGACCAAAACGAACAAACCTGGAACGGATGACTCGGACGCGAGCGCGCCTCCGTCACCGAGAGCCGCCGCCATTGCATCAAAATCCCGGAGTACAAGATTGAGACGGATTACCCCTTCCGCATTTGAACAGAACTTTGGCCGATGCTAGACTGCAAATGGAGCCCAACTGTCGGCAGTTTGTAAATGGATTGTACCCGATAGTATAAGTATAACGGATTAGGAGACAGCGATTTTAAATTATAAATTATTCCCACGTTTTATTACAAATCTTTTATACAGTTACCGCGCACGCAGGGTATGCGAATTTTGAAGGCTATTTATCAGCATGGAAAGTGATGGATTGACCCTGCAAAACACCCCCACAAGATCCTGTGCTGTGCAACCAACTGACCAGGTAGAAGTGGGTCTGGAACGCCTTCAATCAGACATGTCATCCAACTGTTAAATCCATTAGGGATATTGAGATGTAGACAGCACTAATTCAACTGAACACATAAACGGCCCCGTAGTCCACAGCATGTGTACCTGTTGGATGCCATAGGTCCAGCCCTGGCGGACGCGATCTCTTGCCCAGACGTTGTGCGCGTTCTCGGCCAGTTTGTCCACCATGGCTTCCTGGGTGGAGGTCAGCTTGATGTGGCCCAGGTCCAGAGGGGCGGGTTTATAACCACCGGACAGCTCATAGCTGCACAGATCAAATCCAGCTTAACAACATCAACGTACTGAAGTCTGAGCTTTATGAATCATCCCATTAAGAGTCCTGATACATCATGCAAGTTGTGCTCTGCTTCCTGGGGTCGACTTACGTTGGTGACAGTTTCATGCTCTTTACTTTCTCTAAAGCGTGTTCATCTGCCAAGCCAACATGACAACCGAGGGCCAGGAGAGTTCTGAAACACACGTGACCAAACACAATTCAGTGTTCAGGTGTTTCATATTGAGTCTGACATGTTATCACTGCTCATGGTTAAATGCCACAGAAATGATCCTGTGGTTTTCTCATGTACAGAATGAGCATCAGGGCCTGACAGGTGCATGTTGGATCCGAATGTCACATCTCATGTTGCTTTCTGCACTGATGGATTACTTCAAAGTCTCCAGAGACATCTGTAAGTTGTAGCTTCGTTCTTGTTCAGGAAGCTTGGAGAACTCCACCAGACAGGGGTGTTGGCGCTTGTTATCATCTCGCACCTGAAACACACACACACACCATGTATAAGCTAGAAAGGTGCTCCTCGTATCGCGTCCACAGGGGACTAATGGAAAACCGGAAAACCTAAGAACTATCGATGCGTTTATAGTGCTGCAGTTACATCCATGACACTTACAACTAACAGGTTTCATTACAGACTGAAGTGCAGTGTCACCTCCGAACAGGGCAACAAGGGAGGGGCTAACGGCTGTGCACTAAATGAGCCACAGCGGCAGGTACGGCTGACTGGTATGAAGGTAGATGTGTGTCTTTATTATGCAAACAAAATATAAGTCGATCCACCAATAGAAACTCCTGGTTCATTCAGCGGCGTAAGCCCCGCCCACTACGAACAAACTCGGATCGCAAAAGTTTTTGTTCCGAGGCCAAAGGGTTATTTTTTGAGAGCAGAAGTTTTTGTTTAACAGCCAAAAATTCTAGTTTCAGGAGAAAAACTAACAAATAATTTATTCTCAGTTTATAAATGTTTACTTACAAACTTTTGCAATGCAAGAAATTTGCTCCCAAACCAGTTTTTTTGTTTGCATAATAAAGACACACATCTACCTTCATAACTAGCTGGATCTCGTTAACTCATGAAGGCAAAGCGTGAAAAACGGATGGACCTCGAGTTGAACGTGGTGAATGTGCCGACTAAGCATTCAGAGTGCTGAATGATTGCTTTGCTTCATTTGGTGAGTATTTGGTGTTACAGTCTGACAGTGGACAACTTGTCCTTTGCTCACATGCTGTAATCTCACTAATGAGCTCACAGACATGTAGTTGGAACGCATCTTATTTTCATTGAGTATAGGAGATGAACCTCCCATAAGAAATGTATCAAGTAAACGTGCATTTTAATCAGTGGAACAAGACCCGCATTTAATTTCTCTCTCTTCATGTTTGACCTTTGCTAATAATATAAAGGCATTCAGGTCAGAGTAGGATGCTGAGCTTGTAGGATTTTTATGTAAAAGGGACTCGGTTGCACACTATGTATACTGATCCCATGCATAAAAAAGGTCATTTAATCATTGTTTCTGTACTCACTGCGCCGTAGGTCCAGCCCAGTTCTATCTTGTTCATCACCCACAGTTCATGGATGTTTTCTGCAAGCTTCTCCCTGATCCTCTCCAAGTGAGGCGGCAGCACAATCTGCAAGCACAAGGAAGAGCAAACAAAACATTGGAAACTACTTCTGTTGCGTTACGCTGCTTCTGCCCTCATCGGTTTAGTTTTACAGAAAATAACATGCATTTTTTATCATTACTAACTGTCTCTGTATTTAAATCACACACTTATTGATTTCATAATGTGTTATTGATCGACCATCACACAGTCCCCTGGCAGTGCCATCTACCTGGCTGGTGTCCACAGGTGTGGGGGTGAAAGCTGCCTGGCTCAAGGTGATTGTGGGTCCCAGCAGGTCTTTGGCTGCGGTCTGGTCCTGACCCGCCTCCAGCCTCAGCTTCTCCCGGGGCAACACCGCCTCGTAGCAAGGGGCGTAACCTGGAGGAGGCAGGAACTTAAACTCCCCGTGACGACCCCCCAGGAGGAAACGCACCCTGCAGTGGGACAGACGAGGAGTCAAGAAGGGTTTATTGTCCAAAGGGTATGATGGCCAAATGGATGCGTTTACTTCACCACACGTCAAAGGAAAAAAATCCAAAACCAAAGTAAAAACGCTAAGTACCAAACGCAGAAAGAGAATGAAAAAGCATTAGACATTAGGAATCTGTAAAATTATTAAACAAAATAGTTATAACAGTTAAAGTAAAAGTACTAAGAAGTCCTTTGGAAGTCTTTTTCATTTCCTTCTGAATTATTCTGGTATTTATTCTCTTGAGCTTCCTCTGACATGACAACAACAACAACAACAGCATTCTCACTGACTTGACTCCCGCAGAGAAGCTGGCCACCGGGAAGAAGAGGCCGACAGAGTTGAAGTTCTCAAACATGCCCTGGACCGGCTGGCCGTTGATCCTGAAGGAGATACTGGGCACGCTGAGGTCCAGGCAGCAGCTCACCACATCCTCTGCTCTCAGGAGATGCTGATTGGGTGAGCTGACGGTTCGCGCAATGCAGCCTGCACAGCGAGGACGGACTTCAACAGAACGTTCCACCCGGTCCACGCTGTGCCGCAAGCACTAGAAGACTCTCACAAACACCTCACCTGACCAGAGATGGAGCCCATCGAAGCCATAGGAGTAGAGGTCATCGCCCACCCCGTTGCCACCCCAGCCCTCGCCCCCGCTGGGATAGGGCGCGTAGCCGCTGGTGTTGGCCCAGCCCACCCTGAGGTGGGAAGCCTCTGCTGTGACGAAGGGCAGCGCCTGATCCACGATCAGCTCGTAGTACCACTTCCTGTACTGAGCAGAGCCGTTACTGACGCCCAGGAAGATGTTGGGACGCATGCTGACGGATGAAGCAGAGGAGCAGTGAGGCGACTGTGCGCAGGGTTAAAGTATTCGCCTTTTCATTTGTATATTATTGTGTTATGTGGTGTGTGTGTGTGTGTGTGTGTGTGTGTGTGTGTGTATACCTGCTTACGTGGTTGATCAGGCGGGTCTGCAGTAACAGCTCTCGTCCTGGCAGCAGGTTGTCACAGATCAGGTGCTGGTTGGAGCGCACTGCCACGCCGTGACACACACACAATGAACACAACACATCTAGAACCTGGATGGTAGCACACACACACACACACACCAGCCCATATGTCAGTGTTGGAAACTGTATCTTTGTTAACACACTCATACTGACACAGACTGAGCCTCAGGGTTCCTGAGGGATTGGAGAGGCTGCAGCTCGGCTCCTTGTTTTGATCTTAACTGTGCTCAGCGACTTCCTCCAGGAGCCAAGTCACTACGCACACGCAGTCGAGGGATTGAAAACAAAGATAGTTGTGAGATCCCTTCTCGTGTCTCTCTTTCATCCAGCACTTTTCCTGGATTCCTGGAGGCCTTTTCACACCACACACACTCATCCGTGTGGAATATCATCACATAACATTTAATTATATATCGGCAGAAAACTCAGCCAATTGTTTTTATGCTCAAATAAAGAGAAATCTGCAGATACTTATTGTATCTGTAGATTTCTGTAGAAGAAAGCAAAACCTAGACCGAATTTTTATATTTTGGATGCCTTTGAAGAGGACTTGCTGTACATGTATACAGAGTTCTTATCATAAATACATACGTGTTGATCTCTGTCCTCTGATTGCAAACTTTGTTTTATTGTAACATGATGATGAATATAATATTGAATTGAACTTGATTACTTTCTGCTAATCCGTATGTATAAGTGTCTGTACCTTGTAGTTGCGTCCATGCTTGTCTAGCAGAGATATGATGGATTTGATGTGTCCCTCTTTGATTATATTCAGCGCCTCAGGACTCTCCACCAGCACACAGTGAAGCACCTCCAGTATACCTGGAAATCCATAATAAGTAAAGTAAGAGTGGCTACAGAAAGCGTTCAAACCAGGGCTCCTTCTCACATCATGATTCCCGCTGCGTTGGCCTTTCTGTTAAAAGATTCACAGGCCTTTTAGTGGCTCTGGCACCTTCAACACAAACAGCAGTCAGACGTGTTGGCATGTGAGAAAATCGGATAATAACAGAAGCCGTGGGAGGCAAAGTGTTATAATTATGGCAAACTTCTGTGTGTATTTTACAAACCAACGTAGTAAAGTGCATGTGAACCACAAGGGGCAGAACCAACGGATTGCACTCCCGAATCTTTCAGGGAGAATGTGTGTTTGGAGAGCTGGTCTGCCTTCACCAAACACCAGCAGCCTGATTTGGTTCAGGCTAAAGTTTCTCACATGAGAACTTCCTCTGTAGCAGTTACACTTTGCCCCACAGTCAGTGGCGGCAGGGCAATGGAGGGCAATGGAGGGCAATGGAGGGCAATAGAGGGCAATGGAGGGCAATGGGGCATCGCCCCACATGGAGCGCCCCACCTTAATCCCAAATAAAAGAAAAAAGAAAGAAAAAATGATGATTCACCACCTGCCACCACTCAAAAATAAATTATGTTGAAATTAAGGTTTGAAAACACTGCACTTCTACGACTGCAGAAAGATACAGTTTGCACTACTAATGAACCTGCAGCCAATCACATACGACTACAGCACAAGGGACACGCCCCCCGGAGAATGGCAGCGTTGAGCTGGAAAAGAAGCACGCAGAAGCCTCCTGTGAACCAATATTGATTGACGTTCTTATACTATTCATACTTTATGTCACTTTGTAACTTACTTCTGTTAGTTATTAATGAATTAACTTTTTTTAAACTCAAGCTAGTTGACTCTTTACAACAGTAGTGTTGCTTGATCAGAAGTTCAGAACTCCACACTACCAAAGGAATCAACTCCAGGAGAAGGACCTCTGTTCAATATTTAAAGATATTGAACGGAGGTCTTTCACTCACTTCATAATGATCCAAAGGTGATTCTGTTTGACCTTGTTAGGCCGAGCTGACCTACCAGAAGAGGCCTCCAGTCTCTCCAGCCTGCTGATCAGCCAGTCCAACGAACCGGAAAACTGAGCACAGTTCTTCCTGTTTCCTCTGATCAGAGCCGCTGAGAGGAGACAGACATAAACACACAACAATGTACACACAGCAGTCTTTCTCTGCAGCTTCAAGTGTGCTCACCAGTGTGTCTGCACATGTCTGTGTGTGTCTGCAAAGAGCACAGCAGGATTGTAAACACGCCACCGCGTACAGACGGAAATGAAATGCCGTCATGTAAGTAAGATAAAAAAACACCAAGACTACTGAGTTTGTCTAATAAAACAACTTTTGCTCTGGTCGCTATGTAGAGAAATAATCCTTTTGGTGGGGTCGCACTCTTAATTTCTAGATCTGTGTTTTTCTCCATTGTCTAATTGCAACGTTGTTGCTTTTTTAAACACCATTTGCAAAATCAATGTTCATCTCTTTGAATAATAGATGATGTCTGGATGCAATTGGATCACTTTCTGTGAAGTCCGGTGCTTGCTTCCGTTAGTTGTAACCATATCATATGCAGCGTGTGTCAGTGTGTGTCAGTGTGTGTGTACCCAGTAGTTGGTAGAGGGAGTTGAGGATGGAGCTCCAGGTCTCTCCTCCCTCCCTTCCTACTGCCTCGGCAAAATGAGCCGCACTGCTGTAGACGTGCAGACGATCGATGCACTCCTGCACCAGGCTGATCATTCCCTGCGGACACACAGGGTGTTGCTTTCACTCAGACCCGCACCATCCAAAGATGGTGGAAGAGAGAGAGAGCGATGGCACTTGGCTTCAACAGTTAATGCTGTGGAGGCCCGCGCTGACATTTGCAGTATTGAGTACTGAATCACGGTCACATTTGTTCAACGTGTTGATGTCAACTGCATGCGCGAAGGTGCCACAGCACTTAATTAAACACTTAACTTACAGGTTTCTGTGTGATACATTTGATTAAAAATGTTTAAAGACTACTGATGGAAGAAGATGGAAATACTTTTAACTTTCCTTTCAGATGGTTACCCCAACAGGCAATATTTAACAAATAAACAAAACCCCACCTTGAGCGGTCTTGGTAGTTATAAATATACATATCATTTCTTTGAATTTAGATAAGTAATTTGGAATATTAAAGAACTGATTCTGAAAAGTAAATCCCACTTTGTAATCATTCCGCAGGTATTGAGGTAAACAAGCTACAATCACACACGCTCAACTGCCTACCTCTTCCTGAAAGAGGTTCTGCCGGTTCTTCAGAGCCCTCAGTCGGTTCTGCTTGTCTTCATGTTCCAGGTGATCTCCGGGTGGATGGAAATAGCCAATCAGATCCTGCAGACTCAGACTGACCGAATCTATCGGCAGAACAAGCGTGGAGCTCTTCCCCTTTCTCCTCAGTGTGTCCAGACCCCTGGGGTGCAAATAGAGTGGAGGCCATCAATCCCTGTCTTCACGGTGTGACAGGCGCTTCCTGTTGCTGTCTGATCACTGGAGCTTTAGGTGTCGCTGATGCCTCTGCAAGCATGATGGTGTTCAGAATGCCGATGGTTTCAAGCTGCTGGCTGGAGTTGCTTGTGACAAGCGTGTCTGTTTGAGCTGATAGCGTATGCACCCCTCGCTGCTGCTGCTGGACGTATCGGACTGATTCCCCAGTCCAAAGCAATGTGGCCCTAACGTTTGACATCAGGTTGCACTGATTCAAACGGCTCGTATGTAGGCCAGAAAACGGGAGGGACTTCTTCTTCAGAAGCAAAATCTTTTTGTGTCTGTTATGCTTTTGGCTTCTTACTAGTAGATAACATGGCAGCTACTTTGCCACTGGTAAGCAGCAAGACAGACTTGCTGAAATTACGATTGTATAAAGAGGATAATAAGAGGACTACATCACAGCTTGTTTGTGAACTTATAAGGAAGTCTGTTCGATGACACTTTCCAGCACCGGATGTGTTCATTTAATCTTACAATCGAGCTGTGGTCATTGTAGACGCATTTGGAGCAGCCAGTTCTGTCCTGGAAGGGATGTTTGCTCTGTTCCAGAGTTCACATGCACACAGCGGCGCAAGACTCAAGACTTAAGCTACAAAAAAGAATTGCGTTCCTGTTGAGTTTCTCACAGCTGCTTGTATTTAGGAGGTGCAGAGCATCAGTATTACATACGATGCATCCCTGCCAATCACAGCCACTTTGATGTTTATTATTCAAACACAATACACAGCCTCTTCCTCTGAACGTGTCGAATTACCATCCTTTGACTTGCTATTTCACTCCTAGATATAATCGACATCAAGGCGTGTTTTTGTACGTTTGTGTGTGTGTGTGTGTGTGTAGTAATCCACCTGATGAAGACATTGAACAAAAACACTGTACTGCGGATGACTCTGGCAGTGCGACTCTCCTCGTGTTGTGAGCGGGACAGCGTCAGCCCGTCGTCCATGTGACCCTCGTGGTGCATGATGGCCTGAAATGAGAAGTGAGGTTGTGAAAAAGCAACTGTTAATATCACACTTACAGTTAGTACAGTTACATCTTCAAAAGACATGACTGTTGGGTTCGGCCTGAGAAAACCTTTACTTTCGGCTTCATTCAACCTCTATAATCAGAGTGCACAGTCGTGGACTGCTGCTCCTCAGGATGACTCAGATTCTACATTGGAATGACGTACGCTGGCTCACTTTTGGTTTAAGTCAGTCTCCAGAACCAATCCCAATCTCGTACGGACTCACAGACTTTGAGGCGTGCTCTTGTTAACTTGTGAGGGTTTGGTTTCATCCCATTGTCACATCGTGCAGAGGCTCGCCGGCAAACATTTTGAGTCATCGTGAACCCTTTCTGTAAGTCGGCATCGGATGCTGACTTAACACAATGGAATTACCCACAAGACACTGCAGTGTGACGTTAAAAACGGGATAACCAGTGACAGCATGGAGACGTAGAAAAAGGTAAACAGAGAAGACGGCACACGTGTGTCATATTCAAATGTACACATTTAAAAGATAAGGATTAAAGATGCAAAAGAACACACAAATTGACGAATATTGACACATTTAATTAAAATGCGGATCTCACTGATCTGAAGACTATTATCCCTTTTCCTCGGAATTTATGTAAAACCGCAGTTCTTCATGACATGACAGTTCCCATGTATTTATAATAAAATAAAGTACCTTTCTCTGCACTCCGCCCATGCGTGCACACTTGGCGTCAATAGTCTGGTACGTGAGCCACAGGCAGGTGTCAACGTGTTGGACGTAACACACGGAGTCGCCATACTTAATGTCAGGAACACCCATCCCGTCCACCTCCTTCCTCCCACCAGGGTCCAACTTTTCCTGAAGGGAAAAGAGAGAAAAGGGAAACAAGTGAATACTGCGATTAATACGGATGAAACGTTACGTCACCTTTGTTCCATCTGAGGCACAAAGCCGAGCAGAACCAACTTCAAACAAGAATATTGTGTACAACTCCTAGTTGTAAAATATGATATGCAAATTAGTCCCCAAAATGTGCACACGATGCTGATATAAATACCACTTCTCTCAGACACACCTTTCCAAAACCAGAGCAAAAAGTCCTAAATGCTCCTTACCTGTGACGTTTTGAACATGGGTCCTTTGTTGTTGTTGAGTGTGCTACAGCCATCTGCCATTGCATTCAAACTACAAGCAGTTTCAGCGCTTTCTGCGCAATTTTTAAGGGAGTTTTTTTTCTTTCAATCCTCACTCTCGAGCGTTATTTCGCGCTCTGCCCGTTTGGGATTCTGAGTGACTGTTGATCATTTCCGCGTGGGTTTAGCCGAAAGGGTCGGACCGGCCAACCGCTGCCGGAGATAGGCAAAAAAAATCCACATTTTGACTTCTCCTCTTACTGAGCCCTGAGGCCTGCGCCAAAGCCTGTCCTAGAGTAGTAATCCTCCCTCTATCAACTAAAAGCTTCCAGGATTACTGTCCACACACTGGGCTATCACTTACATGTGGTTTTAGCCTGGTATATCCATGTTTTATAGGACTTAGAGGGCTTTTTTTCTGTGGTATTTGGATTTCTTTCTTCACCGGTAACATATTAACTGATTTTTACACATCGTAACACTTAAAGGGGGTTCCCCTTTCCTTATGTTCATAGGACTCCGTTGTTTCACTCTGTATAGCACTTTGTTGCTAAGTACAAAAAAACATTTAAATGATTCCTTTACATATCCTTACTGAAAGAGAGACAACCATCCCATCTGAACCGAGGCTGCAGGAAGCCGGAGAGAAGCCTCGGGCAGAAGATGAAACCGTGGGAAGACAGTGCCGCACATGTCGCTAACCATCAGTTACCGTTACCTTAGAGGACCTGAAGCAGAAGGCCGTGGACTTGACATCGGCGTTCTCTTTGTCCAATAGCAGGAGAGATTTGTCTTCTACCAGACTCAGGTACTTCCCCGTGGTCACGTGTCTCAGCCTGAACTGCTGACCCCAGCGGATATGACTCCCGCTCCACCTGGACACAAACAAATAGAATACAACCAATCACTCTACTTCTGTCTTGATTCATGGTGTCAATCTCTAGTTTAAAGTCCTCTTCAATACCGCATAATGTCGATGTAGTAAATGAGGATGCATTTCCGCAGAGCCCCAGATCTTCGGGGCTGTAATCTGATCAGCTGCATATTGGTTGAGGAATATTTAATGAGTCCAACCAATTCAACCAACAACCTGCTCGGTGTAGTGTTACAGTGTTACAATGGTAACACAAATACACAATTGAAAGCTTGTCTACAGTACACTTGTTTACAAATAATTATCACAGATATAAATGATGTATTTGAATTGGGTTGAAATGTAAACAGATGTTGCAGAAGATGAATTTGAAGCCTGAAGGCTAATGTTCCTTCCCTCCAGCACACATTCCTCACAGCAAACCCTCCTAATCTCCTCGCCTGCTTTCTCGCTTCGCAGGTCTCCGTGGATCGTGGTTCCGTCTGGACCCTGGTCCTGACTCCTGCCTGGCCCCGCGGACACCTACCACTTCTAACACCATTGATATTCCCATTTATATTGCTGTAAACATTAATGCACATCACTTTGTTTAGATTATTTGTGCTTTCTCGCCTCACAGGTTTCCATGGATCACGGTTCTATCTGGACCCTGTTCCTGCCTCCTACCGTGGCCCTGCTGACACCTGCTGCTGCTGCTATCATCATCATTATTATTATTATTATAATAAATATTAATCATATAACTATTACTGTCATCATAAACCAACGTTACCCTTTCCTAAAGTGCTTTCCCTCCCCACAGGCTTCTGTGGATGGTGGTTCTATACGATGATGGTTCTATCTGATGGTGGTTCTATCTGATGGTGGTTCTATGTGATGGTGGTTCTATGTGACGGTGGTTCTATGTGATGGTGGTTCTATGTGGTGGTGGTTCTATGTGACGGTGGTTCTATGTGATGGTGGTTCTATGTGATGGTGGTTCTATGTGATGGTGGTTCTATCTGATGGTGGTTCTATGTGGTGGTGGTTCTATGTGATGGTGGTTCTATGTGACGGTGGTTCTATCTGATGGTGGTTCTATGTGATGGTGGTTCTATGTGACGGTGGTTCTATCTGATGGTGGTTCTATGTTATGGTGGTTCTATGTGATGGTGGTTCTATGTGACGGTGGTTCTATCTGAAGGTGGTTCTATGTGGGGGTGGTTCGATGTGATGGGGTGGAGCCTGCAGTGGTCCTGGCGTACACCTGCTTACACCTCACAATTATTTGTGTCTTTTGTCTTATAGGAATTCCATGTATTTGCTCTATACTAAATAAAATGAATTTAATTGAATTGTTACTTCCTGAAATCCTCTGCATTCCTCCCAGGAATGTAACTTAAATGGTTAAATAAGGCAACCACTCGGTCACCTCGGGTAACCAAGGAGCTGCTTCCTGGTAATCAGGGCTGTGTGGTCCTGATGTCCTGCTGTTACCTGGCAACTATTGAAGCCATTTAAAGGCTGTTGTCTGTCAGTAAAAGTTGGAATATAAACATGCTAGAGCCTCTTTTGAATGTGAGGAATCCTCAGCAGTGGCTGCAAGCAGTTTAGCATTTTCTTTTTTATTAGCAGATGATTTTGTTGATATTTGATATCTGAATGTATCCTCTCTGGCAGTCGTATATTCAACACCTCAAGTTGCGTTGCGGTGCCATTTGTCTCTGATTTAGAGTTGCATCATTGCAGTTTGAACGGAAAAGTTAGTTTATTTTCTTTCTTCTGTTTTGATTCTTATTATCAGTATCAAAAGCTACGTCATCACTAAAAACCTCTCTGCTTTCAGTGAAGGTGCCATTAAAGGATTAAGGATCATTTGAGTACTAAATGTACTAGTCCTGGTGTTGGATAACAATGTTTTTTTAAAGTTGTGTTTTGTATGTGAAATTTGTGTGACATTTTTCTCCGTTATCTGTGTTTTTATGTGTCTCTCGGCCTCTTATGAATATTATTCATAAGCGATGTCTATATTTATATCCTTCTTGTATGAATGGTGTACTCACACAACCCGCAGTGTCTCCAGCCTCCAAAGGGACCTGGCATGACTGGACACCGCTCCCCCCTCATAGTGGACTGTCCTGGGGGTAAAAACCAAAGTAGCACACCTTCAGAATACATCTCATATATCCACTTAACAAATAAGAATGTGAAAGTCACTTATTCCACTTCTACTGCAGTTGCGTACTACCTGGATGACTCGGTAACAAACCTTTTGGGAAGAGAACACAGTTGCTCTCATCGGCATCGTTTAAAAACCCGGCGGTGTCTTTTGGGAGCTTAAGACTATACTTACTAATGTTCTCCTGTCGCAGTCACAGCGGAAAGCCTGTGTGGATCTAATAGTCTAAACTGTGCGTGGAGGAGAGCCAAATTGGAAGAACAGGAAGCATCAGAAGGCAAAGCGTTGATTGCAGAGGTGACTTTGCACAGTTTGGAAAGTCTTAAGAAACTTAAATTTCAATAAAAGATGGGCAAAACATTTTTTGTGTTTGTGACGATGCACAAGGTAATTGAACTCAGCTCCGATGGATGTAATGCTACATTTAGTATAATAACCCATCATGATGGAATCATTCGCATATCTTTGTTGGAAAGGTTGACTTACAGACTAAATAATCCTAGATGGAAATCTCCTTTACAACGACACTGCATAGCGGAAAATGTCCTTTCAACGGAGAAGCTCTTTTTGAAAAGATAACATGTGCCTGTCTGGCTTCACGGACCGAGCCTCGATCTTTCACAATTGGTGAGTTTGAATGTCCAACGCGATGTTTACACTGAATCAGCTCAGGAAAATACTTTGTGTAAAAACGGACTACAATATGAGTCTAGACATCAGTGCAGTTTCAAGCACATCACCTCCTTTGCTCGTCCCCGTGCTCCCCAGATGGAACAGTCAGACACTCGTCCATGTGACCGTGAAGGAGGCGCAGGACGTCCCCTCCTATCAGGAAACCTGCAAAATAAGAGACATGGAGAAAAGTAGAAAGTAGAAGGAGAGATAAAGGGACTTTGGGACTCAAAATGAATCGTATTAGAGAAAAATGCTCAAGAATCAGTCCGTTCACTGCCTATCTGGTTAACACATTTGAGCATTCTGATGTGACCTGACAGTGGTGACGTGGGAGGAGAGCAGCAAGGATCAATTATGGTATGAAAGCAGACATGCCAGCCTTTGAAACCCACCTATTCAGCTAAATAAAGAGCAGCACCAGCACAGCCGACTGCCCGAATGAAGAACTCCTGTGTCCCCACTACACTAAATGTACAAGGGGCAGTACTTCCATCCTACATATCAGCTAAGCGAGCCCACATTGGAAGTTTCTAGATACACACAATTAAAAACCAGAGTTCTCTACTGTTGCCAATAATTGATTGCACAAAGGAAAAAGAGGAGCTGCCAATATCTAAATGGTTAAAACATTAGAATGATGGTGAATGGCGGTGAAATAGTTTACAGAAGGATTACAGAACATATTGTGTGCATTCACGTACTATTCAACCTCATTTCCACACTCAAGAGTCCATATAAAAGGCAACAGAGAATAACACGAATGACAAACAAAATACGAGAGCAGACATACGGACATTTGTTTCCCGAGTGTGTCTCTGTGTTGGATACGTTACAGCCTTTACCACTACATTTACTGCTCACTGTATTACAGTCACAAGAGGAAGCAGACGGAGAATCGTAGGACCGTAGACAGATGTACCTTGTGCTACTTCACTGCCGGAACAGATGGGAGCTACACTCCATAGTGTCTGCTGGAAGGCTGCATCGACGTGGAGGCTGCTGTTACCGTAGGACAGATGCTGCAGGAGGAAACACAAAGGAATTAATCGCAGACACACCGGATCATCCATCCAACCATCCATCCATCTGCAGAGCGCTTATCCTGCACACAGGGGGCGCTGGAGTCTATCCCAGCCAACTTTGGGCGATGGACAGATTGGTTGCCAGCCAGTCAGAGGGCAAACCAGACTAATATACACAAAAACATGCAGATCAGGTTGATGGAAACATCAGGGTCCAGCCCCATCATGTTAGTCTAGGACTAGTCCAAGCTGCAGAACATCTCCTAGCAATACTTTTGCTGTGCTTTCCGCCGTTGCAGCGGTGGCGCTGTTAGATTTGCCGTGATTCAATTTCAAATAATTTAATTTTCTATACCCCCATAATCGCAAATTGGCCTCAGAGGGCTTTACTGTCCGTACACATGCGACATCCTCTGTCCCGAAACCCTCACAGCGGCACAGGAAACACTCCCCACAAAATGAAAAGGCCTTCAATAGGGAGAAAATAAGCGATGACAGCTTCGGCGAGAGGAGGATCCCTCTCCCGGGACGGATGTCATGTGTGCAGAAATACCAACTTAAAAGATGTACAATACGTTCAACTCCTACGTCGGAAATGATTTGAATATTGAATATTATGGTTTTGAATTGAAAAGAAGAATCTGAGACTGATGACACTCTATTTGGGTTAGACCTACACATACTTTTCTTCATTTCTTCTTGAAATGTAATATATTATAAACATATTTATTCAATGTCATTGATTTAATAAGACTTTAACTGATAACATAATGGAGTCTTTATCACTTTGTGTTGCGTTGTCGCGTTGCATCGAGTTGAGCTCCGTCTGATCACTAAATTCATAGTTTACCACCTCTAATTTTACCACTTTTTTACCACTACAGCCCTGTGCCCATATATATGATGGTCCACCAGCATATATAATAATAATAATACACTGTCTGACATGTTTGTTCCTTTTTGATCATGGTGAGGGAGAAGGAATGGGAATGGGAACGAAAAGGAATTTAAGTAGCAAAGGAAAGAAACCGTAAAAAAGGACAGAAGCAACGAATGAAGGAAGCAGAAACAAGTGAAGCCACAAAGTGAGAGCTGTCACAAACAGCTGCTACTCACCAGATATCGCTCAGAGGAGACGCTGACCAGGATGAGATCATCTCCCACTCTAACCTTCTCCCCCTCTGACCGCTGCTTTGATGCCGGATGGATGGTCCACCAGCATGCCTCGCCTACACACAGACACACACAAATAAGAAAACACTCACAAAGCAAACATTAACTTAGCCAACGTAGCAGAAATATGCCCATGAAACACAGGACCAGAGAAAGCAACATGAAGGCCTGTGATGATACTATCTATTATCCTGCCCTGTGTGCTGTGCACCACTGGCTGTTATTTGCACCGTGTGTAAAGAAGACGATGAGACCAACTGTTCTGTTCCACATGGAAAACCACGGTGGAGGAGCAGAGGGTTGAGAATTGCAAAGAGGCAAAATTGTAAATTGCAATTGCAATTATGGACTATACAAAATAAAATAAATTGAATTGAATATGTACTGAGATAATGGAGTGGAAGCATAGTCCATTGTTCAAACTTAAACCGTCAATTCCTTGTTCTTATTAAATGAATATCAATTATGAAACTTGATTTATAGTTCGGTTTTTAGCCCCTATTTAGTTTTTTTTTGAGGGGCCTTGTTACTTAATTATTGATGAACTATCTTAGTGATAATTAATCATTCTGTTGATTGTCAATAACTTAGTTTCACACAAGCTATGAACCGGACATGACCCTACACAGATCTCAACAAAAAGTCTCTTTCTTCCAAATTAAACTTAACAGTATGGACAAAAAATCGAACCAAACAATACCAACAATAAAATGGTAAACAGTTTATATATTTACACACAGACACAGAGCAACGTTAATCATCATTTGGAGTGTTGTTTAAGTCCACCTGTTTAGAGCAGTATTAACTCTGCTTTCACCTTACTTCAGAATTCCATTAACTCCAGAGACCAATGGCTGACTCTTTAGCAGATAGCTGCTTGCCAGCTAGTCTCGACTGTGTCTGGTGATTGTTGCTGAGTGGGTGGTATAGAGGGGGATCGGAGATATGTTCCACTGGAATCAGCTGTGTTCTGCTGCTTGGAGAACACTGACAAAAGATGCAAAAAAAGCTCTATGGTGCTGGTGGGATTGGAAGATTTGAGGATACTTTTCTTTGGGTTTGTCTCCTCAACTGACACAGCATTGTGCTTATCAGCTGTCTCCGGTGTAGACATCTTCAACACCTCCCTGGAGACATGCCACGTACCAGCCTGCTTCAAGGCCTCCACCATCATCCCTGTTCCCAAGAAGCCCAGAATCACAGGACTCAATGACTACAGGCCCGTCGCCCTGACCTCTGTAGTCATGAAGTCTTTTGAACGGCTAGTCCTGACCCACCTGAAGTCCCTCACCGACCCCCTCCTGGACCCCCTGCAGTTTGCCTACAGAGCCAACAGGTCTGTGGACGATGCTGTCAACATGGCCCTCCACTACATCCTCCAGCATCTGGACTCCCCAGGGACCTACGCCAGGATCCTGTTTGTGGACTTCAGCTCTGCCTTCAACACCATCATCCCGTCTCTGCTGCAGGACAAACTCTCCCAGCTGCACGTGCCCGACTCCACCTGCAAGTGGATCACAGACTTCCTGTCTGACAGGAAGCAGCACGTGAAGCTGGGAAACATGTCTCAGCCTCTCGGACCATCAGCACCGGTTCCCCCCAAAGCCGCGTTCTTTCCCCTCTGCTATTCTCCCTGTACACCAACAGCTGCACCTCCAGTCACCAGTCCGTCAAGCTCCTGAAGTTTGCGAATGACACCACCCTCATTGGACTGATCTCTGGTGGGGATGAGTCCAACCTGCCAAAGACGATGATGGTCCACTTCTACACGGCCATCATGGAGTCCATCCTCTGCTCTTCCATCACCGTCTGGTACACTGCAGCCACAGCCAAGGACAAGGGCAGGCTGCAGCGTGTCATCCGCTCTGCACAGAGGGTGATCGGCTGCAATCTGCCGTCCCTGCAGGACTTCCAGGACCCTGAAGCGAGCTAGAAAGATGGTAGCCGACCCCTCTCACCCTGGACAAAACCTGTTTGTGCGCCTTCCATCTGGCAGGAGGCTGAAGTCCATCAGGACCAAGACCTCCCGCCCCACAAACAGTTTCTTCCCGTCGGCAGTCGGCCTCAGAGCCCGGGTCCCCCACTGACTGACTCTAACATCCCTTTCCACCGGTCACTCCCTTCACACTCCACATGCACATACGCTGTCACTTGTCACATACACTCACAACACAGTGTGTAGAGTATGATTATCTGTTCGCTGGTGCACTTTATTTTTATTTAAATTCCTTCTTATCTGTTATTTTTTCATTGTTTATTCTATATCCCTCCAGCCCATAGCCTTATATTTTATTTTATATGGTAAAGTCAAATTGTAAATCTGTAAATTTAACACGTCATTTTCTTTCTTTCTGTTGTCCATTGTCTTACAGTCTGATGTTAGGCACCAACCGCCAAGTCAAATTCCTTGTATGTCCAACCTACTTCGGTAATAAATGTTTTCTGATTCCTGATTCTTTATACAACTAATTACATTACATTACATTACAGGTCATTTAGCTGACACTTTTATCCAAAGCGACTTACATTTTTTTACATTTTAACGCATGGCATTTTACATATTTGCCTGGGGAGCAATTAGGGGTTAGGTGCCCCCCCTAACCCCAGACAAACTGGAAGTATCCGGCTCTCCAACCAAAGAGACACTAGGGGCGCAGCAGAGTCTTTCCGGAATTATCCGAAGCCTCCCGAAGTGGATAGACCAGAGCCCATGGACCTCGGAAGGGCGAGAATAAGCCCTGCTGAGCGGGAGAGGCAATTTAGCAGCCGCAGCTGTTTGTACTGTGGCACTCCCGGCCGTTACATCTCCACCTGCCCACAAAAAGAGCAGGCTCATCAGTAGGGGCGGGTATGCTGGTCGGACAAACAGAGACTCCCTGGACTCATACTACCCGTGCCCCGCTGCATGCAATTCTTCTGTGGCGGGCCCAATCCAACACCATCAGAGTGTTCATTGACTCCGGGGCTGATGAGAGCTTCATTGACTCCGCCCTGGTCCAGCAACTGGGCATCTCGACCCAACGCCTCTCCACTCCTGTAGAGGCTCGAGCCTTGGACGGCCGGCCCCTTGGCAAGGTGACACTCTGTACCGTTCCAGTGGTTCTACGCATCTCTGGCAATCATAGCCAACACGTCTGGTTTTTACTTATTAGTTCTCCTCACGTGCCTGTGGTTCTGGGCCATTCCTGGCGTCAAAAGCATAACCCCCTCATTGATTGGACAACGGGCTCCATAAAGGGCTGGAGCCCATTCTGCCACGCCCACTGCTTGGGGGCTGCACAACATCCCTCGGCTTCCGCGAACCCGGCATCGGGGGACACCCCTGACTTGTACTCTGTTCTGGCCGAATACCAGGACCTGCGGGAAGTCTTCAGCAAGTTCCGGGTGACATCTCTGCCCCCGCACCGCCCCTATGATTGCGCCATCGACCTATTTCCTGGTACTTCCCCCCCTAAGGGGTGTCTCTACTCCCTGTCTGGTCCGGAGACCAAGGCCATGGAGGCCTATGTGGAGAGCTCTCTAGCGGCAGGAATTATCCACCCATCGTCATCCTCTGCGGGAGCGGGATTCTTCCTTGTGGACAAGAGGGATAAATCCCTACGCCGTTGCATTGATTACAGGGGCCTCAATGACATCACCGTCAAAAACCGCTATCCGCTTCCCCTCACCTCCTCAGCCTTCGAGCTCCTTCAGGGAGCAACGGTCTTCTCCAAACTGGACCTGCGAAATGCCTACCATCTGGTTCGGATCTAGGAAGGGGACGAGTGGAAGACGGCTTTCAACACCGCTAACGGCCACTATGAGTATCTAGTGATGCCCTTCGGCCTGACCAACGCCCCTGCAGTGTTCCAGGCACTGGTCAATGACGTATTCCGGGACATGCTGAACCGGTGCGTCTTGTGTACCTGGACGACATCCTGGTATTCTCCCGTTCTGCCCAGGAGCATGTTGCCCACGTCCGCCAGGTGCTCCAGTGCCTCCTAGAGAACCAGCTGTTCGTCAAGGTGGAGAAGTGTGAATTACACCGCTTCACTATCTCGTTCCTGGGATACATCATTGCAGCTGGGAGCATCCGAATGGATCCCTGCAAAGTGAAGGCGGTGGAGGAGTGGCCACAACCGCACTCCCGGGTTCAGCTCCAGAGGTTCCTGGGATTCACAAACTTTTATTGTCGCTTTATCCGGGACTACAGCACCTTGGCATCTCCCCTCACCGCTCTCACCTCTACCAAGGTCCGATTTCGCTGGTCTCCTGAAGCGGCCCGTGCTTTTGCAGACCTTAAGCAGCGCTTCACCACGGCCCCCATCCTGAGCCAACCTGACCCCTCTCGCCAGTTTGTGGTGGAAACAGACGCCTCGGAAGTGGGCGTGGGAGCCATTCTGTCCCAGCGCTCAGCCCTCGACCAGAAACTGCATCCCTGCGCCTTTCTCTCCCACAGACTCAGTCCAGCGGAAAGGAACTATGACGTCGGCAACGGAGTTTGGACCAACCATAAGAACCTTGAGTACCTTCGCAGCGCTAAAAGACTCAACTCCAGGCAGGCCAGGTGGGCTCTGCTATTCAGCCGTTTTCATTTTCTTCTTTCATATCGCCCTGGCTCCAAGAACGCGAAACCAGATGCCCTGTCTCGAGTCTTCAGCCCTGCTACCACCCCTCCGGATCCCGGGCCCATCCTTCCCACACCTGCCTGGCTACATCCCTGGTCTGGGGAATAGAAGCTGAGGTCCGCAAGGCACAGCGGTCGAGCCAGGTCCCTAGGAATGTCCCTACAGGCTGCTTGTTTGATTCCGGACCCCAAGCGGTCACAAGTTCTGAAGTGGGGCCATTCCTCCAACCTCTCGTGTCATCCCGGGGCTCGCCAGACCCTTGCCTTCATCCGTAGACTGTTTTGGTGGCCCACCATGGGGGTGGACGTGCCCCCTGTCTCCGCCTGCACGGTGTGTGCCCAAAGTAAGACCTCGCGGCAAGCTCCGGCCGGCCTCCTTCAACCGTTGCCTACGCCACACCGCCTGTGGTCTCGCCTGTCACTGGACTTTGTGACCGGTCTTCCTCCTTCCGATGGCAACACCGTCATCCTCACTGTCATGGACCGGTTTTCCAAGGCAGCCCACTTTATCCCCTTACCCAAGCTCCCCTCTGCCAAGGAGACGGCCCAACTCATAATACAACACGTCTTCCGGATCCATGGACTTTCCACTGACATGGTGTCGGATTGGGGTCCCCAGTTCGCATCCCAGTTCTGGAAGGCGTTCTGCGCCCTCATCGGGTCGTCAGCCAGCCTGTCCTCCGGATTCCACCCAGAGTCTAATGGTCAGTCGGAGCGGGCCAACCAGGACCTGGAGACTACCCTGCGGTGCCTAGTATCTTCCAATCCCACCACTTGGAGTCGACAACAGCTGGTCTGGGAGGAATATGCCCGTAACACCCTTCCATCATCTGCTGCGGGCCTCTCCCCCTTTGAGTGCTCCCTCGGCTACCAACCTCCCCTTTTTCCGGTCCAGGAAGCGGAAGTGGGGGTGCCCTCAGCCCAAATGTTTGTCCGCCGCTGTCGTCAGACTTGGAGGAAGGCCCGGATTGCTCTTCTCCAGACGGCATCCAGGTATCGGCGACAGGCAGACCGCCGTCGGACCCCTGCTCCTCGCTACCGTAGGGGGCAAAGAGTGTGGTTGTCCCCTCGGGATCTACCTCTCCGTGTTGAATCCCGGAAACTGTCTTCCCGGTTCATCGGCCCATTTACCATCTCCAGGGTCATCAGTCCTTCTGCTGTTCGTTTGGTCCTTCCTCGTACCCTTAGAGTACACCCCACCTTCCATGTCTCCCGTATTAAACCTGTGTCCCTTTGTCGCCTCCTTCCCCCCCACCTCCTCGGCCGCCTCCCCGGATGGTCGACGGGGGCCCAGTCTATACAGTGCGTCATCTCCTGAGGGTCTGACCGTGTGGCAGGGGTTTCCAGTACCTGGTTGACTGGGAGGGCTACCGACCAGAGGAGCGTTGCTGGGTTCCTTCCAGGGACATCTTGGACCCCTCCCTCATCGCCGACTTTCGCCGTCGCCACCCCCCGTCCAACAACGACGCTGCCTGCCACCTCTGTATCTCCGACCTCCTGTATACCAAACTCCGGCCTGCCTCTGACAACGACACTGCCTGCCACCTCTGAACACCTGATCTCCCGTGTACCGAACTCCTGCCTGCCTCCGACAACGACTGCCCGAATTCTTCTTCATTAAAAGACATTTAATATTCCTCACATCTGCGTTTGGGTCTCTGTCTGAGCTGTGATACTGGCAGTGTTAATCCTAGAGGGATGGCAGCGCTGTGTAGTCTCACTCCTACCTGTGGTATCTTCCTGCAGTCCCACATCAAAAGCCAGTTTGTCTGTGGATGAGCGGGAGGTGGACAGACAGCACAGGTACTAAACAGGGAAACAATTGATAAAATCATTACTTTATCCTTTGATTATGATCAAGTATTGTGCTTATAATTACTTATTTACTGTCTAACAAAATCACCACACAAACACCAGTTAACTTTAGATTGCAGCACTACGCCTGGGCCTGCAGGGTACTGGGCTGCTACTGGGATCGGGGCCGGCCTCTGCTGGAGGCTCAGCTGTCTGAGCTAAAGGAGTTTCCGGTCAAACTGCGTAATTTCCTCTGATTTTGACAGAATTGCAACCAGTGGCCCAGATGACATTAAGAGGAGCTATTTAAAAAAGCCAATATTCTCAACAATTGTCTCATTTAGTGCTGTCATTCAGACGCTTCGGTATTAAATTTAGGCTGTTTCATAACCAGTTAAAAGTTTCTAAACAGTAACTTAACATAAAACAGAAGAAATGAATAAACATGGGACAAACTAGCTTAGTAAGTGCATGTTCATTAGTGCTTATGTCTTCACTGACCATTCCACTGTAGGAGTGGCGTAGCAGCACAGCGTGTCCGTACAATAAGGTGCGATGGCCGCCGCCCTGGGCTGTCTGACAGGGAGACAGTGACAGGAGGGAGGGACAGAAATAAGTTACCGGACATTAAAACAGGGAGAGAAAAATAGTGAGAAACAGTCAAACAGAGATATTAATAAACCGCGCAGACCGGAGGGAGGGAGTCGGAGGCCAACTGCATCACTTCATCCAACAAGGATCCTCACCCGTAAAGTTGTGAAATGTGAGCTAACATTCTTCCCACTACAGTTAGGAAGCAGCAGATATGTGATTGTGTCCATCTATCAACGTACTTTTAAAAAGACATTCAAACTGATGATGCATACTGCATCTCACTGTAATATCAACCCAGGAGTTACTCCAAGTAGAAAAAAAATATTCAGAATATAATCTGGGCCTTTACAGGTAATTAAACCTGATCAACGAACTAGACACTGCTAGCTATAAAGTAAACCAGTGCCAGTGTACTTTTCTATACAGCCTTGTTCTGTGTCTGTGTCCTTTTTTCAGAACTCTACAGGTGGTCCAAAACTTGACACTGGAGTCTGCGCCAGTAAGACAGTGGCATGAAAGTTCTCCTACACAACCAACTGTAGCTGATGGCTCCTGCTGCACTGCAGTCCTTCCTTCCTGGCCTGTATCTACTGTACATACAGTGCAGAGATGCTTCACTTCCACACGTATTAATCGAGTGACAGCGAGATCCTCTTTGTGGCGGTGGCAAGTGGGTGGCATCAAACTTGAGAGCCCCACCCCCTACACGGAACCCGCCGGTCCAAACCTAAAATTAGCCTCTGTAATAAGAAGACGGGGGCTCACGTGTCTCAAATAAAATTAAATAAAATAAAATATTTACAGCAGCTGACCTGTCGTACAAATAACAGTTGTTTCTGGGAAAAATTGGCTCCTCCCACCCAGCGTGCCGTTGTGACGCCGACTGATTTACTGGCGATTGCCGCTGCCTGCCACAAAGTTGCCACCCACTTGCCACTGCCACAAGGAGGATCTCGGCCCTACTGTATTAATCAGCGTGTGGAAGGAGGAGTTTGCATATGTGCAATACATGTATGTATATGTAAACTTTTGACCACAAATGTATGTCAAATCTAGTTTGGCCCACCGGATGACTTCGGTCCTCACGCATGCGCGGCCACTTCTGCTCCTTTTATATTGACCCCCCCCAAATTACACATTTTACGAGTAGCTGTCATCAGCTGACCTGTCCTGTGTAACAATCAAACCGTTTGGAACCGCAATGCTGATATGTGTAATCTATTACTTGATGGAAAATGATGGGCAGCTTCCTTCTGGCTGCTTTGATACGTTCTAGCAAGGACGCCCCCTCACTGTGGAGGACAGATCAGTAAACACATTCGTCTCCCTGTTTCATCAGCCGGCCTGTTTCACCTGATCTAGAACAGCCTAGTGTATATTCGCTGTTGTGTTTGTGTGCCTTAATGTTTGTAATGCGTCACTCTCACCCCCTCAGCCTTCTCCTCGGTGTTGGCCAGCATCTCCTGGAGGGCTCGAACCGACAGTGACTGCTCCAACACAAAAGTGCAGATGGACAGATCTGGAGGCACATTCTGAAAAGGTAAAAGGGTGAAACAGAGGCAGAATTGTACAGAGGTTCACAACTGGTGAATTGATAACGAGTGGGACCATTATGTGAATCATAAGTAATGTCCTTCACAGGAGGTATTTCATGTGTGTTGTTGATGTCCGTATGGCATTGAGGAGTGTGCTATGGTTAGTATTATTGCACATCAGTACCTTGGAGTTGGAGATGGATTCAAGGAAGCACAGTCTGTTTCCGAAGCCTTCGGCAGCCAGACAGAGTTTCTGCTGTTCCTTGTGGATCGTGGCTGAACACTGGAGGACCACCTCATCGTCCTAAACGCACACACACACACACACACACACACACACACACACACACACACACACACACACACACACACACACACACACGCACACACGAACGTAGAGTTACAAAACAAGATATTCATGGAGTCGCTCATTGGTGGAGGGCAACAACTGCAACCTTGTCTTTCTAGAGAAATGACATTCACAAAGAGGTTCGACCAATGTCAAAACACACGTGTGTGTGCTTAATATCACTAAAGTAAATAATAAAGACTGGGAGCACCCATTTTGTACCCAGTATCACCATAGTGATTCAAAGAGGGCAAAGAACTAAATTATTAATTAATGTGTATATATATATATATATTACAGTTCTTATTTTTTTATATTACTAGTTTTAACCACATAATGTATGTTTCCTACATATTTGTCCTTCATTGCAACAACAATATGACTAGCTCTCAAATCTTTATTTTGTGTAAAGACAATCTGGATTTGAATTTGTATTTTTATAAACACTTTGGGCTGTAGACAGCAATATATATCTGAAGCCATATGGCCCGACAAGAACTATTAGACATTTGATAATTTTACGAAACAACTTAATCAATTACAAACTATTTTAATGTCAGTTGTCAGTTTCAGTCAAAATGTGGCATTAGATGTCCAATCAGATTTATAGGATTCATTGATCAGATCTGTTTTAAACCATAATCGTAGACCATTTAAAATGGCTTTCTTGACCAGTTAGTATTTTTTGATGCACTCATGTTTCCCATGTCTATTTCTGTGGTGTTACACCTCAGTATAGTACAGGATGATCAAATGAACAGTTGTTGTGTCAAGAGTTATGAGTGTTAATCAGGAGACACTGAGGCCCAGCGAGTAGCTCTGATAAGCTCTCAGACACAAAGAGCACTATAAAGTGTCACAAACAATCAAATATCTGTCTGCCCACACATCAGTTGAGTTCTAATCGGCCCACAACTGTGTGCATGCCTAAAGTCTGTCTATCCATACATGGAAAAATTGTCTGTGTGTCATCATTAACAGTAGGACAAAATAAGTAATGTATATAAGTGATATGTGTCCCCATCCCTTCAGCCTCCCTCTCTGTCCTGGTATTGAATCAAGATAAAACAAGAAATAACCTGAACAAGAGACTGAAACACCAGACATCATGATGCCCTTTAAAGAGGTCAAAGGCCATCAACTTGGAGTCTGTAGAGGACCAGTGAAAGAAACATAAGGAAATGTACATCTCACATCATAGATCATAAAGACCTTGTACGACGGTGGCCATTGGCTCACACATAAACTCACATAAACTGCATTTTTGGAATAAATTATTATTCGACGAAGCATTCACCTCAGCACCAATTAATTGCAGACAACCACAACAATGTCCCAATGCCACTTTGTAGTCTGGAATACTCACAGATGAATAAAGAGAGTTCTCCATGGGACCTCTTGGCCAACAGTGGTACTGCAATATGACTCCTGAAGGTGCAAAATTAAGTAATTTCTCATTTGACCTTCTCCTGCTGGACCTTTACAGGTCATTCTGTACACCTAGTCACACTCACCTGTCTACCCTACTCACTCCCTTTAGTATTTAAACCCCTGTCACTCAATCACTCGCTGCCAGATCGTTCTCCGCATTCATGCCAGACCTTCCAGCGTTTCTTTTGGACTGTTGCCGACCCTGCCTGTCTTGGACTACCCCGTCTCGCCCCTGCAATCCACCCAGTCCTCCGTCCCCGACCACGTCTTTTCCTGGTGACTCCTTCAACTGTTTGTTGGCATTGAGGAGAATAAAGTACTCTGATTGGAACTGCTGCTGCTGTCTGTCGCCTGTACCTCACCTGTTACAGTCAGATTGTAAGGGAGTCTTTGAAAAAGGACTCTACTCTGTTGATTTAGTCCCTCGGTAAATTGTAATCATTAGTTTATGGTATAAATTTCTAGTTTCTAGTTTTCTTCCAAAGAAGGTGACCCACGTTCACTGGCTGCAGAAAAAAAATACGTGGCACCAACATAGCAACTGCAAAATCACAAAAGTCAAGGCACAACAGTCCACAAACAAATGGGTGACGTCACTATGACCATGTCGCCTTCTGGTACACACTTTGGCACCGAGCAGCCAGATAAGAGGGGTGAGGAACCAGCAGTGACTGACAGAATAAAACAGTGATTGAAATAGCATTGCCTTCATTGTTTAGGGATCTTGAACACTAGACGTGCAAACAGACTTAAGGAAAACGGCCACAAAGTGCAGGTCTCTCCCAAGGGGGTAATTCTGGGGAATTGTCTGCAGCAGTGTTTCTCTCAGGCTGCAGCCTGACAATGTTGGCGGATAGCAGGGATGGGCGGGCCTCTGGCCACAGAACCAGGCAGGCAGAAAAAGATGAAAATGGAATTCATCTGTCACTGCGGTTCTGCTTAATTATCTGGACGTGTGGGCTGAGGGAATACCATCACACACACAGAGCCATGTAAGGTAATTGAGAAGCTGCCGTAGTGTCTTAATGATCTACAGCATGCGACACATGCAGACCCACATACCTGTACTCACAGAATGCACTGAGAGGAAGCTTCGATACTAATAATGCCTTTGAGACATTTATGATGGATGATGCACACACACAATGTTCCCCTAATGAAGATGTCTGGTGTCTCTGTGTCAGCGGCAGTTTGCATTCCAGCCTTCTATGGAGAGAGTGAGAGAGTAGAGAGCCACCCGGGGATGGATGGAAGATTCATGGCGCTACATCTGAGCCACGTGTGGTCATTGCGATTTGACTCGTGCTTTACACTGCAACACGGTAATAACATGGTAATAATTATGTAACACTGTGTATTCCATCAAATTTATACTAAAGGGAATGTCAAAACACAAGGGAGGGGGAATTCCCCTATTATACATGTATAATAGGGAAATATAGGGAAATATATATGTTTATATATATGTATGTGATATCTGATGTTAATTAATAGTATATGTATGTATATTATACATATATTATGACGACCTCTACCTTTATTTCCTCATTGTTAACCTATAATGCCACCATATTACAATTTTTTTGCCAAACTGACGTTCCTCTCCGGAAACCATCCCCTTATCGTAGTGGTAGGCCTGTCGCAATATGCAATAAATTGACTTTTTGCACAGTATCTGAAATTGAGTGCAATCATTTTTGGTGCTGCGATATTAATTTTACATATAAATGAACGTCACCAACATTTAAGTTGATGCCTCTGTCCTTTTTCCTTGTGGAGAGTGGAGGCGGGGCTTAGGCTGCGCACAGACACAGAGCGGACACGGGCCGGTGAAGAGAAGCAGTGAACCCACCATGTCATAAAGGGTTCTCTTTTTTCATAACATACAGCCGAACCCGATAAGAATCAAGTCCCAATTACGGCCGTCACGATATCACATTTTTGTTTAACATTTTTTGCGATATGCGATATTATTGCAATTTTATATAATAGCATAGTAATAAAAGTACGCTATTTCAAAGAACAAAGAACATTTTATTTGTCAGAATAGTTAGACATTAGAAAAAATATGTTAAATTATGTGAAAAAATATATCCTAATTAAAACAAAACAAAAAAATTGTGCAAGAGACATGGAGCCGGCGAAGCATCAGGCTTAGTGCGTTCGGGTTCGAGAAAACGTGTCCAGCATTGTTGCTTTGGGTGAGATTTTATCTTAGTTAGCTTAGTTGGGTTTACTGCTTCTCTTCACCTGTCAGGTTAGTAGCACCCTCTCTACTCCATGCGCCACCTCCTGTCGACCTTCAGACAGATCTGGCTAATTCGATCCAGCAGAACCGGATCAGGAATCCACCTTCCAAAGAGCCATTTCAAGCCAAGGTGCTCTACTTGGACAACACCAGCAATATCTCCAGACCCTTTTTGAAAACAGCCAGGCTATGGTAACCCAAATTACTCAATTATCAGATCAGGTGACTCAGTTAACCACTTATCTTACCCCCGCAGCCATTTCTGCACAGCCAGCCCGCAGCTCCCTCCAGCTCATTCCCCAGTGCCTCCTTCACTCAGAGACTTCCATGCTTCGGACCCAGAACCCTACTCTGGAGACCTGGGTATATGCAGAGGTTTTCTCCTCCAGTGTTCCTTGGTTTTCAGCCAGCGGCCGTTGAACTTTCCCTCAGACATTTCCAAGGTGTGTTATATTTTGGGGCTGTTGAGAGGGTTTGGGCAAAAGCCTTCGGTGCTAATCAGGCAGTTGCCAGTCTTCCATATTCCGACGTCATTTGCAAAATGAAAGGGGTTATTGATCATCCAGATCATGTATGATCAATCTCCGCCAGGGAATCAGAAGTGTGGCAGACAACTCGGTGGAGTTTAGAACGCTGGCAGCGGAGTCTAGATGGAATGATGAGGCACTTTGCAGGGTGTTTTTGAATGGACTCAAATAAAGGAGGAACTGTCTTTTCTTGATGAACCTGTTAACTCTGACTCCCTGGTTTCCCTAGCCATCCGGCGTGATAATCGCTTGCGGGAGAAACGCAGAGAGAAAGCTGACCATCCCAGGCAGTTAACTAGCTCCTGCCCATCACCACCTTTCGTGGCATGGGGAACGCACCCCTCCTCTATGCCTCAATCACCCACTCCTGTTTTACCCGCTGTGGAACCCATGCAGTTAGGTCAAGCTCATCTTCCTCCTGCGGAATGAGAGAGGGAGAGTGCTTTTATTGTGGCCAATCCGGTCATTGGCTAGCCGTCTGTCCAGTTCGCCCAAAAGACAGGGCTCGCCAGTAGCAGTGGGGGTTCTGGAGTCTGTTTTTCCGGAACAAACTCCGCCGCCCAGGATGCAAATCAAAGCCACTCTCTGTCACAACCCAGTCTTGTTGCCGCTCCTAGCTCTTGTTGACTCTGGTGCAGAGGATAGTTTTCTAGACAGAGACAGGGCCCTCCAGTATGGCATCCCCTTTGAACAATTAGAAAAACCCCTCACTGCAACTGCCTTAGATGGCAGGGTTATTGCTTTAGTCA